TTGATCACCATCACGATCTGGCACCAAGGCCATGATGTGGAAATCATACCACGTGCTCTCCGGGCAATTGTCCTCGATGGCACCGTCGCCCGAGTCTTGGTCTTGGTGTTGAGCCTGCGAGAGCCTCGTGAAGAGCTCGAAAGTCGATCCTTGTGGGACTACCAGCGGCGACCTGATAGAGACGTTGCGCATGACGTAACTCTTGTCGGCAACATGGCCGGGCCTAAGCCGATGAACAGCCCCGCCCGCCATGGCGACGAACCCGGCGGCGGGAAAGACTACCTGGCCGTCGATGACGTGGTGGCCCAGCCATGCGGGCTGGTCTTCGGGCTCCAGAATACAGCGCCAGCACGGCTCGATGTCGGTGGCATCCGGGACCCGGGCGCCAAGCAGCTCATGAGGGAGATGCCGCGCGCTCTTGTAAACGCTGGCCACGCGCGGCGGATCCAAATACTGCGTGCCGTGGTGCCATGCATAAGGAGGCAGGTCGGTCAGGCAATGTGGAGCAGGAGAGGCAGACCCATCTGGTCTGAAGATGGACTCCATGTTCGCCTCCGTGAGAGCTCCGCGCACGAACAGCTCCCCTACCGTTCGTAACATGGCCTCGTCGGACCTCTCGCCGCGGCGCAAGGTCGCGATGTGCGAAGCTTGTGGCTCAGATGTCGTGGATAATGACGATGACGACGCCTCAAGGGCCGATAACGTCTCTCCGATAGGCTTTTTGAGTGCGGGATGAGGCCCAATTTCAAGTAGGAGGAGCGGGTTGTTGTCATGCTCCCGGTTAACCAGCTGTTCCAGAGCTTGCCGGAACATTCTGCACTCAGAATCAGCTTTTTAATGTTCCATGCGAATCTGTTTGTCCGTGGAATCATCATCGAGACAAAAGAACAAGTATGGCTTACACGGGCTTCTCAAGGCTGTCTCGCCAGTATCGCGCGCTCCCCACCAGCTTCGCGGCGTCTGCTTCAAGAGACCCCGAGACGCTGCTATATAGCGAAGGCGATGCCAAGGGTCGGCTGCCGGTCTCTACCCCGTCGAGAATCGGTCTTAGCAGCTCCTCATACTTGAGGGCGCTCGGCCCGACGTGATGGGAGTGGAAGGCCGTTCGGACCCGGAGGGCGTGGCAACGGATTCGCGGATCCGCCTCGGCAACTTTTCGAAGGGTTTCCTGTACCGCGTCCGCATCGCCAGAAACGGTCGTATTGCTCGGACTATTGTGGCAGGCAACGACAGCGCCGTAACCGAGAAACTTTTCAGTCTGCGCGGCTCCCAAGCCGATTGTGGCCATCATGCCCGGCCGCCGCGTCCGCGCCTTGCCGTTCTCATCCTTTACCTCGTCCAGTACCATGCCTCGTAGATAGGCTATGATGATGGCCTTGCGGGCTGAAAGGATGCCTGCCGAATAGGCCGAGGCGACTTCGCCGCTTGAGTGGCCGACAACGGCCGCGGGCAAGACGCCCCAGGCCCGGAACATGTTGACGAGACCGATCTGGACGGCGGTGCAGCAGGGCAACGAGTATCTAGTCTCCTCTATGAGGCTGTACGGAGCTGGTTTAGAAAGCTCTTCTGTGTTGAGTAAGCGGCGGGTTCATTTCAGTTTAATGCAGGGACAAAGACAGACGCGAAACCAAGCCCGGAAAACAATCACTCCATATCGGATGCCGTATTCGCTGACTTATGAAAACGGGCGAGCGGCTTACCAAAAAGAGTCCATTTGGGTGCCAGAGCCTCCGGTAGGGTCTTCAGGCACTGGTCCAGGTAGCGGATGCTGTCGGCAAACACACTGTTATCGCGGAGCAGCTCGTAACCCATATGAGCATACTGAGCGCCCTGTCCTGTGAAGACAAAGGCGACACGGGGCGGCGGCGTCTTGTCTTGAATCTGGCCGGAATGGTCTGCGTCGCCGAAACTCAGCAACCCGCTCTCGGCTGCTTTTGTCTTGCCCTCATCCTCATTTTCGGGCTCTTGTTGCACTCGAACCACAGTATACGTCCGCAGAGGGAAGTGATGGCGTCGGCAACCGAGCGTGTAGGCCAAATCATGGAGAAGGCTGCCTACGTCCTGACGCGAGGCGGGCAGTCGTTCTAGGAGGTAGTTTCGATGGTTGAGGACCTGTTTCTGCAGCGACCAAGGATGGGTGGCGCTGAAAAGGAGCAAGTTAAGGGCCGCCTCGGTGGGAGCCCGAGGCAACAGAGATTTGGACGGTCTGCCGTCTTCGACAATTACGTGGGCATTGGAGCCGCCAACTCCAAAGGAGTTGACGCTGACCCGTTTCCTGCGGCCGTCGGGCCACGACAGAGGGTTGACCGGGACTCGGAGCTTGGCCGCCTGCCAGGGGACTATAGATAAGGTGAGTTACGTGATTTGGAACGTTGAGCGAGGGTAAAAAGGAGATGGAGACGGAGATGGAGAAAGAGAGTAAAAGTCAAAGTGAATGTGAGAGTGAGGGGGAAAGTTTAAGGTGAAAGGGAAGGTAAAACGTAAGGGTGAAAGTGAGTGTGAAGGTGGGAATGAGACTAAGTGTAAGATTACGATTCAGAGTCGAGTCGAGAGCGAAAAGGGAGGCCAGCGTGATAGCGATGATGAAAGTGATAGCGATGATGAAAGTGATAGTGATGATGAAAGTGAAAGTAAGAGTGAGGAAGCCTGAGACTGAGATTGAAACGTACTGAGAGGGTTGGGCGTGTTGAAAAAAATGTTGGGCGGTATCACGCCGTGCTCTAGCGATAGCACGGCCTTAATCAGGGCCGTTAGACCAGCAGCGCCCTCCGAGTGGCCGACATTGGGTTTGACGCTGCCAACGATAATGCCGTCGCGGCCAAAGACGTTGGCGACGGACCGCATCTCGATGGGATCGCCGACGGCGGTGCCTGTTCCGTGACACTCGATCCACGCCGTGTCCCCGAACTGCGAGTCCGGGATGCCCGCCAGCGCGTACGTCTTGCGGATCAGCAACTCCTGCGCCGCAGCGTCCGGCTTGAGCTGCCCGACCTTGCGGCCGTCATGGCCCGTGGCGCTGGCTCGCACCAGCGCCCGGATGGGGTCGCCGGCTCGCTCGGCGTCCGAGAGCCGCCGCAGGAAAACGGCGTTGACGGCCTCGCCGCGGCCGTAACCGTTGGCGGCTGCGTCAAAGGTCCTGCAGCAGCCCGAGGGGCTCAGGAGACCCTGCGCCGTGTACAGCAGCGTCATGAGTGGCGAGGTGATGAGGTTGACGCCCAGCACGACGGCGGCAGCGCACTCGCCGGCACGTAGGCTGTGGCAGGCCATATTGAGCGCCACAAGGCTGGCCGAACAGCCCGTCTTGACGACAATGCTGGGCCCTTGCCAGTCCATGGCGAAGCTGACGCGATTCGCCTGTAGGAAGTCGAGGAAGCCCGTGCCGCGGTATAGGCCGGCCAGCTGGCTGTCCATGACGTTCTCCTGGAGCCAGTCCTCGCCGAAGACGCCGACAAAGACGCCAACATCCTTCCGTGCGGCAAAATCTGAGGCCGTCTCTCGCGTGCCGATGCCGATGCCGGATGTAGTGCTGGTGCTAGTGTTGCCGCCGAACAGGTTCCGGGCGGCGCCAGCGTTCTCGGCGCACTCATAGGCGACTTCGAGGAGCTGACGCTGCATTGGGTCCATGCGGGAAGCCTCTTTGGCCCCGACAGGGAAGAAGCTGGGATCAAAGTCTCCCATCGACACGTGGTTTAGTAGATATGCCTGCGGTGCCTGGAGGGTGTTCTTGGCGGTCGTGTCGCTCTGGAAGCCGGCGGCATCGAACCGCCCGGTGGCCGCGGGAGACCTTTCTTTGTCGCTGGTGCCGTTGCTGCTGCTGCGCGGCCAATCAACCAGCCCATTGCGCTTGGCCATCAGCATGTCCCAGAACTCAGCCGGGGTGCGCACCTCGCCGGGCAGGCGGGCGGCCATACCACAGATGGCGATAGGCTCCGGAGTGGCGGCCGCCGGCATGGTTTGGATTAGGGGTGAATGGATGTGAGTGATTCCCTCGGTGTTTGATAGCAAAAGGATGTGGGAGGTAAGGAACCGATGAAATATGGTTGCTAATCAGTAGGCAAGTAGGACAATGACAATTTAAGAAGACTGGTAGTAGGCATGCGTGGGTACGGTCTGCCGAATTAATCATTTACGTCATGGTATGAGATACAGTAGAAGTAGTAATAGTTTACCATAGCCATCGTACGAACAAGCAAAACCTTTACCTGTTGTTATTCTATACTAACAAAAACGCAGCTGGTGGAGCTCCACACGGTGTGTTGATCGGAATAACATCTCCAACCCCGAATCACCATGCTGCCGCTGGTTCTTCTCAAACGGCTATCCGTTGATTGAGTTTGCTATATATGCTTTTGCCTCCGCTGATACTCCGATGGGCCGGAAGTTTCTCAGTAACCACTTCTGGGGTGCCTATGTTTTTCTACGCCGAGGCCACAATGGGGATGGGAATCTAGGAAAGTTGAAGAAAAACAGTCCTTCTTTGCATAGGATTTCGTTCGCGAGTGCATCCAGCTACTATTACAAATGCGCCTTCTCTAATCATGAAGTAGTGAACCGTCATGAGTGCCGTACTTAGGTACTAATGTATTTGTTACTTAGTGCATCTAAATTCTTCGTCCCATGCAGACAACGACTATCTCAGACCACTACAATCTATCACCCATCACCTTATTATGTTACATGTTCTTCGAACCTGTCCAGTCAAGCGGCGAAAAGTTAGTCCATAGTAATCAAACAGCTTTGGTAAAACAGAAGATTATATTTGGGCCCCTATCAAGGCCTTCCTCTTCTACAGTACTGGATCTACACGGGTTTGATGTAAAAACGCCTGGAACCAAAGGGCTGAGAGCACCTATTTTCCCCATCTCTCGGAATCGACCGACTTATAGTAGGATCCCATTGCCTCTCAGTCCACTTACAGCCCAGTCACTATCCATCCATCTTTCAGGGCAGAATGTGGCCGCACAAGATGAACAAGAGAGAAGGGAAAAAACGAAAACATCTCAGGGCAAAATAGTACGCCACAACCTGCCGAACGACCCCGTAAGCGCAGCGCCTCCTTGGGCCGCGTCCACGCTGCGCTCCTCATCCGCGGCCCACGCGCGTAGGGAATCCCAATCCCGGCACCACGCCTGCTGCCCGTCAGTGAGATGTCCGGACCCGAAACCGTTCACGAAGGAGAGCGGCGTCGCGTCCGCCGTACATTGCACGGCGTCCGCCAAGACGTTGAGGCAGTAGGCCACGTGCTCGGGCGGCCAGTGCCAGACGTCGCGGTCGTCGTCATCTTCTCCCTTCTTGTCACCGTTGGTCTTGGTCTTGTGTGTGGCGTCTGTGATGTTCGTTTGGCGGTTGATGCTGGTCCCGTAGGCTTCCAATAGGACAATCTGTCACGAGATCAGGTCAGAAGAACAGGGGGAAGATGCGGCGTCAGCGAGCGGAAAAACACGGTAAGCTTACTATGCAGCGCATTTGATATAGACCCCGTATGAAGTAGACTTGGTCTTGGCCCATGCTAGGCGGCGTGAATGTTGCCTGCAAGGTGGACTTGCTGCCGTCGTCATGGACCCAGCGGGCGTGACGGCCGTTGATGCGGACCGCCGAAGCTGTCTCTCTTCTGATCAGAGCCTCTTCCCATAATTGCCGGGCGGGAAGGGGATCGTCCGTCACTTACAGTGCGTCTGGATCAGCCTCTCGACGGTCTCTCTCGTCTTAATCTCGCTCGCAAACACGTTGTCCGGTATGTGGTACGGGTTGCTTTCGTTGCGTACAAAAGTCCTCCAGCGCGGCGACCCGCCCACAGAGGCCGGGACGAAGCCGTTTGGATCATTCCCAAGAGGCGCCGCGAGCCAGAGGCTGACCTTGGCCGTCGCCAGTACCAGGATTGTCATAGGTAGGGAGTAAACGCACAGTAAGATGACCAAGAAGCACCCGCACGAGGTCCTCAGACTGTTATTTGGTCTTGCGTTGTGGCCGTCCAATGACATGTCGACCACTTCACAGGGCGACGACGTGGAAAGGCTCACGTAGGCGACATTGCCCCGCCGGTCGCACTTCCAGAACCGCATATTCCTGAAGAACTATTGTGCTACTCAACACAAATGCCCCATAATCCAAGTACAAGTGGGTGACGGAGCTATGTTCACCAACCTGCTCCTCCAATAAGCTTCCAGCTTAGTTAGTGATGCTGCAGGAAGTGTTCGTTCCAAAACGGGTCAGAACAACAGCCCGCCCAGTCATATGACCCCTGCCCATCAATCGAACTACCCGTAATTTTCTTGCTCTCTGAACAGAGCAATCGCCATGAGAAAAAGCCTGACAACCACCAGCGCTGCTAGTGACAAGGTTATTTTGCGATAGGTGAGCGGCCCGGCGCTGCTGACCAGCGAGGAGCTTTAGGTTCCGGTCGGCCCCGTAGCTTAAAAGCCCGTACAGCCCCACTCCCCGGGAACTTTAACTTACTTATCGGCTCGCAATGTTTCCTCCACGAGCGGTGCAGGTAGTCGCCGATGTCAATGTATTCGCTGTGGCGGCGAGCGAGAGGTCATTCGTTGTGGACTGGGAGGAAGATATCTAGAGGTTCAGTTGGGTAGTCTTCAAAGCTAAGTAGGGAGCAGGAAAAAGATGAAGGCACAACTTAACAACAGAGTGATAGAATAGAACCTACCTTATGGTGTTTTTGGGAAACACACCATTATGCATTGGAGATCGCAACAAGATGAATCCGATTACCACTCATTCTCAACTCCAGCCACGGAGGCAGTAGCACTCAGCAGCCGCCGAAGGCGGCCTATACTAAATACGGCATCGACTTGTGTCTTACTGCTGGCGTTAGTCATGACCGCAGCATGGCTCTACAACATGCTCCGCGATACGGTTATGAAGGGAGGTCTCTTTCGAAGCTGCAATAGCTGTCCGCAGCTCGACATGTCCGGGTACTTGTGCGCACCAAACGGCGCCAGGCCAGAAGTTGCATATGAGCGTGGATGCGCGTGGGATCCCATCAGCTTCCACTGGTACCGGCGCGAGCTTGTCGAGGACCCTGACAACCAGGAGCTGATCCGCGGGTTCCTCGACGCGGGACCGTGGCACAGGTTTTACGACGCTGAGGGCACCGTCGAGGTCAACCCGGCAAACCGCGTCCTGACGGCTCTGTGGCTAACGAAGCGCGAGCACGTCGTTCACTGCATGTACACGCTGCGTCAGACGCACCTGTGGCTGACCAAGGGCTTCGATCCGCCCTTCAACTACAGCCACACCATCCACTGCACGTCGTACCTAGTCAACATCATCCTCGAGAGCCCAGTGCCCGATATGGACAAGCTGACCGTCCATGCTGTGCCTTACCCTTCAGACTGGCAGCTAGTAAGTACCCTATAGCTCCCGAAATGATTTCGAGCTTAACGCGAACACAACCGTAGGTCAAGCCTAAATATCCATGTGACGAGGAAGGGTTGAGCTGCGTATCTTGGTGAAGAGGAACCAAAGCGAGAAGGCAGTGTGATGGGGGAGGCAGAGCTTCGGCCCGTCTGAGTCTAGATGAACAGGTCATACCCATCTATAAATTCAACGGTAGTTCATGCATTCAAGACCAAACAAAAAAATCGACGTGTTTGATTGTGGTACACAGCAATCACGTAGATTAAGCACCTGTAAACAGGAACAGGGTTCGTGCGTGATATTTCTCGAAACCAGGCCTAGGTGCAGGTTGAAAACTTTTCTCATCCACTAAAAAGTGATTGATCTGTTAGGATATGATTATGTATCCTCAACTCTAAGATTTCTCAGCACAGGAGAGCAGCAACCACGGCAGCCACGGCGGCGGGAGCAAACAGAAATGCGGTTGTGTTGCTAAGTCCCGTGTCCATGTGTTCGATCCCCAAACTGATGAGGCCGCTCGTCAAGACAGCCAGGCCCTGACCCACTGTGATGGCCATCTCATGGATAGAAAAGCGAGTGGCAGACGACCGAGGGGTCGAATGGTCACCGCCTTTCTCTTCGTGTACCACGGCTGTCTCGTACGAGATGATAGTGAAGGGCACCCATACACTCAGGGGCGAAATGATCATAATGCTGGCAGCGCAGATGGGCGCCGCCGGGAACGAGGCTCGGAACACAACTGCGGCCAGCGTCGACACGGCCAGCGCCGCGAAAGCCAGAGCCCACACGCGCCGCAGCGCCACCATGTCCTCGTCCATGAACCGTCGAAGGGGCTTCGTCGACGCTGACGACGCGTCCCACAGCCGGACGACCGTCATCTGCAGGAGAACGGCGCCGACCTCGGCTATCAGAAGGACGCGGACGCTAGCTCGTGCGCTGACGTCCGGCGCGACAGCTTCGGAGCCCCTTCCAAGAGTGGCAACATCTGGTTTCCATTTGGTCAGCCCGAAAGAACGGCGGAGCAGAGAGAAGCACTCAATATCAGGGCTTGGGGCAAGGTAACAGCTTGCTTGCTGCGGAAGGGCGACGGTGATTGACATACAGCTGTCTTGAAGGTATTTGCTCAAGTAGTGAGAGACGGGGAACCACGCATACTGCGACAGGATCTGGATCTTGCATGTGCGGTTGATCCATGGTGGAAGATGTCGCGCCGCATCCCACAGCGTCCGCGGCACCGACAAGATGGCTGACACCGCCCCGAAGCGGTCGCTTTCTCCCCGGTCAACGGCCTGGCGATCCACGCCGGGTGGCTTGTGGACAGCCCATAAGGGAAAGATGCTGAGCGTGATGAGGACGGCGCACACAGCGGTGATGGCCTTGAAGGAAGGCGTTACGACGCCGACGACAAGCGTGATGATGGCCCCTGAGGCGGACATGAGACCGCTCGCGAGGTTGAAGACTGGCTGCTGCCGGGGTGGGATGTTGTCGATAGCCATGGCGCGGTAGCCAACGACGGAAGCACGCGCGCTGATACAGCCCATGTAGACGGCGGCAGCGCTCACCCATTTTGTAGCGGCCGGGTTGCCGCCGACGAGGTCGCGGGACCACGCCAGGATGATCTGGCAAGCGGCCATGGCAACGCAGCCGGTTGTGAAAAGGCCGAGGCGGCGGCCGGAGCGGTCGCTCAGGACGCCCATGATGGGCGCCACCGTCAGGCCAGACAAAGGGCCAGCGAGGAGGACCAGCGAGACTTGGGAGACGGCAAAACCAACCTCTGATGTGAGGTATGGCTGAAATGAATCAATTGCAAATCAGCTTGCGGTCCTTTGATTTCGTGATTCAACTAGCGTTTCATTTCCTCCGACCGACTTACTATTAGGTAGACGGTAAACATAGTGAAGAAGGATTGAAGACTGTATACATGCTCAGCTATTTGTCACACATTTCATTACTCCCACGGATTTTGCCGTGTGGTATTACTGACGGCAACGAGGGCGCAGAATAGGCCAAGATAACCCGGAGACTGGTGTGAGGCCTGTCGCCAGCCGGCGTATTGGCGGATACATCGGCGGATGTGCTTGTGCTGCCCACGACAAGGGAAATGTCGACGGGATGGTCAATTGATTCGAAACTCTTCATTCGTGCAACAGAGGGGGGCTGAACAGTGATAGGTGAGTAGCCAGTTTCCTTCTCTCTCCCTGCGTACGTGTGTGCGCGCGCGTGTGTGCATGTTTGTGTTTAATGTCTTTTGATGAGAGTTGGCTGGTCTCGGTTCCTCGGGGGGATTTAACGTTTGAAGTAAAATCAGACCAGCCGTCCCATTTCGTTCGCTCAACTCTGATCTTAGATAAGTAGTTAATAAACCACCCCGCTTTTGGCCCGTTCACACAAGACTACGGGGTTGTAAAAACAGACACTCGACGCATTCTATATGGAACATTTCTTCAATGAGGCAAATCGTCTGTGTTTGATAGTATATTGTGTTTTGACGAAGCACGACGAGTAAAGTGTTCTCAATATCAACTACGGGAGTCCCAGCTCGAAGGCACACGGGTATCAGACAAACGAAGGAAAAAAACGATGGTAAACTTCATACGGAGGTACCTACTGGTATGCCCGTCTTTCCTGGCTTTCGCTGTTACCAAACACAAAAACCGACTGACAACGATTCGAATCGGTGTAAAGAAAGAGACGTCGAGCGGCGATGCGCCTCTGTATAACCGGCTGGACGATGATGAGAGCGGAAACAGAAATTTGGTCAGCAAAGAGGAACTCGATCGGCCCTCTACTAATAAGTCGGTGGCAACAAAGCTGAGCTTCTTCATCTTGGGATTCCTTGTGGCCATGACCATCAGTGCCATCATTGCCTTTCTCGTCCCTGTGGGTTTGCACGACGGTCTACGTTGCGCGGAATCTCCGTAGCATTCAGAACGCAAGGATGAGTTGGCGAGAACACTGTATATGCTACGGCGAATGGATGGAAGAAATATCCTTTGCAAATGAGGGGCTTCGCGTGCCTACGACATCGTGTCAAGAATCAGATGGCTGAACCAGAAGCTTGCCCATGACTTTGCCACAGCGGAAAAGATCCCCAAACGCCTCGGCCGCCTTATCCAGTCCGCGGACTACATGCAGCGGCGCAATCCTCGGGAGCCCGCCATCCTTCTCTATGCCCTCATATATTTGCTGCTGGAAGCTCGCCATGTACTTGCCGGCCAGATCGGTGATGAGGAACCCGCTGATTGTCAGCCTCTTATAGACGACAGGTTGCCAGAGCCACGGAGAGTCCGGTGTTGTAGCGCAGCCAGGCTCGTCGTCGGCGCCTCCAATGTTGCCATACTCGTCGACGGCGTCGCACACGACGATCCGCCCGTGGACCTTCATGCAGGTCGCTGCCGCGCGCAACTGGGCACCGCCAACACTTGCAAAGTGGATGTCGAGCCCTTCCGGGGCAGCGCGGCGCAACAACGACTCACCCGTCTCGTGGCTGTCTTGGCGGTTGAAGACAAAAGCATCGTCGAATATGCCAGTTTGTCGGAGCCAGTCGACCTTGTCGATTGAGCCGGCCGATCCCACGACCCGGAGCCCATCTCGCTTGCTAAAATAAGCCACCGTCAGGCCGACCGTGCCTGCCGCCGAACTGACGAAGATGGTTTCGCCGGACTTAGGCCGGCCGCACTCGTAGAGGCCGGCGAAGCCCGTGAGTCCGGGCTGGATGTCCAGAGCATGATAGATTAGCGTATCATTCTTCTCGCCCATAGACTCAGTGAGGTGTGTGTGTTTCAATACAAGTCATACGCCGAGGAGAAAAGGGATATGAAAACGAGGCCGGGCGCGGAAAAGGGGGTGGAGGTTCTAGAAAGCCCTTTTTACGGCGGGATACTTACAACACCAAGGACACCCAGCCAATGACCCGCATCAAGGCTGTACCCCTTCACACGTCCCCCGATGGGCACCACCAGGCGACGATTAGCAGCAACTGACACCTCGAGGATTACATATTGCGCCAAGGGGACCCTGGCGAGCCACACAGTCTCGCCGACGGGGAGGTCATGGACGGCGTCGGACCGCACGACGGTGCCCACGGCGCTCGTGCACAACGGCTCACCAACAGGCAGCGCGGGAGTGTAAGTCCAGGCGGAGGAGGAGTCCCTGAGCTGAGAGCGAAGAAATGGATCAAGAGAGGCCAGCTGGATGCGGACCAGCACGCCCTCCCCGTCGGTCATGGGTAGCTCTTTCACTACTAGATCTTTTCCTGGCTGGGGAAAGCGCCCAGTCGGCACCGAGCTGAAGATGAGTGTTGGATTGGACATATTAACGGCGTCGTAACCTTGCGGGTTTGACACGGCATGTAACAATGCTCCCAGGGGGCGAGAGGTAAGCTAAGGTGACGTAACGGTCTGCGCAAAACGGACTCTGCTGCTAGATTATTCTGTCCCCCAAGTCGATGACATGGACGCCATGTACATCATATCAGATGACGGCTGAGCACCTGCTCTGCTGCTTTCACCCTTGCCTTGGGCCAAACAAGTTCAAGTTGGGGCAGCCGGATCATCACGCATGGTCGTAAATTAGACTTCGAGACTTCGGCTCCGGTGTTTATTTTGTAGGCCTTGTAAACTCTACTGCACTACTTGCACAATCACAGTGGCTACGGAGCTGTCTACGCGTTATTGGACATCCAAACGATCTATGGCATGTCATGAATAATAGTGCAATAGTCAAACTTGTTTGCGGAGACCAGAGCTCGAGTATCATCGAATTCCTTTGCAAGGCAATTCAACTACAATGGCTCCATCGACCAAGACTTTGTATGAGGCTCTCAACACCACAACCCGCGACGACATCACTGCCGACGACAACGACTCCGGTGACGGATGCTGTTGTGATTGCGGTTGCCACAGTAGAAGACGGGCGTTGGAAAGACGTCTCCCTGCCCGCACCATACTGTTCTTCGTCCTCGCTGTCTGCACAATCGCCGCCTGCGCCTTCGCCCTCGGCGTCAAATCTTATCTTAGAATCTCACAGCCCGTGATCCCATTGGGTGCTGACCCATGGGGCCTCGTCCCCCAGGGTATCTACAGATCATGACAAGTCCATTACACCGCTATTCTTTACAGAATGTACACGGCTGACCCAAAGCAGAGGTGGGCCAGCCGGCGTCGTGGCGGTCATTCTACAACGACTCCCGAGACCCTTACTGGATGGACGAGGACACGTTCGACAACTTGGATGTCATCAGGCGCGTTGTCAGACGCCTCAAGTGGCTGCAGAATTGTAAGCACGTCATCACATCACTTTTGCCTGTCGTCATCGTTATTAGACGCCGATCCAACTAACAGATCTTCTTTCGAAATGGGCAGCCACAAATATACGTGCCAACGGCCAGAAAACTAGATATCGGGATTGGGGCGGCAGGGAGAACGTGTTACCGTCCTACCATGGATCCACGCCTACCGAAGTGTTCGGCATACGATCTTTTCATCAAATTCATTGCATTGTACGTCTAGCCTACTCTTTGATCTGCAGGGTAATGAGGCTGATCTCTTGTCCTCCCGTTCACAGATTGTCATGGTCGAGGACTACGGCCTTCGCCTACACGGCGAGCCCTCGCAGTGGACGCCAGGTCACGTCATGCACTGCATCAACACGATGCGGCAGCTTACGCAGTGCATGGCTGATGCCACCCCGATCTCCCTCGTTCATGGTGCGGAGAAACACCTCGGCGACGGCCAGCAGATGTGGTGCCGCGACTTTGACGGCCTCCGCCGTTGGGCTAACGCCCCGGAGCGCGGCCTCCGCTACGCCATCGTCTCGCCCCCGGGCGCTAAGGACGTTTATGACGAGATATGGCCTTATCCGGGAGACTTAGGCCCGCCGGCGGACTTGTGGTAAGCCCTAAGCGAGGACTGTTCATACAGATTTTGCGTCACGAAGTTCATTTTTTAATGCTGGAAAAGGCTAGAAAGGATCGATAGATGATATAAGCCGGCCTCGTAAGCTTTTGACTATTAATTGCGTGTCACCCAGGAAGTCTGGGTGTCCAGTACATAGTTGTGATCTACCTGCTGGCAACGCTGTCCTCTTTCTATGATGCAACTCGAATTCTGGATCATGATGGAGTATTCCATTAGTCAGATACACGGTGTCGCGGGTGTTCATCCGGAAATGCCCTCATTGAAAAGTGATTAACCTCACTCACACGTTCTTCTTGTTAACAGGAGCGAGTATCCGTTAGGCTAAAAGATGAAAACCCGTTATTCATTTGCTTGGCACTCAAAGACATGCCCACTCGACCGTGATTCGATACGTGACCTCCGTCACCGGAACTTTTAACCTGTCCACGTCGATGGGCATGTACTTTTGAATCGACTGAAGAAATTGGAGAACGATATTCCATTGTCCGTAACAAAAGTGATAAACAGACATAAGCTAAATAAACAATCATATTCAGAATAATTGTATTTCAGAGAGAAACATAAATTGTCTAACTAGATAGAATGGGTAGTGTTATATACAATCGCTTATCTCTTCTAAGACCGCCTTACCATCCATGATGTTGAAAAACATCCCTCGACTTCACACCATAACAAAACCCTGACCAAACAACATATAACAACCAAAAAACCTTTTAATACTGTCAGCGTCAGTCAAGGCCCTTCCAACCACCCTCATCACGGCACTTAGTCAAGTCACACTCCTCCTCCAACCTAGAAACAGCCGTAACGTTAAGACCCGAATCATAGTGGAAGGGCAGGGCACGTATCGGGTCCTCAGCCCATCGCACAAGAGCGCGAAAGTCGCGGCACCGTGGCACGCTGCTGGCCCAGCTCGCGCGGCGGATCTCGCTCATGGGCACACTACCGAATGGCTCCTGGTAACCCTCGGCCGTACTGTCTGCAGAGCAGGCAATGGACCTGTACCATTTGTTGAAGCAGTGAATAACGTGGTGGTCATTCCACAGCGGGCGGAACCCGTTGACGAGCAGGCCGTAATCGCGCAGCATCTCCATTATGCAGTGCATCTGGTGCAATCCTGATATGACATAGGCCTCGGTGTTGTTGATGGTGATCTTGGGATAAAGGAATTGCTGCCTGCCCGAATCGTCAATGTAGACGCCGTATTGTGAGTTGGCCTTCACCCCTGTGGCTTTACCAACTTTGCCTTTCTGCTAAGAAAGGATATGAAATACCCAATCCACAACATTAATTCCTTATACCCGTTAGCAGACCCTACTATCCACCAACTGACCGCATCAACACATCTCCATTTTATACGACGACCACGATGGAGTATTCTAATATCGAGAAATATCCCCGTTCGCCGTTGTCATCGTTGTCGTTAGAAAAGGTTTTTGCACAGCCTGAGCCCGAGATGCATAATCTGCTTGAGCACAAGGCGGGGTCTGGCAGAGCCAGATGGTCTCCGAGACTATCTATCGCTCTCCTTATCCGTCTTGCTTAACATAGCGCTCATCGCTGCTCTAGCAATCATTCTGCGGGGACGTCATGGGCCGAGCCGGCCTTCTTGGATGCCGCCAGAGAGGGTAGACAAGCACATCTTTCTTTCCCAACCAATATTTGGCCAGGGGCCCAATGTCACAACCGAAGACAGATGGGCTATGTTAATGCCAAGTTAGTCGAGCCGTTCCCTATACCTCCTAGATAAAATGGTTTCACAATGAAGAGCATTCCCCTTATTTCCTCCACAAAAGTCGAGAGATGCGTTTATTTTACGACCAGCCACAAAACGCACAAAAGAAGCATAAGCCTTGCGCGCATCTCTGATCCCATTACAGAAGGCAACGGCTGGATCAATGTGACGATAGACAATGGCGTGCTGCCTTATATGCCAGGGCTAGACCGTTCCTTGCCTGAGCAAAAGGCACGCCTGTCCGTCTTCCACCAACTGCATTGCCTGGTGAGTCGAAGCAAGTCGGGAACCATGAGCGCAGAATCGCTGACAAGTAACCTCTACTTCCCAGTACATGGCAAGAGATGCCTTCGTCCAAGCACGGGACGGACATCTGGAAAGGGTCCATGTGGACCACCTTTCTGACTGCTGGGACTATCTGCGACAGGGCATCATGTGCGCGGGCGACGCGACACTCGAGTGGAAGCAGGCCAACGCGAGTGGCGGCGAAGGTTGGGGATATCAGCACATGTGTAAAGACTACGCGCTGCTGTTCATGTTTGCCGAGCAGTATCGCGCCACGGAGGAACACTCACTCCGTGGCGAGTATTGAGGGGACGGATTGCCAATTGCTGCTACGTAGAGAAAATCGCCTGACGCCTTCCATCTAGGACGGTCTTGCCGTAATCCAAAATCCTTGTTGTTTGCCACGAGATAGACGCTTAAGCTTCAAAATATCACAAACGAAACAAAAGATCTCTGACTTCTCTCTCCATTTCTTTGACACTACTTAGGTATGGATGATGATGGGAGCCATCATAATGGCCATCAGACATGTCTGCCTGTGATGGAAGACAGCTCCCCTCCCCCCCTCCCCCCCTCTGTGCATGGGTATTTGGCAGACACCAAAACAAGTGCAGCAATGACAACTCTCGAGATTGAGTTTGTCACCACCAGGCCTAAATATGCTTCCAATTAGCCGATGGGCCACCGTGCTAACAGTAAGCCCACTCCACTCCTTGGAGGACAGCATAAATCTACTCCATGTGTAAGCCAGCCCATCGTTCCACGGCCTATCCGACCAGCCCTCAGAGAAAGATCAGTCATCAGGAAACACATCATGTCGTCCGTGGAGTCCATCCAGAGACTAAGCTACAGCACGGAGGCCGACGACGAGACAACCCGGTTTCTGAACCAGATCCATGAACAAGCAGCTTGGGGACGCGAGAGGCGGCGCCTGAGATGGGCTGTGTGGCTATGGTTCACGACCACTTTGCTCTTCGCCGGGTTCTCAACCTGGCTCACAACGAGGCAGACATTTATGAGCCATTTTGGATCGTTTGAGACGGGATACGCGACAGATTTCAGTAAGTCTTCGTCTCTTGACACCCCATACGTTCTCGCTCTCTCTCTCCGGTCTTCCCTCTTTCTCACTGTCTATCACGTGTGCACTCTGTGTTCTGTCATTTCATCTATTCCAGTCGGTAGGATTTGTATTTTTATCGCCCGGATGCCCATAGGCTTACTCGATTCCGAATCATAGAAGCAGCAGTCGAGCACATCGAGCTACACGTTTCGACTTTCGAGGGGACCCCAGCTTTTATGGATGACGGAACTGAATACATACCTGGGCGAAAGGATGGAACGCAAAGACTGAAATTCACGGGCACGCCAAGCAGAGAAATCGACGTTAACTGGTACGATCTTCACTTGGGCGAGGGTAAGTACACCCATGACACAAGATCCTCCGGCAAAGTGTAAGTGCACGGTAGCTAACGAAGATGCCTGGATGCGTTGTAGGTCACTTTTTCATCGTCACCGAGGACGAGGCTCGAGAAGCATGGGGTCCGGAATATGTGAAATACTGGGAACCAAGAGCAGGAGGTTACGTTGCCACGTATGTGTAGCACATATTCCTTTGTCATCGAAGTCTGCGTCGAAGATGCTGTCTCGACTAACGTTTTCGTTCCCCCGCAATCAGCGTCGAGGTCATGCACCTTATCCACTGTCTGGCAAGTGATACTCCCCATCCCCGACCGTGGCCCTTCTCCCCCATGTGATAATGGCCGCCGTTGACACGATGTACCTAGGACCACATTCGTAAAGCCTTCCATCCCGAGGCCTACCACGACCCGAATCCCGTCCATGGAATCTTGCACAGGGACCATTGCATCGAGTCGCTGCTGCAGCTGCTGGTGTGCACTGCCGACTTGACACCTATCCCATCCACCTATCGCCTCGGATTGGGAACAAATTACATCAACACGGACCGTCCACACACCTGCCGCAGCTTCCCCAAAATTGTAGACTTTGTGACGAAAAGATTCAACGGCACTTTACGTGTGGAACCGTACGCTGAGGCCGCCTGGAAGAATCAACCGTAGGCCTGTGGCTTGGGGTGCGATGGTTTGGCTGAAACGTTATCAACGGCTTCATAATGACCTGGCACCAGCTCTAAAAGATAGCTTCTGTTTTGTTTAGGTTTCCTTTATCTAAGCTTTTAGTGTCTAAAAAGAGAAAATCTTCACTAAAAAGTTCTAAATTATCAATATATATCCTGCTATTTTCTTGCTATAACAGGTAGAGGGTTTAATAGGTGATATTAAGACTAAAACCTATATAGAGCAGCCTAGCCTTACTAACTAAATAATTACTAACCTACAGATGAGATCTTCCTATAAATCACCTTTTACTATATCTAAGAGGTTATAATTAGTAAAGTCTAACTAATTTATAGGTATTGCTTGTTTTTTCTATTTCTATTTAGGGTTTAAGCAAGAGACTTCTACAAACATTGTCATCTCCAGCGTTACAACCTAAGATACAGTATAAGTTTTTCCAGCGCTTCAGAATACAAACAGCACTTAGCCACACTAAAATTGAAGGTCGGAACCATCTTCTGGCATCTGGTATGTGCCGCCTAGGTTGACGAGATACGCGAGGCTGTTGAACTCGGTGTCAATAGTTTTAATAGCCCAACCTCTCATAGGACCGGCTTTCTCGACGGTAAGGATCTGGATGCCCCTAACAGGCAACCTCGCCTCTCCAAAGGCAGCCGTCCACTTGAGCACGATCGTGTCGCACGTGACAACATCGACTGTCCGGAGCGTAACGGGCGTCGGGCGCCCACTCTGCCGCTCCAGAGCAGCCTTGAGCTCGTCTCGGTCGCGGTACGTCGGCGCGCCCAGCGGCTTGCCCGCCAGTAAATTCATGCCGTCGCAGCGGGCCACCACTTCGGGAGCCACCAGGCGGTCCGCCGCCGCCGCCGAGTAGTTGCGGATCAAGGCCTGGAAGTCGGTCGCCAGTTGGTACCCGTCCTCCGGACTCAAGCAGGTGGGGGTGGAAGATGACAGCAACAGCGCTTGTTGATCCTGTTGGTGCAAGACGTCTTTCCACTTGAAACGGACGAAGAAACCTACCGCCTTTGAGAATAAGAGAACGAAGCAAAGTCGGCGTGCCATGATAACCGTGTGAGCCGCCGCTCTCGGCAAATTTCTCGTCAATAGGGGTGGCTGAACAATGCTTCTCTCCTTCACGAGGCTACGAGGTAGTTCAAGGTACCGGAATAACGGCCCGATGTCAAGCCCCCATGGTAAGTCCTGCTGGAACAGAGCATGTTCGTGGTGATTCCATTAGTGTTATGTATTACCTCACAAGAAAGGTTCATGACCATGTGGACGTTATAGTTACATCCTGCATGTGTAGGAAACTTGCTCGCATCACATAAACACAAGTCGGTCTGATACCTGCTTAATGGAGGTCCTTCAGAGTTGCAGTCCTCTCACAAGCAGATTGATGATGTCGCGGCTATCGTAGGCAAAACTCAAACAACGAGGAAGACATTAACGGGGAGGAGAACGAGAAGCCCGTTGACATATCACGCCACATATGGCAGTCAACCGCCGAGACATCGCGCAAGGTTGGTGTGTTTTGGGTTGCGTTGGGCGATATCTTCCACCAACGTTAATTAATCTACCGGATTTTCTGCCTTCCTCGGCCTGGAACAAAACTCTGTAGATTTGCCTTTGTCTGGCCTGACAACGAACCTTTTGCCTTTCTGGTACAAAACGTTATGTGTTACTCGGGTTAGCAAGAAAAGCCATCCCAGCGGCTGCCACAAGCCGCCAAAAGATACCTTACGAATATGACCCCAATTCTACCCCAAATTCAGGGTGGACAAATGTTTTGATTCGGTTCAATTATGTCTTCGCGTATTTCCGTGTACTTTAATTAGCTTTGCTCCGCATGTTTCTGGCGTCGTGTGACAGCCAAGGTGATAGTTCGTAACTTAAAAACCCCTGAACCTTCCCTATCCATTGGAACGGCCATGAGCTGCTTAGTGATGAGTCGAACAGAACCTCTAAAATAGTTAGCCGCATCCCCAAACAAGTTGTCGATCCAACCGCTGACGTACTCGCCTGGCCTTTCTTAACAGAAAGCAGTTTGATCAAGGCAGCGCTTACACTAGTATTGCCTAGCGTTGCAAATACAGTGTCGCCTTGCAGCTGCGAGGCTTTACATACCTTGATTTCACAGCCCTTTTTGGAGTCTCTCATGTAGAGCTTGGAATAGAGGGGTCAGGTCACATCCGGCGTCGGAGAACATGGCAATTATGCGATTCTGCTTCACCAGGTCCAGCGGACTGTTGTATGTATATACAGTTATTGTGAATTCCATCTTTTCCACTGTAGTATGGCCTCGGACTTTACTGATTGCCTTCTCAGTTGCATCAAGCATCTCAACTGGGGTAAGTATCGGCTAGTGTTGGAGCATCAGTTATCCAATGCCGGGAGGCACGACCTATTAGTCAACCAACCCCGCCACGCTTTCCCCCTCTGTTGGTCTGTGTGCACGCATGTGTGAGAGAGGGGATATCGCAGGGAGCTTCAATTCTCCAAAAGCCATGATGCTTGAGCAAAGACGACGTCGTGGCGCCTGTCTTTTGTGCCGCGAGAAGAAGACACGATGTCCGTACCCACCTACCTTCCTAGTATGTTTGAACCAAAGGCTGATGATAGGATGTATTGATACGCAATTCAGGCGACAAGAAACAGCCATGTGTAACCTGCCAAGTGAGTCCGAGTTTTCTTGTCTTTTTTTGCCTTTCTTCTTTTCTTTCTGCCATTCTCGCCTGTTAGCACCAAGAGCTAACACAATGCACCCCGACCCCAGCGGACTGGGCAACAATGTTTCTATCCGGATTATGCGCCTCGCCCACGTCGAAGACCCGCGTCTCTGCGGTCCAACTTTCTCATGTATTCTCCCAACGAAGGCTGCCTCGACCTCGGATATGGGTCTCCGCCCAGAGCTGGTGCCGACTACCGTAATTTCATCACGACTCACCCCCAGCTGCTGTCTGTTCCTCGCCCACTTACTGCGGGCATCGCCGGTCCCAGGTCCGAGATACTACAACTGAACGGCTGCAACCGTGGCCTCCAGCAGGGCTACTACCCAGGCGAGCTATCGGACGGGCCTGACTGCCGATTCCCGTTGCCCTTCGCAGTTAGCGAAGCCAGCGCGGCCAATGCCTCGGACTCAAGCGATCTGCATATTGATGCCATTCAGGAGGAACAAGCCACTCCATGGGGCAGCTCTAAGCCAATCGAGAGGGCGAACTCCGCCCGCAGCTCTGTCGGTTCGTTGGATGACGACATGGAATGGGCCATCGACTTGGGCTGGATAACCTCCGAAGCCGGAACCCCCTCTCAGTTCCTCGAATCGTCCGTCACGACCGTCGTCGACGACTTGGAAAAGCCAATCAGTTACAAGGCGGCCTCTCAGATAGTTTCCCCCGCGAATACACAGCAGCCGACTGACATCGTCCTCGCCAACGACACAAAATCTGAGTCTAGCGCAGGTGTCACGGCACCGCTGTCGCCGTCTTCCCCGGGGAGGCCTAGAATAAGCGCATCTTCACAGTCTCTCTACGGGCTGCGCGACACTGTCTGCCGTTTGCTCGGCAACCATCAACAAGATATTGCTCGTGCTCTGTCCGTCTCTGAAGATAAGACGCCAAACGCTAGCAGGACCGCGAACCCAGTGCCGGCTGGCGAGTCGGATTCATATGACGGCTCTTGGTGGATGCTCGAAAGTGACGCGGCTTTACAAGCGTATATTGCAGGTTAGTGACTATGAGTCCCAAAAGGGAAAGGGAAATAGAAACGAAAGTGAAAAGTCTTTGTGGACCACGTTCTTTTTTGATATTACTTGCAGCCGAGTTCAGACGCTGACATATAACACATCACAGCCTTTAGCGACTATTTCTATAGGTCCGTCTGGTCTCTTCCGTCGCTATGACGTGGCAGTGTGACTACGTGACGCGCGTTCTGACGGTCAACGTTCCCAGTTTCATTCCAAAGGCCAACATCGAGGCCCGGCTCAAGGAGGCTCGTCTCCCGGACGCAAGCCATCTCGTCCGTGGTTTCGCAAGCGCTGTCATCGCCCTTGGAGCATACTACCACCGACAACACGGATTTGCCGTTATTGCCAGTTGCAGTACCCAGAAACAGCAGCAGAAGAAGCGTTCCTCTTGCTCACACAACGCCGGTGGCGGACATCTCGAAGATGCCCGGGCGTCGTGGCGTCTACATGCCGCTCTTGCATTCCGCGGATGTGTGCGGGGTTTGCCTAGTCAGCTGCTGAAACTTCAGGTTGGTTTCCGTGGTAGGTCCTGGGAGAAATGGAAAGGGAAGAGGTCTTGTGGAAAATGTAACGTGGTAGTAGCTGATGAGTAACTGAGCTGACGTTTTATTCTATCAACTTTAGGTGTCATTGCTCATGGTCAGTTAACTATGCTGAATCCTTGTTTGCTCACGTTTCTCGCGCACTGCTCTCCCCCCATGCTGACAATTCCCCGCAACTTACAGGCCTCTATTGCAAGCGAGTGCGATATACCATCTCTTGTCACCGAAAATGTGGCAATCGCCGCCATGCACGTTCGCGAACTGGACTTGGCACAGATTGATGCTGTTGATGACGAGTCTGTGCTCAGTTGGGCTTACTCGTACGTGCTGGACGTCTCTTACGCTCTTCATCGAGGAGCACCTCCGGTAAGCCAGTCTGCTGTTGATTCGGACGCCCGTCATACGCATTCATAACGCAGAAAACCATGTCTCCCCGTGTGTTTCACGACGAGAAGCTTCCGGGGGAGACAGAACGTCAACGACAGCTGATATCTGGACCAAAGTATTGACTATTTCAGACGCTCGACTGCGATTGGATAGACGGTTCGGATCCTCTGAGCCACAGCTCCGAAGGGGACCTGTTAGGTATACGCTCCCTAGCGGCTGTGATGCACCGTTGTTTGCGGAGGCAGTTCAGTCCCCGGGCGTTTTACACGTACTCTTCGGCGACGGTGATTCCTGGCGGCGGCAGATGGCAAAGCCATCAGAAGTCCCAGGAACAGTTGCGATACTGGGTCGAGCTCTTCCCCGATTTGAACTTGCGGATTACCCCAGGGAACAACGGCTGTCTGCCCACCAGCACCGCACGTATGGCCTTCTGCATGTATCACCGTGCTGTCTTCCTAACACATTGCCCGTGGATTGTTACTGCTGCTGATTTTCACGCTGAGCCCATCCCCGAGCATGGAGGGGTTGGGGATCAAGATGCCCTTGGACATGGGTGCTGCATTCGGGCGTGTCTGGAATCGGCCCAGCAGGTCATTGATGCCATCCCTTGCTTTTTTTCCCAGTCGTCATGCGGCACAAGGCTCGAGAGGTATGCGAAGAGACCAAAATTCATAGACCTTCTTAGAAGATGAGCTGACGCATAGGTTCGATTCAAAAGGCAGACAGTAGAGAGCCTGGTGTTAACTAGCTTATTCCTCATCATCTATTGCAAGGTAAATGGGGAAGTTCCCGGGGAGCATAGACGAAAGGCGAATGCACTGGCCGGGCTATGCCACGGATCCCTAGCCCGTATAAGTCTTGACGAGAGCGATGCCAACAACGACGGGGATGGCGATAGCGTCGACAACAGTCACGGCCATAGCGGTCATCACCTGACCCTTGAGCGATTTAGCTTGCTCGTGTCGATCGCCGATCGCTGTGATCCCACGTAGTGAGAAGAGATCATGTAAGCCAAAATGATCAAGAATCATTGAACAAAGCCCGAATTCTATTGGATCTGCTTAAGATGATCTGACTTCTGAGTACCAAACCTGCGTCACAATCGTATACCAACCTCTATTCAGATGAAACAAAAAACACCTCGCTATGCAATCCGACTTCCGAACCTCTTCGCAGCTACCGCCCTTAAGCCGGTGTCGTAGTGTTGCTCGGAGCCGCACCACCGCCGCTGCCACCTGATCCACTCAAAGAAGGGCTGTTCTCGGTATCGATTCCGATTGTAATGTAGCCAACCATGCCGTTGCGAATATCAACTCCATCCAACGGAACGATATCGATGACAGGGTTGTAGCCGTTCGCGAATCCCTCAGAGTAGACAGAGTCGACGTCGTTGGTAGTGCGGTTGATCTCGGTATGCGACACATAGGGCTCGAGGGCCATGATCTCCTGGGAAACCGTCTCGTTGAAATATAGTTGACCAATAGAGTTGGTGTTTCCCGTCTTGACGGTGCCGTTGCTGGTGACGACCCAATCGGTGAAAACTAGTAAAACATTGTTAGCACAAATCTCGATGTCCATTGTTTTCCAACTCACCTTGCGCGTGAATGTGAATAGAGCGCTGAATGTAAAAGCCAGGGAAAATTGTCTTCATCTCCAGAATACCATCGTCGTTGGTGGGCCACATTCCACGCAGCCATGTAGTGTCATCGGTATGCAAATCCGTAGTACCAATTTCGAAGTCGGTGACATTCAGTGACTCAAGGAGCTCACGGAAATCCGTGTTAGGATTACGGCCCGTGAAACTAGAGTAGCTTCCCGTGGCGTTGCAGTGCCAAAACGCAACAAGCGCGTTTGGAAGAGGCTCGCAAGTTGCCATATCAATGACACCGACGTCAAGGGTAAGAGGCACTCCGATTTGGTCCTCGGTCATATCCTGACGCAGGGTCTCTGACCGGGGCCAGTAGTAAGGTCCGGCGGTGACATCGGGCGCGAGGACGCAGGTGTTGTTCTGAAGATCTTCGTAGTACGGAGCCTCGGTCACGATCGTGACGCTGCTGTTGCCGGATCTGCGCTCGAGGTAGGCGGCTTCTTGGCGCTTTTGAAATCGCTTCTGCTTGAAGGCCGCGGACCCAGCAGCACAACGCTTGGAAAGGTTGGCGTGGCGCTTGACCACACCAGGAGCGACCTCCTTGTGGGCGACAACGGCGGAGGCCAGGAGGCCAATGGACGCGAGCGAGTGTAGTTTCATCTTGGAGGAAGATAAAGAGTGACGGAAAGAGTGTGATCGCCGTTGTTTGAAAAGATTGGATGACGAGGGTAGAGATGTTTACAAAACAACTACCCCCGCCTCTATTTGTATCAAGCTCCTTTTCATTTCGTGATCGCTGCTTTTCCCCTTTCACAACAGGCTCACTGGCCGCGGATCGCCCTTCGGGGTGAAAATTCCCATTGCGCCCCTTTCCCCTGGGCGACGCGGTCTTCTCCATATTCCCCAGTCTCCACGCATCAGTGTCCAATGCCTCTTCCTCTATCGGAACTACCGATACGCGTCACCAAGAGCAACCCTTGGGAGGCTGAAAGATTCATAGCCTAGTCCAGAACACCTAACTCCCGTACCAACAAATCAAAGTCGATCTAATTCACCCCGGTACGTAAGCAAAGAGGTATGGTTGGTTAATCCAAGGAACAAGTCCATTGTCAAAACCAATGAAACAACTCGAATACAGACCCCTCAATATCTAGCAAGCCCTATCCAATATTTTTTTGACGTCAGGTTCGTGGAAGCTGACGAGGCTGTCCCTACAACCCCACTGAAATCGGGATGTGGGCGCTCGGAACTCAAGTTCAACAACACCACCGCCCCCGTCGTGTCGATCTTCGTAGACATGACTGAGAAGCCGCCGAAAATTCCCATATTCAGTGTGACATCGGCTGGGAAATGAACACGCACAAGCGAAGGCGATGGAATTTTGCGCTCTCTTAAAAGGTGCACCAAGAGTGCTTTATTCACGTCGTTCGGCATTGCCGCTGAGCCGACGGTTCATGGTGCAATGTTGATGGAAGCCTACGAGGTAACACTCATAGACAAACGCAGAATTTCACTACATTCATCGATCAATTAGCCTATGAATGAGGACTTTCAGTCGTTCAATGGATGTTACCCGGGAGGCTATTCTTAGGCCCGTCCCTTTTGCGGGGGCTTAATTATGCGGAGGCCCCTGTGCATTTCGACCTGGCGACGCGTGTCTATCCGAATACTCATACTCGGATTCGTATCGATGTCTACCAAGCCTCGCGGAAATCGTCCGCCGCGGTCTGCAACCCTTGTATCTGATTAACAGTTCATACAGATGATTCCTTGTGTTCGAAGGAAAGGATTCTTCAGTAATGGCAATCTCAGTGCGTTGCAATACCTTTCGCCTGAGGATTTGTCCCTCTAAGCATGAGAACACAAGCAATAATGCCGAAGTAGAGAGCGCCATAAATTTCATCGTTCGCATTTTACCAAGACTCCGTAGCCCCGACTCAAGTAAATACATGCTGACGGTGTGCTCCGGCCCCACCGGGTGCAAGCTCCGGGCGGGGGTTGGGTGGCTCGGCGTCGTGGCTTCCGCCACATCCCGGAAAACGACTTGAGTTCGGATTCTTATCCATGTCAAAAGATGCGAGACAGATAAATTGAGAAACCTATACTGCCAAAGAGCGTCGCTTGATTGGCAGGCACTGAGATTTTGACAGCATCACTGCTATCGATGGCTTAGTTTTGGCTTGCGACGGAATTAAGGTGAAGGTCAACTGAAGATGGAATATGAAGGAAGAAAGAATCAAAATAATCCGTGTGTTGAATTTGTCAAGTTCCCAGGTGAAGCCAGAGGCTTCAGGCGGCATTTCTCGTGAAAGGTCTTGACAAGCCGAGGTCGACAATACGGCTCAAGTGTGGAATTCTCACGTGTCGCGAGACTACAAGCAACGGTCACTTTGTCGTCAGACTTATCAGTATCGACAGTATCGATAAAAACGGTGAGCATGCAACAACTCTGATCACATTCCGAGCATTGTTGATGATGTGCAAACCAATGGGTGACGTACAAATGGCCTAGCAATATTTCCAATACGCTGCTCGATCCCGTCTGATTCCTACCAAGCAATTGGCCGTGGGACTACATGATCCATATAATGATAGTGACCTCTGGGCAGCTCCATCTTGACTATATTGAAGAATGGAAAAGAGTGTCAACTCAGTATATTGTTCAAGTCGAGACTCAAATCTGCCATGCATCAACTGCTGCACCCAGTAACACATGCCCATCAGTTCTCCCCAGCCGGCCGACAATCATACGGCCACCTATCCGCGTTACTCTGAGGGAACAGACCCTTCTCAGGACACGAATATTGGCTCAGTAGTCAAGGCTTTGTCTAAGAAATCAACTCAGAGTTCAATGATCACGGGTACAGAGTGACTCCTGGAGCAATCAAGTACAACTACAATGACAATCCCGTAGGTTCTCCTTGATGGATGATTTCTTCGGAATGGCTCAATACATTGTAATTATAATCAGACCATTTGAATGATTACGACATGAACTCAAAGATTCGGGGTCTTACGAGCATTGCTCACGACTCCCGGAAAGATCTTTGGTCGGCAATAGATGGTATATCAGGACCATGAGGTAACAATATTACAGCAACCCCAGATTAAAACGACCAAACATCCTCGTTATCAATGTCGGCACCAACAACGCCAACGAAAACAACCAAGTCGACTGTGTTTATCAGCTTATGGGTGGCATTATTGACTACGCATAACGTGCTGATGGGATGAGCCAGATTTGCGTGATGCTATGAAGTCCAGTGCAAAAGAACCGATCTGTCGGCAGCTAAAGGCCCCTTGTTCAAGTTGGGGCTTCCGCTCTTCGCACCTATACCTGAATCTGACACGAACCCCGATCTAGATTGGGAGGACGTCGAGTGTACAAATCCAGCCGTTTCTGACGCCGAGAAGCCTACGACAGAAACATGCGAATCTGTCAAGACCAAGTTGTCTTGAAATGAAGCCACTGAAAACCACGCGAATGGCCGAAGTATTGACGGAGTAATCTTTCCAGCTCAGGTGAGTATTTGAATTTGTGTCTACCACAGATCTTATGATTCTGGGGAAAGCTGAAAATTGCGTCAATATGAAGATTAGCAATTTTCTCTTATGACCCGGAACAGGTCAACTGCCACCGAATTGCACCACCAAACAACTAGGCGGTGTTGGACCTTGTCACGACATTGTTGACGGGCCAGCGGGCTGCCTCATACTGAACCCATTTTCCACCTTCAAAATATCAGTAGAGCCTCACAAAGCTCCCTAGAGAGCTCATAATTGACATCTTGTTTTAGACTATTTGAAGCTCCCGCGCAGCTCTATGGGAAGAGGCACACGATTACACTGCGCCAGCTTTTGTGTTCCTCGTGTGTCAGGGACTTGGGTTTTGCTGAGATTCTTGATATCTTGAGCGATGTCATCGACTCTATTTTGAAAACATGAATCGTTGATTAACCATGTCGAAGGGGATCGCAATGGTAGCAAATCCCGATCTATCAATGTTCGTCAATATCTTATGAACGAACTAGCTCGAAAAAATGTTCAACGTGGTCAAAGACATCGCCAAAAATAGACTTAGCAGCACCATCACCAATGTCAAGGCCTTCGTTTAATGGCAAGTCGTCATTAATGGGTGACTTACTTGGAAAGAATATGTTCAGCATCTTCGAGATCATGAGAAAAACCTTTCGTTGGGCGATGTTGGCAAATTCACTCGGAGATTGGACTATCCTGGATGCTGAGCAAATGTGGTCAAACAAAGCAGAAACACCTACGGTTTACATGGTTGGTGGCATGATCGGCTTCAATAACGGAGCTAATTCTGTCACATAAGCTGCAATATCCTCGGAACGGTGTAAGCAAGTCTATAATTCGCACATGAGTTGCGCTTATGATCGACTGAAGGTTATTCACGTCTGCAGTGACTTGTACGGAAACACCCCGGGTGGCATGTCAAAAGGAGACATCATCACAGGACACGTCGTGATAGCATGCAAGGGCAGACGGATCGAGATGAGGTACATAAAGTTGCAAGACTGAAATAGGGCGTTCACAACCTTCAAAGCCAATGGTGATAGGAACAGGGCCTGTCCCTTGTCGTCCTGGTACGCCCCTGACGATCAAGCCAAAGCCAACGTCACGGCGGTTGTGTACACCAATGCAAGGGCACCTGGAGTCTAAAGTCTGTTCATATGCGACTACTGAGAGGTATGAATGAATCACTGGGGTGTCCGTAACAAGCGTAATAAGAAGCCATCTGACCTACCTTACGCTTTCCCCTGCAGTCGTGTCGAAGGGTAGGCTAGTCTAAATCTTGTCGGAACGGCCAAGCAAGGATAGTTCGAGAAGACAGACGAAACACATTGACTCACGAAGAGTTCATTGGCCATGTTGAGCGGAAGCAAGACCTGCAGCTGAGAAGAATGCTTTGGTGGAGCTGAGCTTAGTGCGAGAAGATCTGAGATCCATTTATGCTCAGGAGGCTTCCCATAATACATCAGAGTCAATGGCTTGTCCAAACCAAAGGGATCGATCATGCCATAACATGCGGTTAACAAAGATACGAGGGAAAACGTAGACTGATTGAATTCAAAAAGGTGGTTTGCTGTTCTATCATTTTAAATCCGAGACCGATGAGCCGAATGCCTCCTCGGCGGCTGGTGCCGAGGCCGAGTCAGGTGTGTCCCTCAAACCACCACTCTCTTCAGTGGCCCTGAGCATCAGAACAAACCAATCTGTGATCTGTGACTGAGAATGACGACAAGTCCTTCCAATGATTGCGCGAACGCTACAACTTTGGCTCAGTTTCTGGGATTCAGATAGACATTCAGGTCACCCTTGAGCCACAATGTGTAAACCTCTTCCTCATCCTGCCACTTCTTTGAGTCTTCTGCAATCGTGAGATCGAAATTCCATAGAACTCTAGCCAAGATGATCCTCATTTCCACGTAGGCCAGGCTTGTAAAGTTAGCTCGGTAACTAGATGCTTTGGCCAAGAAGTCGCAACTAAAATAGACCATAGATCCGGGGTGGAGCTTACTTCTTTCCAATACAGTTCCGCGGTCCGAACGAAAACGGTTGAAGCGCATCCTTGTTATCATTGACGAAGCGCTTGTCGCCAAGCCACCGCTCGGGGATGAACGAATCAGGGAGAGTAAAATTTCTGGGGTCGCGGAAGATGGCGTAGTGCCAGACGCCAATACTGGTCTGTGGAGATTCTAGTAAGCTGTCAAGTCAGGGAAGGACTCCATTGGACTTACCCCGTGAGGAACAAACTTGTCGCAGATGACATCTCCGCCGTCACATACGCACCTCAGATTCGCGTTAGGTGACGGGGGATGCAGGCGCAAGGTCTCGTCTAGCACAGCCAACATGTAGTCTAATTTCTGGACGCTCACGAAATCAATGTCACCTTCTGAAGAGAAGGACTCCCGGACCTCAGTGACAAGCTTCCCCAGGACTTGGGGATTCATTGCTAGAAGGTATGTTGCAGCGGAGAGCGCTGTTGCCGTAGTCTCAGACCCGGCCCCGATGAGCAGATTAGCGTTGTCGTAGATCTCCTTCCGGCTCATGGTCTGTACAAAATTAGACGCCGGGGTTCTTCGCTGTCGAATCTCACAAAAGTTGGGCACTGTCTGAGAATGAAGCAACTTACCAAGTCTCCCTTCATCGTCATTGCCTGAATGAAATCAGGCCTAGGTGTTGCCAAGTCAAGTCTCTTATCAACCTTTGCGTAGGTCAAGTCCAAGTGCTCCTGCGCCTTTCTTTTGACCGACTCGGGTATCATTGCCTTCAGCAACGGCGCAAGTACAGCATACCTTCCAATAAGCCCAAGTAGTGCGTTCTGCTTGACGGCGCCGAAGATTGCCGAGACCCACGGATGATAATCGCTGTTCTGCAGGCACCCGAAAGGCTCCCCGAATGCCAGGTCGGAGATAATGTCGAACGTGCACCAATTGTACCAGCTTACCATATCCAGCTTCCGCGTGCCCCCTTCAGCGTTCTCATGCAGTCGCTGGATTAATAGGTCGACATACTGAGTAATAAGCGGTTGCTGGTTCATCATGGCTTGTGCCGAGAACCCATGCGACAAGAGCCTTCGGAAACGGCGATGGTCATCGCGGTCGGCGCCAATGATGTTACCGCGGAAAGGAGCATGGAAGATTGGATCCTTTGAGTGTTCTGCTTGCCCTTGCTTGCGGTGCCCGAAGATTTCTTTCCAAGCAGACGGGTCCGTATATGATAATTGGGCTGGGGCGATGCGGACGACGGGGCCGTATTGTGCATGGAGCCCAGCAATGTGTTTGTGAGGCTGCCCTCCAACTATCATCCAGGCATAGTAGAGATCGCTGGAGGCAGCTAATTTAGGACCTGGGTAGTGCCGCAGAGGATGTAAGAAAATGTTGTAGGCGACTCGTGCTATGGCGTATCCAATGGGCTGGTAATGGCATGTGTCAGACGGTCTACATTCGGTATGGGGTATTCTCAGCCATGACATACGAGGAACACAAGAGCAACCAAGATGTTTTCCCACGTAAATCCGTGACGGATGTCATTGCCGAAGAGGGGGGTGAGGGAAGGCATAGTAGTTAACGATATCCTGCGTAATGATGTAGTTCCTCCCCATCGGCTCATCTACACGATTGTATTTATATTCTATAGACTATGAGTGTCTTTAGAACTGACTTTGCCCAAGTTTGCTGCATCGGATGACAGGAGGACACCGAGAACATGTTCCTTGTCCGAATGCACGAGTCGTAAAAAGAATTCTCCGCTTGGATTCAGCCTTAGATTGCGATGAAGCCGTCTATCAACAGCATAGTTGAAATTTTCAATACGAATACGTCCACTTGCCCAAGATCTTGCTGTAGACGAACTTCTGTCAGCAGTTTGTGGATCCGTGTCAATGCGTCTTTGTGGATCACAATCGGCGTGGCGGATGTTTTTGAGACCCGGAAATGATTCCGCCTTGACAAATATACTGATCTCGAGGTTTACGAAGCGAAAAAAAGAGATGCCAGTTACAACGCAATGATGCCAAAAAGCGCATCTCTAATTTACCTGAAGCTCCGTCGCCTGATATCTGGAAGGCCGCCGTCGGTGTGGGGTCATTCTCAAAACCCGGGATCGACTCGGTCCTCAATCATTGAACGTCCTGACTGCAAAATTAATCACAGAATCTCAACGATTATAAGGAAATTAACGCGTCCTTTCTATATCTGAAGGAAGTCAGCTAATATCGCGCTCGAAATTGACAGCTTCTCTCATGGTGAGGGGGGGTCTGTCGCTGTGAACATTCGCACATCTGAGTTGCTGGGAATATTTGACTCAGCTCAGCCGAGACCCGGACAAACCATTCACGCTTGCTAGTGTCACAGTGTAGTATTCATTGCAATTTTCCGAATCGAGGAATTTGAAGCAAACGGACTGAGAACTCTGGATGTCTTCATCATCTCATGTAATAGCCTGGACGCCATCGTCTTCACAAGCATCTGTGAGTATTCGACGGTGATATCAGAACACCAAATTCTCTCAGGTACATGCTGCAGCTCATCCTACGCCAGTGGTGAGCATTTATGCTTCCACCCCCGGTCGCGCAACACCATTGTTTTTGTTTTTTTCAATCGGCCCAGGAAGTTCAAACTGCGAGCTTCTTGTGTGATCGAACGTTTTGACAGACCACTTGTGATCTCGATGAGAATACGAATGCCATTCGAAAGACTACATGCCGAAATTGAGTATGTGTTCTTGCTTATGCTAGGTCCTAAGCAAGGGTGTCAAGTTATCGCGTCTTGAACCTTGGACCACAGATCTCGATGGAGCCAGTGAAAAGAATTGGTTCCAGGACCGGCATTGACGATATGTCATTCATGGGAAACGCAACAGCATCCAAGGGAACCTGCATGGAGACCAAGAGCCGTACCATGCCTCTTATCGCGATGCTTTGCGCTGCAGCCAGTTCATTGGACAGGAAATTAAAATCGTTCCGCCCGGGAAGTCTGAGTTAGAAAACCCATCAGAGGCATCGAAGGCAGGAATAGTTGCTGCGGTGGAGCGCTTCAGTGATTTAACGGAAAGCAAACGACACACATGGCCAATTGCTAAATTCCCATACTGGAAGACAACGACGCGTGTCGCAGAAAGCAAACAATCGCAGATCGAGATTGCCGCGTAAGGCAGGTAGTCGTGTGCTGTGGAAACTTTGTTAGGGCGGACGCTAACCATAAGCTGAGAGCGACGAGGCCAGCTAAGCCCGGGTCTGCAGCGAACTGGTGAATCACCGCAGCCTCTTCAAGAATTTCGCGTTTCTTAACTCCACCCTTTGGCACTCGTGTAAATTCACTGTTATAAGCTTACATCGTAGCATAACATCGAAGATCACGAGTGTTCTGTATGGGTAGGGTGAACCGCCCGCATCCCGGCATATTATCTCCGAGGTACCGATCCGAGGTGCCGATCCGAGGTGCCGAGTGGGTCCTCGATCACCGGCGCCGCACCCGAGTCAGATGACACGAGGAGCCGGCATGAGCCCCGCCGAATAGACATGCAGGGGGCGGATACAGCCGCCGGCGACTTTTCGAAAGCTTGAGCACACATGGGCATCCAGTCAACTCATCGTTCAGGCCCCTAACAATCGAGGAAATACGCGCGCATTCACAAAAATGCCAAACCGGCTCACCGGTGTTGCGGGGGGCGCTTGTGAAGTATGAGCTTATTGACGGGCCACGGCTTTCGCTAGCCAGGAACCAGCTGCATGAGGGTGTCCGAATCTTATTGTCGGTCCACACGCAGACCAGTCCTACTCGCGGGCAACGTCGAACCATCGTGATGCTCTGGTTTGCTACCAGGATTGAATGATTGATAGAGATTAAACATCGGGATGGATGAAGCAAGGCTCGGTTGCATCGGCAAGTCTAGAGATACAACCCGCAATCCGTGCCGAATTGAATTCCGGTTCATGCCACGGCACCGACAGATACATCAGTGCTACGGCTACGCTAACAAAAATTTTGAAAACCAAAAACATACAACACCGGGCATTCGCCGGTCGTCACCGACCCGACTACTACTCCAGCCCTCATTGGCTTATCTATGGGAGAGCGGACGGGATCCCGAGTTTTCCAATGGGTATGGTCGTATGTGACAGTTGAAGATGCACAAGCCGACCATGGAGGCTTCGGTCACGGGGGAAAACAGCACACCATTGCGACAGCACTTGTATCACGTGTGTAGATAGCCACCTTTCACGAACACAGCCACATTTGATGGAGAGCTTGGTAGGAGAAGTTCAATAAGGCATCTTTAGAAAGTACGTTGATGGTGGTAGGGTGTTCACTTCGCATCAATGGCTTTGACGCCACCTATGTTTCGGTTGGCGGGCTTCTGCCAACTCCAGTAAAGATTCCAAGCAAGAAGCTAAACGATGCTGTTGGCGTCACAGCAAGATATCGAATAATCCGAGAAATCTGCATTTCCGAAGTTATGTGTGGGGCGTGATGTCACGCTCGCGTAATATCTTTCGTCTTTGGCGTACCCTACCACACTTACACAATCATCCACTCTAGAGGACCGAGAGCATCCAGTCAGGACCATCAGTAGGACCTGATGCGAGAGGAATGGGAGGAAAGACGCAAAGGGGTGCAAAATAAAAGCTAGTCGGGGACGAAAGATTGTGGCGACTTCGATCAACTCCAAGCTTGGGCAATCATGGCAAACCTTCCGCGCCGTAAGCTGAAAGAAGAGCTGATAATCACGCACCACAAACGCCCGTAGGTGTCATTGGCTGGAAAGAATTCAGATCCATGGGCACTTAGAATCCATGCTGTCATGTCCGTACGTTCTGCGTTGACCAGAGGCCGCCCGCGGAGCTGGTTTCGTCGAAGTCAAGCCATCTGGAAAGCGGGATGAGGCGCCGTGCTTGAACGGCTTTCGGGTAGTCGGTCGGATACGGATATCGGATGTCTCCAAAGACAAGAGATGCAGAGTTTTACTAGACTATGGTCAGAAGAAGCAGTCTCATCGCCAGGAGGGAGTTACACGTTTGGAAAAGGTTAAGGCTCTTGCCGCGGTCAGATACCTTATGTCTCGATGACAGGTCATCCAAAATGTCGGGCATAGCGAACGCGAGCTTAATGGCACGACAGTTGAGATGTATCTCCGCGGCTGTGCGATGTTGCGTCTCCGCGGGAACATCGGCATGTTTTCGTCGAAGAAGTGATGGATTTCGTCTAGGTTTCTTTTGTGAACCGTGTTTTGGCCTTTGACGAGAAACGTTGAATATTCGATGAAGGAAAAGTGTTGCTGGTTGAGGTCTGAGCAGAAATCAACGCACAGAGGAGTTGGTCAACTAGCTGCATAGAGAGAAACTCGAGATATTCGGCAGCCTCTTCCGCGGCGGTGGCCTTTTTCTCGAACGATAATTATCCGGGGACACTAACGATTCATTCTAGCGTGAAATTCGCGGATTCTGATCCGGTGGACTGAAACCATTCACGCCTGCATCTGGCGAATCGGAACTCATCATGACTCTCAGCTAGCACTGAGCACTTGCAGCCTCTGTGCATACGGCACAAATTCCATAGAAGATTTGTCGGCTCGGGATGTGCGTTCCGTTGTTCCTAGAATTGCGAAATGACGTCAAATTGGGGTGTCCGGCAGTAGCAATGTCGCTAATGTCATTGGTGTATCACAACATCAGATGAGACCAGGCACCATCTCCTCTGCTATCAGATCTCGCGTCCGTGTGACCCCTTTCCGCTTTCGCTCTCCTGGCCTTTTGTTTCGCGGTCAAATTTTTCGACCTTTGTTCATGCCAAGAGATGGTCCCATGAACACAGCCTCGCATTGAGGAGGCGAGTCATTTCGTGGACCATCATCTGATGGTGGATGGGCACATCCAACACGAACCGTAACATCATCATCGCATGGTATTGGCATCGCGATGCATTGATTGACCCAGCCTTCAGTCCGATTACCAACAATTCTATCATCCATTGTGAAATGCAGCCTGTCATGTTGTTTTCTTCATGCGGTGCGCGAAAGACAGTCTTGGCAGACGAAATCACAGCGTCAAATTTCGAGTGATGGCAAACATGTTCTTGGAAGAGTCATTGAGATCCGAACTTGTAGTCTAGGCCTGCGGAAAGGGGCTAGAATTTAGAGAGTCGAAAGCGATTCATCATTGACTATGATGTGATTATCAAAAGCTGAATGAGGCTCTTTACTCGGCTGCATGTGGATGGACTCCGCCACCCCCGCGATCTATCACGAAGAGGGGATATATTGCGCTCCCCAGTCTAGCCCCTCCATTTCAAGACCTTCGACCTCACCGAGGCTCATGCTGCGCCTTCAGTACCCTACTTCCCGGGTTGCCCCATCCGGCGATTCCCCACGCGATATCCACAGCGGCAAATCTCTCGGGCACTAAGATCTTGGACAGAAACAAGTGCGCGGGAGCCGCGCTCCACAGGATCTTGAAAAGCTGATTATCAAGCAGTTCAGTGTCCAACATCTAGCCCACATCGCCAAGAAAACGGGATGTGGGCTCATTGGTGTTTTGTCTGGAGGGCTGTCACAATGTGACAAGTTTACTTGGCATATCTTGAATGTGCAGCATTGTGCGGGGATTCTCCAACCTGCTCCCCTGCAGGTTTCTTGGAGAAAGCGTCGCAGAATCGCCAGACATATTGAAGCAAGTGCCGCCAGTACGCGGTCTTGACGACGCAGCGGGCCTCAACGTCAGCGCCGCGTCGTGCTTGTTTGGGTGATCTGTATTCTCTCGACAGAAACAGAATCAAGTAGATAGGTCGTTGGTCGAAGCTTTCAACAGGCCAGCAATGCAACGCTAGAGTCGCCGCCATTCTAGTGTCGAAAATCCCCGAGGCTTGGCGCTGTCTGTCAAGAGAAGACCCTGTCCGAGCACATGCGTTTGCGTAGGGCTATCCTTGCCGCTTTTCCGGTTCACCTTGCAGCATCGACCTGCTGGGCAAGATTTCGCGAGTTGTTTCCGTGGGGTCTCAAGTTCTGACAACGTGCGAGACGTTGAGAATCCCTGGCAGCCTCGTGGTAATGTTCCACTCGAGCCGAGTTTAGCAACTTCTCGGCAGCGGGGAAGCGGGTAGACTTTCTACTGGCTGATATGCGTCTCCAAGATGCGAGGCGGCAGTATGGCATTCTGGCCTTTGGTTGTTCTCCAACCCTGGCGTGCTGTATCATTCGTCCGACCTGCGGTGTCTCGGGCCTCATCGGTGTTCTGCCTGTGTCGCAGCTGAACCTTTCGACGAGCTTTCACCCAATATTCTCGCTGCTTTGGTCGGACAACCTCGAGAGGCCCTCCCACTCGCAGGAAACTGCCAACCTCTTGGTGATGTCTCAGAAGCAAGCTGGCGGTGTGCTCTCCAAACATCAAGAACTTGGTTCGGATTGTTTTGGAAAAGGGGCTCGACCTGTATAGCTTAACTGCGCCTCAATAGCCAAGATGTAGCCAAGATGAATTATGGAGATCATCTCGAGGAACGAAGCTATGCCGCGCGCGGGAAGCGGATGGCCACTTCGATATCCATGTGCATCCCGTCTTGGCCCCTGAAGAGATCTCGGCGCTAATGCAAGGGCCCAGAGCCGCAAGACCATCAAAGGCCATGGACACCATGGACACCATTTGGCGAGGCTTCAAAATCCGTAGCAACTTGCGATGACTGGATCAACTTCCTATTGGCAGAATCAAGTAAGGCGGGCAGGCGGAGCATACAGAGTCCCGAAGCCGGGAAGTCCCCTCTTTGAGGCCGAAACGCGGAGACGTTTCGCGGCCGGCCAAAGCGCCACTTCCCGCCCAATTCCCCAGCAACCCTCATCTTTACGAGCAAGGTCATGGCCACACTTAGCGAAGGCGAGGTCAACACCGAAACAAATTTCAAGATTCGCGAGATCTATGCCATTGATCGTATTCTGGGGTTCTATAGAGAAACCGAGGCGAGGCGTGCAGAGGGTAATTCCAGAAAGCGGGATGTAACAACAACACATCGTGCCAAGTATTATTAAGAGATCAATGCTACCGATTACTGTCGTTGCTTTCATGTGCGAAATATGGGTCTGCCAATCACACCGGTTCAGTATCAGGTTACATCAGCTTCGTAGATCCAGATGTCCTGGCGCGTAGCTATGGTGGGGGCTTCGAACGCGATGGCAAGATTGAGCAGCAATGATGTCGAGTGGTGCTGGGCCTCCACTCTGCTTTGTCGGCCGAGAGGGTGGCCTGAGACGGGACGGGCGGCGACCTGCGACTTGCTGTCGGTCTGCTTTCCCGATGGAGCTGTTATCGTCCCATGGTTGCTTCGAACTTTGGCCACTCCGCGCAGGTTATAGGGTTTACCCGGCAAGAGGTGAGCTGTCCACAAATCCTCCAAACTCTGTGGTCGGGGAAAGCGGACTGTATTCGTGGCAAGCGGCGAAGAAGCTCGAGAAATCGCAATTACATTGCGCACTCATGTAATCACCATCGTGATCGAAGCCAAGGTTGCTTAAGCAAAGCTAAGTAGAAGTCAAGAACAAGTCTAGTCGTTCTCGTGAATAGCAATCTGACGTGCATTGGAGCTTGATACCGCCCAGGCTGATCGAGATGGTGATATTGGCTGAGTTTTGGCCAACTGGCGCGGACAGGCGCTGTTCGCGCACCTAGACCTCTCGGCATAACTCAGAGGGTCAACAATCGGATGGTGTCAATGTACCCCGCGGAGCAAAATGCTATGGATAATAGTGGGCGGTACATCCGGCCCGGCCCCGTCAACTCGCCTCCACTGCATGGAATGGATCAGTTGAATCATGCGGACCTCCCGGGAGAGATGAAAGAAATGACAGGGAAAGACTTGTGAATAAGCGGGCGGCGCTTCGCTCAACTGTCGTCGCGAGGCGCGAGATGCGGAAAATATTACGGGGAAGGAAGTCCCCAGTTGAGCGAAACAAGATGAGATGTTGTGGCATATTATCGTCGAGGATATGAAAGAAGGGGATGGGTTGTCTGGCTAGAAAATGATCGGCGCATCAAACAACAGACATTCGACGACGGCAACCGGGATTTGGGATGGTGTTGTCTGTCCTTCTGACCCTCTCGACAGACATCCAACAACTTCGGGGCGTGTTGTTTGCTTCATGAGCAAGGAAACGGCCTGAATTGAAACGACGTGTAGTACAGCTGGCGGACAGAGCGTCTTTGGTGTGCCGTGTGGCCGACGGCATCCGACGGGAGGTGTTTAAGCTCCCAAAAGTGTACAACCTGGGGCCCGAGAGTTTTCCCACACCCACGGCGTCCGTGAACGCAGCCGCATCAGACACCCAGCCCAACCCAGTCTACACACCCAACTCCTGCTTTCTCGTTTGGATCTGCTCAGACGCAAATGCTTCAACCCATAAAAGAGAACGGCCGCCTCGCCCATATTTGCGTTTGACTTGTTTCTGGGACGTCGTTGAAGCGCAGGCGAACGCCAAGACAAAAGAAAGAAGTAAGCTGGTCTTGACAATTCCTTCTTTTGGACTGCCTCAACAACACAACCAAACATCATGACACTCGCATATTTACGACAACACAACTTCAAGGTGACCCGTCACATCACCTCCAACCTACTATGGGTCACCTTGGTGTTCGGAATGAGCGTCTTCACTTTCGGGTACGAAGGCTCAACGCTCAACACAATTCAGGCCATGACGCGTGAGTACTGACAGACCAGGAGAGGCTGGATGTTGCTGATGAGACTGGTGCAGCGTTCGAGAAGAGGTTTGGTGATTACCTCCCGGAAAAGAAGGCATTTGGATTCACGTCAAACAAGCTAGCGTACATGAACTCATTTCCATTGATCGTCTACGCGGTTGGCGTCATCGTTGGTGCTCAGATCGGCGAGCGCTGGGGCCGAAGGCTGGTATTCATTCTCACCAACATTGTTTGCATGGCGGGTACGATCATCGTTTACACGGCGAAGACATACGACCAACTGCTTGCGGGCCGAATGATCGTCAATTTCCACGTCGGTATGGAGGCCTTCCTCATCCCCATGTTCCAAGCCGAGATCGCGCCTGCGGCTGTTAGAGGGTCATTAACCGCTATCTATGGCGTTAATGGCGTCTTCGCAGCCTTCATCGCATCCATCGTCACGAACTTCACCAGTCACATCAAGAACGACCTGTGCTGGAAGATTCCCGTCGGTATCGGTTTCACGTTTCCCGCCTTCTCTTTGTTCTTCTGGATCTTGATTCCCGAGTCGCCAAGATGGCTTCTTCGTAAGGGAGAGTATCAGAAGGCGGTAGAGAACCTCGACTACCTGTTTGGCGCCATGCCAGGGTATGATGCCGAGAAGGAGGCTAGGCTTCTGCAGGAGGCTCTGAACACCAGTGAGACCCAGGGCAAGTGGAAGGATTTGGTAAAGGGCACGAACTTGGTAAGTCTGGCATGCGTCTTGGCCTGTGGCCAATGACTAACGCAATTTTAGCGCCGCACTGTCAACGGACTGACTGCCGCTGCATTGGCGTCGCTCTCTGGTGCATCATTCTCCAACCTCTACGGAACCATTTTCCTGAAGAGCTTGAAGATTGTCGACCCCTTCATGATGACCATGGTTAAGAGAGCCTTGCTTCTTGCCACCGCCATCACGTTCATGTTCATCATCGATCGTGTTGGCCGCCGTCGTCTATTCCTCCAGATGGGTTTCATTCAGACAGCTGTTCTCATGGTCATGGGTGGCTTGGGAACGATAGCTCATCCAACTCTCGACATCAACAAGGGCATTGTAGCGCTCACCGTTATGTTTCCTATTTTCCACTTCGTCTCATTTGGTGGCCCGTAAGTCAGCCCGCTCCGCCATTGGCGGCAGCGTTTACATGAAGCTGTTCCTAGCTAACACATCAAACCAGACTGCAATTAACGAAGACGGAGATTCCACACATCACGCTCCGAGACAAGTCCGTCATGCTCTTCTGGCTGACGGCAAACCTTTGCAACTTCATCGCATCATTTACTCTGCCATACCTCCTTCAGGAGCCGGCAAACCTTGGCTCTCGTGTTGGTCTCATCTACGGATCAATATCGGCCATGGGTCTGGTATGGGGATTCTTCTGCATGCCAGAGATGGCTAAGAAGTCTTTGGAGGAGATTGATGAAATGTTTGCTGCTGGTGTTCCAGCATGGAAGTCAAGACGTGAGTCAATCGCACATCTCAACATTATTCCTGAAAGCACACTGACACAAATTTCAGACTGGAGAGGAGAGCAAGCTGCAAAGATTACCGACATCGAGAACCACGGTGTCTCAAGTGATACCGAAAGTGAGAGGAGTGTTGAGAAACCGGACCTGGAGCCCATTGTGGAGGAAAAGCCTGTGAAGGCATGAGTTGTGTAGGAATAGGTGGTTTTTTTTTTTCCGCATGATGATCATGAGGCCCTGAATAGGTATGACAAATAATAGTAATACTTGAACGGTAATGTAACCACAAACAAGCTTCATTTGAACATGCGCCTCGTCGTTCCAACGCGATCCACTCCAGCCACAGTTTGTCAAGCCTCCTCCGCGACTGCTCGGATGGCATTGTTCCGGGCACGGCGCCGACGGGATGGTAAAGCAGTAAGCTTCACTTTCGCTGCTGTAATCGGCCTATGTTCACCTCCGTTCGATGCATCCCATGAATCTCGGGACGTCATTAAAGTGCAGACTACGGTGGCAGATCTCCAGTCCTGCTGGGGTAATCCTCACCCCGGAGAGGTCTCCGTCCAGTAAGAATCCGCCCCATTTCCGAGAGACCCCCCGTTGACTCGTGGAATCTAAGCGTAATTCTCTATTAACAGCGTTGATTGGCGATCGACGCCAGGGGCGGCACTTCCCACGAGACTGTTCTGCGGAACCTCTTCCCTCAAAGCTGCATCCTCGAGTCTTTCTTTGAACTCTGTAGTCCACGTAGTACTAGACGCAGGCAGAATTCCCTCTTTGCTGCTTCCAGCTGCGCTTTCCGCTACACTTCCCCTCCCCTGAAAACGAGGCTAAAATTAAGGGAGAGAATCGTTCCGTTTTCACGAAACAGCGTCTAATCATGATTTTGTTTCTAGCCCACGGATCAGACGGAAGGTGGTGTGCTCAGACGAAACAATCCTATGAAATGTTTTGCCGAGCGAAGCCGGCTGCGCTGGCTGTTCATCTCCTATGCGCGCGCGGACTTCGGCCAGTCGCTATCCTCAAATGCTAAGGTTTAGCTGCAGCGGCTCCCGCGATACTGCTCTGGGGCTGCATATTCCACGCATCGAGAGCGCGGTAGCCCACGTTACCTTTCGGCACGCACCGAGCTCTTTAGAAACAAGATCAGGAAGTAAACGGGGTGCAGCGGCAATGTCCAGCGGTGTTGCTTGTCATGTTGCCCCAGACAGAAGTCGATTGCCAGAATACACTAACCAAATGAGATGCTGAGTAGGAAAAACAGGCTTTAGAACCGTCAGGTCCATAAATCAAGCTCCGCTGAATAGATCGGCCAAAGGTGCCTTACACGCGGACCACTCCGTTGTTAGGCACTTGAAGCCCGGGCTTTTCATACCTTCACCAAGGTCAAATACCGCATGTCTGCCACCCTTAGACATCTTAGGGTGCAATCAGGTTTAACGTTGCGAACAAACTTCTCTGTGCTCTCCCTTCTTCGACAACATTCAATTCAAGTCCCTCCTTCACTGTGAGTGCGGCGCCGACATGATGGGCGTGTCTCTCCAATCATTGGCCATCCTCGGTCTCGCTGGCTTGGCTGCGGCGGTGGCTGTTCCGAAGACTAGGAACTATGCCGTCGACAGATCATACAGCGAGATGTCTGACCTTGGCACCAACTACAAAGTCTTTGAGCATGCGGCGACGAACTCCAGGACGAGGTTCGTCACCGATTCGAAAATTTGCGAGACCACCCCGAATGTGAAGCAGTACTCTGGATACTTCGACGTTGGTTCGTCATATCTCGGACCGCTCGGGTCCCATCCACATGACTCGGGACTAACAAACTTCAAGGCACTGACCAGAACATGTTCTTTTGGTTTTTCGAGGCTCGCGACAAACCAAAGGAGGCTCCTGTTGCTCTCTGGCTGAACGGCGGACCTGGTTGCAGCTCCATGCTTGGCCTCTTCCAAGAGAATGGACCATGCACTTTCAATGGAGGCGGTGACGAGCCCAAGTTGAACCCGAACTCGTGGAACAACTACGCGAACATGGTGAGTTTCTCTGCGGCAGCCGCCCGTGCCGTCGCTGTCTCGCCACGGCCCCATAACTCTAATACAACCGCGCTCGTTCCCTCTTGGCATATTGTTCAATGCTGACAATGTCGCCCCGTCCCAGCTCTACGTAGACCAGCCAATCGGTGCTGGTTTCAGCTACGGCACAAATGATGTTGACTCGACTGTCAAAGCGGCGCCGAAGGTCTGGTCCTTGATGCAGTCATTCTACACCCAGTTTCCGGAGTACAAGAACCGGGATTTCGGATTATTCACGGAGTCGTACGGCGGACACTACGGACCGGAGTTCATTGATCATTTCCAGGCCCAAAATGCCAAGATCGACAAGGGTGAAATCAAGGGTGAGAAGATCAAGGTGGTCGCATTGGGAATCAACAACGGTTGGATCGATGCTCGTTAGTACTTGAAGTTCACGTGGATGGTCATCGCACTAACCAAATGCCAGGCAACCAATACCGCGACTACTTGGACTATGCCATCAACAACACATACAATAAGCTAATTGACCAAGCCAAGTATGATGAGCTCGCCAAGGCTTACGACAAGGACTGCGCTCCCGCTATGGAGAAGTGCATGGGCAAGGAGGGAAACACTGAGGCCTGCGTCGCCGCCGAAAATGCCTGCTTCAACGCCATTGAAGCTCCGATTGAGGCCATCAAGCAGTTCAATGTCTACGATGTCCGCGCCAAGGATGACAAGTTCCCGCCTAACACCTATATGAAGTACCTCAACAAACCTGAGGTGATGAAGGCTATCGGCGCCAAGTCACAGTACCAAGAGTGCCCCCAAGCCCCGTACGACAAGTTTACCGCTAGCGGAGATGGTCAACGCTCTTTTCTTGAGACACTGGGCAACATCGCCAAGACTGATACGCAAGTCCTTGTCTGGGCAGGTGACGCTGGTAAGTATTTGTGCGGCCCTGAAAGAACTTCACCACAAGCTGATTCGCTCAAGATTGGATCTGCAATTATATTGGCAATTACCGAGCCGTGACACGCATTGGAGGGCCGGAGTTTGAGAAGGCTGAGATGAAGGATTTCACGCTAGACGGAAAGAAGAAGGGAGAGTATAAGAGCGTGAAGAATCTGAGTTGGCTGAGAGTATTTGAGGCTGGCCATGGGTTGATGTCTTATCAACCAGAGGTTGCTCTGTCTGCTTTCAAGCAAACGATGATGAAGAAAGCAATTTCCTCCCCATGAGCCGACCCACCCAGCATGGGTTACTAGTTGTACCCCACAGTAGTTCAGTCCCAAGATACTCTTAAGTGTAATAATCAAATAAGGAATACTGTGTCGAAAGTTTGGACTGTCTTGCGTGATTGAATCACCGAGCCTATCGAGGAGTCAGGTACGCAATACCGGAAATATTTACGAACCCCTCCCTGAGAAAACCCGTCCCTGGCCTCACGCTCACTTTCTCTGCCTATCTCAGTGACCACGCTAGCCCACTACTTCAAGCCAATTTGCCCACAACATCAAAAAGAATCTTTTTAGTAACCATGAAGCCTCCGGCTACCGAAACTCGACACCCTTCAAGTTGTATACCCCCAAGATCTTGATCCAGCTAAAGGAGTCGTCAACACTAACGACTGCGTCGCCGTCTCCGTGGAGTCGCGGTGGGTCCTTGCACACTTTCGGCCAATCGTTTTCACCTTTACTAGAGGGATGAACGGTATTTGGCCCTCGATAACCCGACACGAGTCGCAACCATAGCAAGGCTGGTCCCTCTAGTGTCAGTACATCTATTAGTATGATTCCAGACGCCAGGAGTGTCCGAAGATTTGGTTTGACGTCGATCGAGAACCCGTCAATCTCAGAACACCTTGAGAAGGCTTTCTTGAAAGGACCACCTGTAAGAAGTATTCCGTCTATCTCTGATGAAAGAAGAAAGGCAAGAATATCTTGTGGGTCCAAACCTGTGACATCGGACAATTCCTGGACAGTTCGACAGCTTACTCGCCCAAGTAAGAAGTCTCGCCAAGTCCATTCAGAAACTCTCAAGCTTTTGGCCAATAAGATCGACAATCCACCCACAAGCCATGAAAAGTTTGTCAGGTTGAATGGATCAACACCAGGTATCCTCTCACCGACGACAAACGCACAAGTCATCCCTCCAGCAACCAAGACGATCGTCAGAACAGCGACAAAAATGACGTAGTTGAGACAGGGCACGACAATAGCTTTCTCCTGAATGGTCCAATTCCTAGCGATCTCAAGGATCTTCTCTCGGGACTTGGTGCGTTTGCGAAGTTGAAACTTCGTCCGAGACAAAAGACCGACACTCCGGGCGGTTTCGTCCCTTTCAACCGCTTCTCGTTCAAGAAGACAGTCCCTTTCACCCAAGAGAAACGAGGTCAGGAGCGATGATGAACCGCCAAATTGGAGCTTGTCGGAGTTTCTTGGCCTCAGACCTCTCCATGATATGAAGATCTCCGGTGTGGAGTCAGTAGAGACACCTTCCGCTTTTGAGTTAGACCCGGAGACGACGTGGGAGTCTAACTTCAAAGCGACGAAGCCCTGAATTTGGATCTGGTGGGGAGTTGGAACCCCAAAAGCAGACAGAGAACTGATTAGTTTGAGGGTATTCCGATTACCCTCCCCACACAAGGGATCCGCCAAAGATAATGGGATCATGAGAATCATGTAGTCGATCATACTGTAGATCCTGGCAGGCGGCTTTGTCTTGTCAACACGCTTTCCCGTAAACTTGTTCTCCAAATCGAGGTGTAGTTCAATGTGCAACTCCGGGAGGTTGTTCATACCGTTCTCTAGATCGAAATTATGTGTTCTAGAAGTGATCATATCGCTGAGCTTCCAAACAGTTCCAAGAGCAACTGATGAAAAGGACAAGGCAACTGTATCAGAAGATCCTGAAATGCGGCCATGGTTATTCTGGTAGAGTAACGTTTTGGTAGGTTTCAATCCCGCGTCAAAGACAAGAGCGCAAGAATCGATGAATCTGTCGCCTTCCCACCAAGACTTTGGATCACCGAGATTCAAAAGGACACCATTAATGCATTCGGCCAGCCATTGAGAAACAGCAGTGTGTTCTTGGACATGCCGATCAATGATTGGACTGTCGTCCCTCAAGGTCGTTTGGCCCTCAAACGATCGGTGGCGAGGGTTATCAGCCCAACGCCCGGCACTTCCAACGCTGATGCTGATAAATTCATCAAAATTGCCGTGAATAATCTTCATCTTCGTTGCCAATTTTGCGAGACACCCAAGAACGACGAGAAGCCAGTAATCGCTTTCGGAGACGGTAATGGCTATCTGAGCCATGGTGGCGGTGATTTGATCCACAAGATAGTGAAATGTGTGACTCCAATCTCGCTCTAAATTGGGGTCACGACCGCCGGAGTCGTCAATCATGGCCCTCCTGTCAGTTTTAGCCGTTCGAAGCTTTTCTTCGTTCTGGGTGTTGCTTCCGGGTATATTTTCAGTCGCTTCAAGCTTGTCTTTGTCCTGAGCACTAATCTCGGACGTGTCTTCAGTCGCTTCAAGCTTGTGCTCCAGTGGGGCGCCAGCTTTAGCTTTTCGTACTCTGGTCTGCCTTGGTCTCGTTGCTATGCCTTCAACGACACCAATGCGTTCTTTTGTTCGTCTTCTGTCTGGTCCATAAACAATTGGGGCGGTGTTGGGATGCATGCCAGGAACGCGTGGCTGGGCATCTCTGTGGCGAAAGCGACGAAGTGTACGGTAACAATCCAGGGCGAACTCTGCCGCTGAGGATGACAGTGGATAATCTTGTGTCTCCACAGCATCGTCCACTATGCATACAAACAAAGCATATTGTACTTTGCGCGCCAAGCTTTCAATATCCTCAAACATTTTGCCTTCGACTTTGCCTTGGAGAAAGGTATCGCCTGGGTCGATCCTAGGTTTGAGACCCTCCTCGGCACTCAGATTGAGCTGCCGCAGGCGTTGTATTTCCAGGTCCCAAAGTTTCTGGCAACGGAGATTATCTATTCCATAGCGGCTCAGTCTTCCCAGAAAAGGCATGCTGGCAAGGCTTCCATCAGATGGCTGAGGCCCTGAGGGCTCCAGATAGCAGAAGCGCCGGATACGGTCGAGTGCAGGTACTTGATGCAGCGGGGTGGATGAATTCATAGGGCTGCAATCATTTCCCCGGTAGCCTTTGCGTGTCGAAGATTTCATGTTTTGGTGGCGATACCGGCGTCCATGATACGTTCCTCGAGGCACTCGTAGCTGGAGAATCCAGCGTTATTAAGGATCCTAGAGGAGGCGACAATTATCGGTCGTCAAGGGGACCCTCAATTTCCTTCCACATATGGCTTCTAAAGATGCCATAGCACCTCTATCACTGTTTATGAGACACGTCCGACAGTTGCAGCTTGGCTGCATGACGCGAGAGGTTCGAACCAATAAGGCCAGCCTCTCCAGTTCCGTGCATTTGTTTTCTGCAAGACATGTCAGATTCGTACTCTATTCGGCCCGACAATTTACAAATCAAGTTGTCACACCGCTATAGGTAGCACCAATCTGTGTCGCTTTGGCTGTGGCTCTATGTTCGACTGCTGCTGCGCTGCGAGTATTGGGCTTTTGATACAGTTGAGGGGAGCCCTCCTGATATCACTCTTCATGCAGTCCGTTTACACCACTTCTTCACACTCAGCTGCAAAATATGGCGTCCTCAAATCATTTACAGGACTTTCAACGCATATTGCTGGGAGGCTTTGAGGAGTTGGAAGAAAACCCGAAGCCGGAACAAGCGGATAATGGCGAAGATCGCGCCGAGGTTACACCATCAGCAAATGACTCCGCTTTACAGACAACAACAATTGACAGAAGCAGCAGCGTAACTCCGGCGTCCCGTCTATCAATTTCATCGGCGGCCAGTAGTGGATCTGAAAATCACATCCCCTCGGAGTTACCCATCAGCATAAAAAGCGAGGAACTGCGGAGCTTGGTTGGAAACCTGGCTGCGAGAATGAATGTTCGAATTCGGTGGAAACCACTCGATGAATCGTCTGAAGAGAGCAGGCGGATCATGTTAGATCCCGAGATCATTCGAATCTTGCGATGCGCTATCCAGGCCGAGGTATCTGCGAGTGATATCTCAAAGGAGTTAAGGCAAATCGTGGAGAAGGCTTCGGGTACTCTTATGCCTTGGGGAGCCTCTGGGCTTCCAAAGACGGCAACATTTCCAGAAAGTCGGAAGGCTCAACGAAAGAGTATCCTCAAAGAAGGTATGGAGTTCAGGCAGCTTCAAGACAATTTTCTTCCTGGAGAGCTGGTGTATGTGGAACGCTGTGAATTGACTGACAATGGATAGCGTGCCGGGGTGGTGTGGGAGGATAAGTTGTTCGTATCTCAGAGAATCGGATGACACTCAGTTTCTGGCCATCAAAGCTCTGGAATGGACATGGGACACCGACATTTGGAATTTCCGCCTGGTCAGTAGGACTTTAGAGATCGAAGAATACGCTGGGAAAGTGTCCGTACAAGGGCTGGGCGTTATTTCGATGGCACTGATGGAGCCGTCCGCTAAAGAGGACGTTCAAAAAAGGCTCATCGCCCGGGGAAAGTCTCACTTCGGCTTATTTGGATCTGTTCCAAGTTCGTGGGAGTACCACGGGCCTGCAACAGACAAGGAGCGGTATGACACACGGCTTTTACGGCCAACGAACCCTGACTCCACTAACAGCGCAAAGCTGCTTTTCACATGGAGTCCTGTTGTAAGAAGTGTTTTCTTGTACAAATGTGAATAAACATTAGCTAACGAAATTTCAAGATCAAATGTCGAGCTATCGTCGAAAGTGTCATTTTTCAGATAAGTGAAGGCGATGAAACAACTCTCCACGTGATGGATACTTCCGAACCCATACATGAGGAGACTTACATGATAATGTGCCCATACATATGGGTTCGCATAGCTACGCCGCTAAGCCCTTACATAACGCGAGTACATCTGAATCACCTGAGACCGATCGTATGGAAAGACATTCCGCTCGACAATAGAGACGATCAAGTTTGCGTCCAGATTTTGTCAATCCTACAAACTTCTCAGCCGCCCAAGACCCTCCAGGGTCATTTTAAGCTTGGGGTACGCTCACCAGGAGCAGTCTTAGTGATAGTTCAAGGCGACATGCTGAGGACTACCTTGATCACGAGAGGCAAGTAGATTAGCATGCAGTGAATCCACTCCAGTTTCCGCTGTTCTTCTGACATCAATAACAGCAGCTGCAGAACGCGATAAGAAAGTTCTACTCGAAATGGACCTTTTGGACTTTTCCGATGGAAAGACAGATGAGGTGCCTGCTGTTGAGGCGCGATTGCGTTCAGCAACACGTGTTGAGGGACTTGTTCTCTTGCAAAACTTCGCACCGTTAGTGGCAAAGCGCTCGTATGATAAACAGGAGCGATGCGATGAGATTACGAGTAAGGGTAAACGAATCTCTGAGGCTTCTTGACTAACTGGCGTTCGTAGAGTTCATCGAAGTGCTGGAAGCCTACCCTGGGCCAATCATTCTCTGTCTCGAGAAGTCTGACGCCGTTGACTGGAAATTGAGGAAGCTAGGACCTGTGTATATCGACCTTGACGATGCTAGTCAAGAGTAGGAGTTACTTGACCCCGAAAAGCTTCTTAAGACACAAGATGGTACCTGTTTCTACTTTGCTTATGTTTATTTTCCTTTAAATTGAATTGAATTGTCTCAGATCCAGGCGCGATTTGCTTCTCGAAAACTCTCCTTTCTTCATCTATACAAATGGACGAATCAGTTTCTCCAATTATAATACTGCCAAGCACAACGACGCAATGCTGGACCTCTTTTTTTTATTTTCTTCTTCTTTTTCTTGTCTTTTTTGGATACAAGAATGCTGTAGTTTGGCGAGACCTTCCAGACGGAAAAGCAACGCAACTCATCTCGCGCTCGGCTCACTCCACGACCCCCGCTCAGCCGGGAGCAAATCGCGCCATGTTGAGACGGCAGCTGATCTGACCACCGCCTCCAACAAACCCCGAGGAGGCGTGCTTGGCGGGAAAATTACCGACCACGTACCGACGTCGCCAAGTCGCCTACGCCTGCGGGGTAATCAAAATGGCGGGAAAAGCAGCGCCCTCTGGACGGGTTTCTTCCGTTTTATCCGTCGTCGCCATTCAGAAGGGAGTCCTCCGCCAAGATACGCTTGTCGTTAGCCAAAGTCTTGTCGTAGATGTCCAAGAATTCCAAGAGCGCGATCTGGGAGGGCTAGTGAGTGGTTAGCCTCAGCTTGGGTGTGAGGTTCAGAGCTTATCTCGACGACGTGTGCTGCTGGGGATATGCTGCGCGGAAAAGGTGTTGATGGAATGTGAGACATGCGCATTGCCAGTATGGATGGAATGCATGGCATTTGAAATAGTGCGACTCTCCGATGGAGAAGGTGAAGTATGAGAAGTTCGCTTCTTGAACCGACGACCCTCTCTTTTGCATGGGCAACCGCGCAATCTCCTAAAACCGACCCATCGGCTGACAGGCCGCGGAACGATACCCACAAACCCTTCATCCTGGCCGTTCCATCTCTAACCATCTCTTGCCACGCGCCCAATCGTTCGACGCGCCATCTGCAATACGACGCTGAACTCGCGCGACGGACATGACGGATACGACCACGGATAAGCTTGGCAAGGGAGGGCGTCCCTTTTCCGTCCGCTAATTGAGATCCTCTCTCTACCGGTCCCAGCCTCCCTCGCGTTGCTTGCTGAGACGAACCCGTTTTCCCCGCACCCCGCAAACTGCCAAGTCCGGGGGTGGATTGGATCCATCTGGGGTTTTAGTGGGCGACCGCGCGAGATGGGCGGTGGTTTGGAGCTTCTCCGCGGTTTTGGGGCCGGTGGGGACGAACGGGTTCTCCGCAGTTTTGGACTTCGGGCTTTTGGTTATAAGGTGGTCCTGGCCAGCATATAATTTGGGCAGAATTCTTGTTCTGGTCTGTGTGCGAAGTTGAACACCGAGGCAAGCTTGTTTCGACGTGACGCGACTGGCGAGTCAGTTTCTTCCAACTTCAGTGCTTTGAGGTATCGTCATCTTTCTGTGTGCGCCGCGAAGACTTTGCCAATATGGCTATGAACACTCTGAGGAGCTCGCTTGAGAAGAGCGAGGTCGAGGCTGTTCATCACAGACCGTCTGGCGAGACACATCTTGAGAAGGTCCCTGAGGCTATTGAGATCGGACCCTACCGTGTTTTCGGGTTGAGCACTGAGGATGCGGACTTTTACAACAACTATCCCGAGGAGTCGCGGAAGAAGGTCTTCCACAAGGTAGGATGAGTCGATGTCTGATTACCTTGTCCGAATACTTACTTGATACAGGTCGACAAACGACTGATTCCCATGTTGGCGTTGTTGTATCTTATCTGCCACATTGACCGCGCCAACATCGGAAATGCCAAGATCGAGGGCATGGTCGAAGACTTGGGCATGTCGGGCGTGCAGTACAACACCGTTCTATCCATCTGTGAGTATCCCGATGGGGTCCCGTCTCAACTTAGCTGACCATGGCGCCACAGTCTTCATCCCCTACGTCCTCTTCGAAGTCCCCAGCAACATCATCCTCAAGAAAGTCAAGCGCCCCTCCACATACCTCGGCACCCTCACTCTCTGCTGGGGTATCGTCATGACATGCACTGGTCTCGTTCGTAACTTCGCCGGCTTGATGGTTACCCGCATTCTCCTTGGAATCTTCGAGTAAGAACACTCACAACCCCGTCGCCTGAGAGTTCATCTGCTAACCAATCCTTCACAGGGCCGGTTTCTTTCCTGGCGCCATCTACCTCTGCTCATACTGGTAAGCCGCACTCCTCCCCATCACCAACCCCACCCGCTCACACCAGCCCAGGTACATGCCCAGCGACCTCTCCGTTCGCATCTCCTACTTCTACTGCGCCTCCGCCCTCTCAGGCGCCTTCTCGGGCCTCCTCGCCGCCGCTATCGCCGAGATGGACGGCGTCGGCGGCATGGAGGGCTGGCGCTGGATCTTCATCCTCGAAGGGCTCGCCACCGTCTGCCTCGGCGTTGCCTGCTTCTTCCTCCTCATCGACACGCCCACCCTCTCCACGCGCTGGCTCGACCCCGAGGAGATCCGCTACCTCGAGCTCTCCATCTTCATCAAGCAGGGCGGCGGCTCGCGCGACGAGGACTCCGACCGCAAGGTCAACTGGCACGACCTCAAGATGAACCTGACCAACTGGCGCATTTACGTGCAGGCGTACTTCCTGCTCTGTCAGAGCGCGCTGTCGTACGGCATCAAGTTCACGCTGCCGACTATTACCAAGGCGATGGGCTTCGCGAACACGCAGGCGCAGCTGTTGAGCGCACCGCCGTATGTGGCGGCGGCCATCTCTGCCGTGAGCTTCGCCAAGGTCTCTGACCGGTTCTTCTGGCGCATGCCGTTCCTTGCTATCCCGCTGGCGATCGTGGCGGTGGGGTACTCTATTATTCTGTCGCTGAACGGTGCGTTGGAAGAGAAGAGGGGTGTCGCGTACTTTTCCGTCGTATTGGCTGTGATCGGTATCTACCCCATCCAAGCTGCCGCCGCGTCCTGGAACGCGAACAACATCGCCCCGGCGTCTCGACGAGCAATTGGCATTGCGCTGATGAACTGCGTCGGAAACGTCGGCGGCATCGTCGGAAGCTTCATGTATCTCGAGCGCGAGAAGCCCAAGTACCACACCGGCTTCGGGCTGAGTTTGGCGTTTGGCGGCAGTGGACTGATCGTTGCTCTGCTTCTCGAGTGGAGCTACAAGATTGCCAACGCGAAGAAGGCCAGGATTGCGGATGAGGCGAAGGAGAAGTACACTGAGGCAGAGCTGTTCAAGATGGGAGATAGGTCGCCGCTGTTTAAGTATGTGCTGTGAGAAACAGAAGCGGAATTTGCTGTGAGTGTTAGAAGGAAGATTGTGATTATTGCTTTTGTAGCTCTGCTTTTGACACCCATGTCTGCTCGTATACCCAATACCATTACGCTTTCCTGGTAAACACCTGGCTTCGCTCAAAGTTACAAGCCCTGAACATCCAGCGACTCTCAAAATATTCTTAATAGTTGTATATCATTTATCTCGCGTCGACACCAAAACAGCAGCCAAAGTCCCAGCACACCCCATCAAGATTAACGCAACAACAACCGCAGCGATACAGTCAAACTTCCGCCGGCGGTTGCGCGCCTCGACAGCCAGTTCCTGTCTGAAACTCCGAGCATAAAAGCTCCTCTGACTGTCCATCGTTCTTGGGCGTTCCTTATCGAATTCGTAAACGGGCAGCGCATTCTCACGCTCGCGTCTGCAAATTTGGGCGAAGTATGTGTTGTCTGGCGGCGTCGGGGTATGAAATGATGGAGGTGCGGTGCTGATTGCGTGGGAATAAGGCGGGGGATTGGGCGGGAGCGACACCCGTCTGGTGCGCTCGATTTCGCGCACGAATTGTGGTTTTGGGGGCAGCATTGCTTCGTTTACGACGGGGGGCTCAGGGTGAACAGGGAGAGTCTCGGTTGGTTCGGTAACTAGAGGAGGTTCAGGATGAGCTGGAAGAGTCTCGCTTGTGTCGTTTACGACCGGAGGTTCTGGGTGAGCAGGGAGTGTTGCGCTTGTGTTTGTCATGATGAAAGAATATTCTGTATTCAAGGAGATTGGATGCTTTTTTCTGATGATTATGAGAATTCAGCATGAAGAATTGAGGCTGGGGTGGTTGGCTTTATTGTACGACCCGTTGTCGAGGCTCGCGGCTGGTGTAGGACGGATTCGGGATGTTGCAGCGTTGGAAATGTGGATGCTGTGGTGATGGGACGAAAACGGTCGTACAGCGACGGCTGCGAGCGTTACGCCCCAACCCCCTGTTGTGGACGAGTTGAAAACTGAATAGAGGTGGTCTGATGAGATCATGCGTCCAATAGACCATTTTCTAACGAAAGCCGGCGACTATGCAGGCATACCGGACGGTCGGAACGGCGAGCGGCCGGTCGCACGGAGATGTGGGGCCGTAGCCACCGACGCAAGCCGCATTCTTCACCCACGGTCTCGAAGACGTTACTGAGTAAATTTGGTTTCATGGCATTCCAACGCCTATTTTTAGCTTGCAGATAAAGGAAATGCGTCGTAGACAATGCGGCAAACGAATAAACACGCGCCTAAACGCCGTCCCCGACCTATGTGTACATGCATCAAGTTATGCCGTCTCATGCATCGATCTCATCTTCATCCAAGAATCCCAGTCCGCTGTCATACTTTCTCCTCTTCCTCCCGGAAACTCTCCTTACGAACTCCCCGGAAAGCAGCCCCTTCTTCACAACAGTCCCGCCCGCAAGCGGTGACTTCGACACACCCGCCGCCGGCTTCATCACCTTCTTCGGCGTCCGGCCTGCCGCCCTCGGCGGTGTGCTAGTCGGCGTGGTCGACTCCTCAACCTCATCCGCCAAGAACTCCCTGCTCATACTCACAACTCTCTCCAGCTCCGCCTTCATCTGGTCAATAACCTTCTTTGCACCAACCCGCTCCTCCGCCATCTTCCCCTCCAGCCCCTTCTTCTCGATCCTCAGATTCTTAATGCTCTCATGCGCAGCCCTCAAACTCTCATTGACCCTCTCGACTTCCTCCCTCAATTCTGCGACCCGTGCATCGCGCACCGCGAGAGCCTGGCCACTGCGCCTGTTGAGGGACGCCACCTCCTTCGCCTTGCTCTCCTCACTCTCGTCAAGCCTCCTCCGGAACGCCTTCGTCTTCGCTACGGCGTCGGCGAGCTTCGTCTCCAACTGCGCAATCACATCCTCTTTGCTGCGCAATACCCGCCGCCCAACCTCGATCTGCGCGTCCTTCGTCGCCATCGCGTCGCGGTTCTCCCCCTCCATCTTACCAATCACGGCTTCCAGCTCCATCACGTCGCGGATGTACCCGTTCACCGCGCCCTTGAGCCGGTCCACGCTGACGCGCAGCTCCGCCGCCGCGGCGTCCTTCTGCGCCAGCTGCGTCTTGGCGCGCGCGAGGTCGTCGTTGAGGCTGTCCATCGCGGCGACGCGCGCGCCGAGCTGTTGCCGCAGGGAGAGCTCGAGCTGGTGGTACTCGTCGATGGCGGCCTCGTCCTCCTTCCCGCGCTTGGCGAGGTCGCGGAGGCGGGTGAGGAGGAGGTCGAGGACCTCGGCGCCGTGGGAGGAGAGGGGGAGGGTGATTTCGCCCGGGGTGAGGTATTCTAGCTCGAGGCGGGCGGTGCGGAGGGAGGCGGCGAGGGAAGTGATGATTTCGGAGGCGTCGGAGCCCGGAAAGCCGAGGTCGCTTAGGGAGCTGTTGAGGTCGAGGAGGGCGGCGGTGCGGTCTGAGACTGTGCGGAGGAGGTGGGTGACTTGCTCTTCGATTGTTTGTAGGGGTTCGGAGTCGCCGGTGGCGGAGGGGGTGAAGGCTGATAGCTGGTCTGAGAGGCGGGTGGTGAGGGAGGTGTATGATTCGAGGGTGTTTGTGAGTTTTGACATCTCAACGCGAAGGGAGGCGAGTTCCTCTTGGAGGGAGTCCTTCTCTGTGTCGCGGAAGGAGGTTTGCACGCCGGCATTGCAATGTGACGTGGGCGCGATGGATCCTCTGTGAGAAGACGGTGTCATCAGGCCCTCGGCGACCGGACTCGTGAGTGGCGGCGTGAGGAACGAAGACTTCACCCTCGTGGGCGTACTACACATAAACTCCGCCATTGTCGCGTCCCCAAAAGCAGTCTCATCAGCTAGCATCCTCTCGCCCGCAACGGACTCCGCCTCAATGGTGTCCGTCTCCATGTAATCATCCACATAAGGACCCCTCGCCGCGAGCGTCCAGTCATAGCAGCTCTGCCCTCTCATTCCAGAGCGATTCGAGAGCTGCTCCTTCAGTGTTTCGACTTCCCGCTCAAGTCCCCAAATGCGCTCCATGTCAATCACGATAGTCGCGTTCTGCAGCTCGTAGATCTCAGCGTCCTTCTCCTTGAGTTGCGCCCTCAAGCCGTCGATCTCCTCCTTGGTCTCCTGCGCGCGCCGGCGTTTCTCGGCGGTGATGGTGTTCATCTCCTCGCTGAGGCCGTTGCGCCGGATGCGGCGCTGGACGCGGCCGTCGAGGACCTGGCGGAGGGGGAGGAAGTGGACCTCGCCGCTGTGCGGTAGGTCGGATGAAGGTGTGGCGCCGCTGCCGGAGGGTGTGCGGGACACGGGGGCCGAGTGCCGGCGCGAGGTGCTTGGGGTTCCCTTGGTGAGGGTTGTGCGACGGATCATGGGGGTGAGGCCGGTGGAAGACAGGCGGGATGTTGTTCGCGGTGTTGAGACTGGTCCAGGGTCTGAGAAGCGCACTTTTCTCTTGGATGCTCTGTGTGGTGTTGATACTGGCGATGAGACCGAAGCCGAGGCAGCGGAGGGAGCTCCGGCTGCGCTTCGACGCGTGCGCCGCAGCGCAAGTGGAAGCTCTTCGCTGGACATCGTGAACACCTTTTCCAACTCAAACGAATGCAATCGACCAGACAAATTTCACAAATGACAGGACGTGGTATGCAAGAGAGATGCAGGTCAGGCCGTCCAACACCGGGTTTCACGACCTATTAAACGGGCCTGGTGTTCTCTCTCCCTTGTCGCTTGTAATGTTGATCGAGCCGTGGTGCTGAGAGTTGTTATCGCTACCATTGTTTACTCATTTCCTATCGCGGCCTAGCGTGCCCCGCCAGACCGCAAATCGGCCCCGCCCGCCGCCGCGACCAGCACCCGCGGCAGCCAATCGTTTTCGCTACTGCGGCGCGCCGCCAAACAATCTCGACGCCGTTTGCGAAATGCGGCTGTTTGGATCGCGACTTTGCGGTTGTGAGGCGCGTTGGACACGGTAGGAACGCCGTTAGGGTTGAGAGTCGCGAATTGGTGGTTTTGACGCGATTATTGGCCCAGCTGGACCTTTGCCACTGGGTTTGAGATGGATTTCTCATGGCAACGGGTTAGGTTGCTTTGTGTTAAAGCCAGAGCTTGGGAGCAGCACAGATTGACCGAAATTCACCACAACGATTCTTTGCGCCTTGCAACTGCGGATGTCTTGACCTCTGAAGTGAATGCGCATCTGAAAGCCAGACGCGATTGTTGTTTTCTCGATTCTCTCTCCCAAATTCCCTGTCGACGCTAAGGCAGCCCGTCATTGGATGACACCCTGCATCGGCCCGCACCACACCTCAACCCCCCTTTGGATCCGCTTCGCTTCAACCCTCTCTCCACCACACACATCTCCAGGACCCTACCGCAGAGAATCAAATTCCCTTTTTTCACACCGGCCTTCAACAGCAAATGGTTTCGTGGTGTAGTTGGTTATCACGTCAGTCTAACACACTGAAGGTCTCCGGTTCAAGTCCGGGCGAAATCATGGTTAGGGCGAATGGTTTAGTGGTATAATACTCGCTTAGCATGTGAGTGGTCCAGGGTTCGATTCCCTGTTCGTCCATCTTTTTGTCCTGGAGACCTGTGGTGATGCTAACTTTTAGTGGTTTAGGCTTCAGTTCGATGCAAATTGCGGCGAACCGTTTTACAGACTTAGCGAACGGGCTGGGGGGTAGGTTTAATCTAAGTATGTAAGACTATCCAGCCGTCACAACGAGAATATCATGCGATCATTGTTTTGTCGATTACGTTATGAAAGTAAGATCGTGTTCCAGATTTCAATCACACACTTTGTAGTCCGTTATATCGCTTCGCAGTTCAGGAATCTCTTTTCAAATTACGTACGATCTATCCAGCCTGTTTCTCCGTAGTTACAATCTCGAATATTGGAAGCGGAAAGGACTCTGTCACGTACGTTTCCAAATGATAAGGATAAAAGAATCTTGCAAAACGCACCCACACGATTTCGTCCTCACACAGCTCTTGTACCATGCCGTCATATGTCTTCCACTGTCTTAGTCTCGCCATTGCAATGTCTTCGGGATCGGTCCATGAGTTTCGGAGCCAATATCTCCCCTTCACAATATCTAGTTTGTTGCCGGGCTGTGCAGCCGACATAAGAGGCATGCATGGAGTGATCGTGAGGTGACGCGCCTCATGAAACATCATACCGAAGCTCGTCCGCAGGATATCCGGAGCTACGCATGCGTTCTTGTGCCTATTGAACCACCATTCAGTATCAATACGGTCCACGTACTCCATGAGATAATGGGGAATCTCAGCCCACCGACTCCGCACGTCGGTGACTGTAATCAGTGGGTTGTCGTAAAGCCATCTACTGCGAAGTCCCACAATCCTGTCTAGCCCTGTCTCAATGCTCCCTTCGCACCTGGGGCAATTGCAACACATGGCGTCGTCGCCATGTTTCCCCCCCGGATTCAGGCATTGTTTCTCCGGAGGGCTTTCTGATTCGCGCCTCATGGCCTCTTTTGCCACCAGATTGCTGATTCTGACAGTGACTTGGATGTACTTGAGTATTGAGATTCCGGCGTGGGGATCGTGAATGTTATCTTGGCATGATGCCTGCATCAAACGATGCAGCGTCTTGTACACAGCCGCGCGAGAACGGCGGCAAGTATATGCTAGAGGACATGAATTTGCGATCTCCGTCACAATCTCGTCGCTAGATAGGAATATGTCTCGGAGAGGCCCGAAAGACCGTCTGTCTCGATAGCAGCAAGCTTCGGCGTCGGGTTCGTCCATATTTATGGCATAGAGGAGCATTGATGTTCCAAGCTCAAAAATGGCATTTTGTATCTCAAAAGGGAGTTTACTGATCTGTATCATCTTCATCTTCGGTTCGGGTAGTCGTTGTGTTTTAGCTACATCCAGTACTTCGGGCACGGGAATGAGCGGAGGATCGTAGTCGGGAGAGCCGACGGCGCGCCTTGGTAAATATGTCTTCCGCGTAGCATCTGGATGGCCCCACGGTGTTGGGACCATGCTGGCGAATGGCGCTATCGAAAGTGCGTCATGATCGTGGAACACGCTGTGGTATACTTCCGGCGGGGATTTGTTTTCCACTGTTGATGCGCTAGGAATCTTTGGCGCAAATGGAGTTGCGGGGATGCTGCCACTTAGTCTTCTCACCATAGCCACCCATTTGACCACATCGCTTGTCCCTCCATATTGAGAGGGGTCGTCACTACCGCGGGACGCTTTGAGGTACGACGGACGAGGACTTGCTGTTGTAACGATGGTTTGGCCTTTCATAGATTTTCTCATGTTGCAGTTGAAGTGACTTTGATAAATGGCGATCAAGTGTTGACTGTCGAGGGCAGAATTGTATTTTGATCATGGTATTCTGAGCTTTGGTGAGTGTCTCGACTGATATACAGTAGTGCATGCGCATCGGAGATGGATAATACTATCAAGGTGCTTGAGGTCTGAGAATTATGAGTGGACTCAAGTTGCTGTATTTTAGATTTCTGGAAAATTGTGATCATTGTACACGGCAAACACCTGGATGTACAGAATCCGTAATATTGTTTCACGAATTTGAGTCACCTGAGACAGAAGATATGAATTGTCGATATGACTGGAACCTTCATCTTGCGTTGAGAAACGCCCACTAGCCTCTTGCAATGTGTTACTGGGAATTGCAGAGTTCATGATCTATTGATCCTTTGAATTTCACTACGAATCAAGTTACACGGAGAGGGTTTCTAGCACACCCATCGTGGATTTCATTATGGGAGAATTGTCAGTAAACGGACCTGCCAGCTGGGCCCATACATAAGGCGAAAACATAACGCAGGTTTCCCGATGCATAGGTCCTGAAGTTTGACAAGCGCGGCAATTGACTTGATCATCGCGAAATCCTTGAGGGATAGACTAAGACGATAGTTCCAGTCTTGGTGCTTACAGCTTGATTGCAATATTAGCGATTACCCAAGTTCTTAGGGGGGCAAATATCTCAATATCGTCCCGGCCTTAGATAATGAGGACACAGCGATGCATCTCGCCCAATTTCCAATTTGCGGTCATTCCCATTTCCTCCCGCGTAGTATTTATGCCATCACAGCAGATAATTAGCTATTTGCGATACCCATAAAGTGATGTTCTCTATATACCATTAGCATCGGATCAATCTCAATGAGTCTTGACGAGATAAAATGGATCGCCACACGGGTTTCTCACCTTATGTTTGAACTCGAATATGGGTAACGGGAAGTCCTTCGTCGCGTAGGCCCATTGCGGTCCAACCCTCCTGCTCCCATAGAGACATCAGGCGGCGTTGTAGATATTTATATCTCTCCGCCTTCCTCAGCTTCAATATCTCAAGTTCTTCTTCCACAGCCCCAAGCTTTTGCAAGCGGTGTTTGCTGTCCACAATGCCTGGTGTGGCGGGTTGCGCACTCAGCATGAAAGATAGACGCGGCGTGATGGTGAAATGCGTTGTCCGGGGGAAGCTATGCATAAATTTTCCCAATAAAGGAGACACCCTAGCTATTCCAGTGTCTCTGTCCCACCACCATTCGGCGTCGACACGATCTACTTTGTCTTTGAGGAAGGAGGGCAGTGTAGTGTACCAGTCCTCCAAGTCTGCGACCGGTACAAAGGGGTTTTCGAACAGGCAAATGCTAGGCAGTCCCAAAAGCATGTTCGGATCTTCCTCATCAGAGTCGTGGCGTGTAATGGGGTGGTTTTGGCTGTTCACCATGTCTCTTAACCTGATGGTGATGTGAATGTACTCGAGGATCGCGAACCGGATTATCGGTCTTTCGTTATGGGCTAGGCGGTGTAGTCTTCTGAATACGGCGGCACGGGAACGGCGGCAGGTGTATGCTAGAGGACAAGAGTTTGCTATGTCCTGGACCATTTGTTCATTGGAAGAATTTCTTATGTGACTATTGCTGTTATGGCGAACATAGAGATCAACATCTTCCACAGGCACATGAACTGCGTAGATGACCATCGACGTTCCCATCTCGAAGATTATGTCCTGTATCTCGAAGGGCAGCTGGGAAATCTGCAATTTTTTCGTCTCCGATTTGGATTCGTGTCGTTTGTCAAGTACGTTGCCGTGAGGGATGAGAAGTAGCTCGCCCTTGTGAGGAAACCAGGAAAGGCGGACCTTGTTTTCATCATGAACCATGCTCGAGAACGGCGCTATTGCCGTTGTGCCATGATCGTGAGCCAGCCTGGTTGAAGACTCTAGCGGAAATTCGCCACTCCCTGTCGATGTGCCTGAGAAATTTGACGATGAAGCGGGAATACTTGCGAGAGCCCTTCTTACCGCAGCCACCCACTTGGCCGCATCGTCAGTTTTCGCCTGTTCGGATCGGGAGCCGGCGGGCGCGGTTTCGGCACACAATGGACGTGGTCTTGTTTCTTTAGATTTTTTGGAGATATTCTCGGAACACTCCATGTTGTGTTCGAACCGAGTTTGGCGGAGAGTACTTCGATGTCGAAATGGGGGTCCGTAGGTATGATCTTAGAATTTTAAGCTCCATCAGCGAAGGGATCTCAGAGTTAAAAGCAATTGTTTGAAGTGGGACGCAACCAGAAAGGTGCCCAAGAATGAAAATGGTCTTGAATGATGTTATGCAGGTTTTTGCGGCCACGAGGCAAATGTACCCGGATGGTTTCTATGATCATGACAAAGTGTCTACCGACTTGGAACTCACTCGTCATAATTATTCTCATTATATGCCGGAAAATGATCAACGAAGAAGAAGTGTCAATGCAGACCTACGATCCATGGATTGTATTGACTGCATGCTATCGAGGGGCGAAGAGACCGAACTGGCGGCAAAGTCACCATCCGCGATATTAAATCATGAACTTTCACTGGTGTGAGAATGGGAGCACAGCTCACATCACCTGAACATTGGCTCTTCACAAGATGAATGCTATACAAAGTCCCAAAAGCCGCAATTCACAAACGTAATTAGGACATGACTAGATATGTACGGGTGGAGAGTAGTCATTCATAGCTACTCCTGCCTAGTGGAGGTAGTCATGTCGCCACCGTTATGTTTATTTTGCTAGCTTCACTCGACCGCTACAATAAAGAACTCTTGAAGGAATCATGCACAACGAGAGTGTCTTGTATGAAAATTACGCGATCATCAGTTATGGAGGGCGCCTCCTGAGAGTCTTCAAATGAACGCCATGGTAAAATACCCCAACAACAAGTTTTTGGCCATACGCCCGTGAACAACCACTTCCCATCGTAACCAGAGTTCTCGACAAGCTCTAGTCGAGTTTGAATGGTTTTGTCATACCAAGGTAGGCCACTCGTTTCTATGACCACGGAAGTAAATGCGAACTCGATCAAACGCCGGGTTTACCTCATTAAGGCATCACGGCAGAGTTTCGTTAATCAACTGAACACAGTCTTTCATCTATGTGTAATTAGACTTGCCGAGACATTACCCCAAAATCTTATACGTGGCACGACTACGACGGGCATCGAAGCGAAGGATGCACAGGCTCAATATGCATTTTTACTTCCAACCTCCTGGCTCAATTCATCCTTCCAATCGAGGTCTGACAATGCAAACGGGCCGGACCTTCGAAATCCATCGTGTTGAGAGCAACCAGTCACAACACCTGCGATGCATCGTGAAGGATTCAACCAGCCGCATAAATTGTAGTTAGTGTGAGCAGCTTTTGCGACAGTTATCGTGAAGTTCATCGACTTGCGCCAGCGACCGACCAACCAGGCACCAGTGAACCACACAAAGTTCAAGCCGGTGCTTACGGCCCATACTCTAGCCCAAAAGACCGGACGGTCGAGAGGAACGTGCAAGTTTCACCCGTCTAGAACGGACCTCGAGCTCGCCAGCACGCGCAGCCACGTTATCTCCGCAGCCCCAACCATTCCCAATCCTCGCAACACCCTAACCGCATCAGCCTAGAAAGCCTCGCCGAAAATGACCTAGACCGCTAAGCCAGCTCACATCAGCCGCAATAATCCCAATCAGCTGGCACGCTGTGCAGTAGTGCAGCTCGCTTCTGCAGTTCTGGGCCCTTGACAGCCTGATAGGCACTGCCGTCTCGCCGCTTCCACCCGCCTCCTTTCTCTGCATGTCCCGCATCGGCAAATTCGCGTAACATGGTAATTGAGACAACGGGTTTTCTGTTAAGCTAGCGCCGAAGCCAAGAATCCTTCGTGGCGTCTCTCTGAAAGGCGAAGGCGGTGCGGTGATTGGATACCGCGTGGCTGGACCTTTGACGTTCCGTCAGCTTAGGTGTGCTTCCATGCCGTATTCGATGCTAGCTTCAGCTCCTGACACGGTAGTCACCTCAGCTCGGCACAATGCTGCCAGTTGCAATGTCTCCGAGCCTTCACATAGTTCACGCTGTGCGACGTGTAGATAACCAGAATTGGCGGGGTGGCCAGCCACTATCCGTGGACGCCAATTCGGCAGAGTTCATGGTGCCCAAACTCTCCTCGCCGCGCGGGGAGGCTTCCCGTAGTGCCGTATTCTTAGGCTGTTGTGTAACATCCCGCCGTTGCCGAGTTCGATTTAAATCAGGCTGGGTTCCCTACATACGATCGGCCATGGAGTTGGTCTGACACCCGCGGGCTGCTTTTCTTCAACGACTTTTTGAAGACTGCCGGTCGAGAACGCAAGATGGCGCCTACGGTCGACACCCTCATCATCGGCGCCGGGCCCAGCGGTCTCTGCGCTGCAAAGACGCTTCTTCAGCGCGATCCATCATCCGACATTTTGCTCGTCGATGGCCGTGCCTCCGTCGGCGGGGTCTGGTCGCAGGAGCAGATCTATCCGAACTTGAAGACGAACAACTTCACGACATCGATCGACTTCTCCGACTTCCCCATGGATCTCGAGAAATATGGCCTCAAAGAGAAGCAGCATGTTCCTGGGGAGGTTATGCACAAGTATCTGGTGTCGTACGCCAAGCACTTTGGTGTCTACGACAAGATCCAGCTGAATACCATGGTGAACCGTATCACCCGCCCGGACAGCGCCGAATGGTACATCGATATTGAGGAGAACGGCGAGGCAAAGACCATCTCGTGTAACCGTCTCATCGTCGCGACCGGCGTGCTTACCGTCCCGCACATGCCCGAAATCGAAGGGTCCGATGAATTCAACGCACCGATGATCCACTCCTCGAATCTCGGACCGCGTAAAGAACTGTTCGAGGACCCCGATATCCAGACGGTCGCGGTGCTCGGTGGCAGCAAGTCCGCATACGACTCCGTGCACCTGGCGGCATCGACCGGACACAAGGTCCGCTGGGTGATCCGCCGCTCGGGGCGGGGCCCGGCGTGGGTCTTTACCGCGTTTACACAGCTCGGCCCGTTCAAGGTCTGGAGAGAGAGGCTTGTGACGAGACGCATTGTCGCATTCATGTCGCCGAACATGTTTCCAGATATGTCGGGCTTGTCCTGGATCCGGCGCTTTCTCCACGAGAACGCGATCGGCAGAGTTATTTCGAGAAATTTCTGGAAGTTGATTCGGTACGACACAATCAAGGATTGTGGGTACCAGACACATGAGAAGACGAAGGTGCTCCAGCCGGAACAGAATCAATTTTGGTATGTTGATCCATCCAGACTCTGCGAACATTAGCTAACTAAAATGCTTAGGTACGGCACCGCATCGGGTATCCTGAGCTTCGACGATGACTTCTTCGAATATGTCCGCAATGGTACTGTCGAGATCTACCGCGAAGACATCGACCATCTCTCGGATCACAGGGTCCACCTCGCCGATGGCACATCTTTTTCAGTTGACCTTCTCGTTGCCTCTACCGGATTTTCAGCCAAGCCGACCATGAACTTTGAACCTGCATCGCTGCACGCTGAGCTTGGTGTCCCAACTGCTGAAATGAGCCCCGAACAAGTCGCCTTTTGGAATGAGCAAAGCGCCAAGGCTGATAAGGCTATTGGCGCCCGCTTCCCTCGTCTGCTCGACGGTCCGTTCTTGAGTCCTACTTCATCCAAACCAAAGCCTTTCAACCCCGGTGCCTCAGTCGAGGTATCATACAGCCCCTGGCGCCTGTATCGTGGCATGGCGCCTCCTGGTCTCGCCGCCAACGATGATCGCTCGCTCATCTTCCTCGGTGTCTTTAGCAACTTGGCCAACATCATGCGTTTGGAAGTCCAATGTTTGTGGGCCTTGGCCTACTTTGAGGGCAAGATTCCAACTCTCGATAGGGACATTCGTGCTGGTAAGGTCTATGAGGAAACTGCGCTCATGCAGAGGTGGGCTCAACATCGAGCTCCTTATGGCCATGGACGCCAGTACACGGACATTGTGTTTGATCAATTGCCATACTGGGATATGTTACTTGGAGAGGTTGGCGTGCAGACGCAAAGGAAGCCGAGTAAGTGGGCAGAGTTCTGGGAATCTTACACACCCGTCGACTATCGCGGTATGGTAAAGGAGTGGATGGCTCAGAACCCTAGGTTGCAAAATGGCAAAGCCTAGCTAAAAAGAACTGTCGATAAATTTTAATTCATGGACATCTCAAGCATGCAAGCGTTGATGCGTCATTCGATGTATTCGGTGTCACATACCAATCAGGAATGCATATGTAGTTTCCATTTTATCCTCGGTCACGAGAAAGTGCACATTCATACAACCTATTCAAATCTCAACCAAATACGCAACGCCCGGAATTACTATTCCCAGCAAGTTTCACTTTCAGTTGCGCCTATGCACGCCATTTCCGCTTTTTGCTGCGCACCTCAGATGGAATCCATTCAGACAGCAAACGCATCACTTCGTTGTTTCCGTGCTTTTTCGCTAAGCTCATTGCTGTTTCATTCTCGACAATCTTGCTCACATCAGCATTACACTTGAGTAGGCTGCTGACAACTTCGCCGATGCCATTGTGTGGGTACATGGCCGCGAGCATCACAGGCGTCCGTCCTATTGAGGTCATTTCAGGGTCTGCACCCATCTCGAGAAAGTGGAAAGTTGCCTGTCTTGATGGCATATCCTAGCAATGACTCGCCTTCCTGGCTCTTCCAAAAAAGGCTAAGTGACTTGAGGTTTCGCCGACTGCGAATCATCTGTGACAAGAGAGCTGCCAGACAATTTGCATGAACTGTCACTCGTGTAGGATGAGGTTTATGGGTCTCGTAACCCCACAAGAGGCCTAAAACTTTGACACTACATCTCCCGGCATATCTGCGCCCTCCGCGCTGCTTCGTCTCCCAAAAGCCATCAATTAGCTGAGGTCCCATGTGTCGGTTTTGTAGAGCAGCATAGAGAATGCCACTGCCAGAGATATTAGATTTCAACGCCACGATCTCAGGAATTGGCGCATCGCATATCTGATAAGCAACCCTGACCGCTTCTGTCGAAATGCTTGTTTTAGGACGAGAAAGAAGTCTGTCGATCAGAACCCAGTGCCCGCTCTCGAAAGGAACTTGCATAATGTACGACGTGATGCGAATATATCCGTTATCAAGAAGCTGGGATAGATCGGCATCTTGAGAGCTCCCCGAGTGTACTGTGACGGATGCCGCAAGAAGCCAATCCAGCTGGGCGATGAGGTCGGAAATGGTATCCAGCCGAGCCCAAGACGTGAGATCACAGTGAAACATGAAGTATGACATCCGCTTTGCCAGCACCTCTTCAGAGACTTCGTAGTCAACGGTGGGGAAGCCGCATTTGGTTATGTCTGTCGAGATTCCACGAAGCGCATAGATCATGTCCCGCGGATCTGTCGCTTGACTTTGACAAAAATGCTTCAGGAGTGAGTACATCGTCCGACCGCGTTCCCACCAGGAGTTTGATGTCAAGCGATGGGTCGGCATAATGTCTATCACTGCTTGACACTGGCCGTTGAGTATAACACCATGACCACGGTAGGAGTTGATGATTTCTGGGCCGACAGTAAAGTACAAAGCGGGGATTGAGAACCTTCCGCAATGAAAGATAAGAGCAGAGGCATTTGCAACCTCCTGCAATATCCAGATTCTTCTGAACCAGGCACGGTGAAGAAGATCAATGAGGCCGTCTCTCGCGGACGTGAAATCGGTGTCGGGACGTCTCTCTGATGAGTATCCAATGCCATATTCGTACGAGTCGCTGTCTGTGTACGAGGTGCCATCTTTGTATTCCATGAGATGGGAGAACTCGTCCTTGACATGTTTTCGCCACCGATGATGCCATTTTCCTGGCCAATCCATGTCGTCCGTATAATGTGGGACCCAATTTCTGTACGGGGATCCAGGTCTCTCCATTTCGGCCTGAAGCCTCTGCATTGCGTTCATGAAGGCATCTGTGTTATCCGTCGATTGTCCCAACCAGACGATGACTTGCCTGGCCTGACTGTAGATATCTCCCATTCGTTGCACCTGGTGGCCTCTCTCCTTGTGGTTGTTCTGATTGATGCAAACGGCGTCGACCCATAACACACGATCATCAGCGAGACGGAGATGAGAAAGGGCAAGATGCAAGCTTGCGGTAATTCGTAGCTCCTTGCCGCTGATCTCTATGTGATGAGTAAGATCAGATGAGCCCCAGACGTACGATAATGCTTCGTATGGAGGCTCACAACTTCTCTCGGCGACGTCAACTTCAAACAGTTCGCAGCGTATCGGACCGGTACAACCTTTAAGAAGGCGCAGGAGCCGTATGCCTGGCTTGGTAAGGTCGAGGGGGTCGTGCTCGAAAGAATCCATGACGAGTCAAGAATCCTGGCATGAGACTTTTGAATTCAAATGGTAATTGCGGCATCATTAAGGCGAGGAGAGTACTATATATAACCTACGTGTCTTATTTTACTTTTCATTGGGAGAGCTCGTGCTTGAACAAGCTGGACAACTTCTGGATGTTACAACTAGGTTGAGAATTCCATCGAAACTATGCGACAAAGAACACCTTTGTTGAATTCGCTCGTAACTGTTTATCAGGCCTGCCTTTCAGCCATGGCTTCCGTCAGGAGTTTTGTCTACGTGTTGCAGACCCTGTCTTATTTCAGGGTGACTTTCAATCTTCCATCGACAGTGAGGTGCCCCTGAAACAAAGCCCCAGGACACGGCCAATCACATCGATCAGCTCAAAGTTCCACTTTGTACAGGTCATATTCTGGTAAGCCATTCGGGTTACGCTTCTTGAATGCCAGGATATTGCCTTCATCAAGTCTCCTCAAAGTGTGAAAGAGCTCTTGGCATTTGATGGAGCATGCTCTGGAGATTCCGACACTTGTCGAGGAGGCTCCGGTCTCCATTGATTGCTCATCGGCAGGTGGTCCCGAAGGCCACAATTCTTAGAAAATCACAAGGTCCAAGTATTGCATAAGATAGTATGAACTGTCTTTTAATTGCTTGAAAACAAAGTTGGCACAGCTTGCACGCAAACCACATGAATCATGTCGAGTACTATACACAACAATCCACTACTCCCAAATATTGAAGGAACATCATGTGGCCAGCAGAAGGAATACGTATGCAAGCATACGACTATTTACACGTGCATATGACTGAGCACGAGCAACCAAAATTCCCTTCGCCACGTTACTTCCATGGCATCGGGCCAACTCCATCGCTGTTAGCTCTTGCTCAGCTGCTTTTGAGCCTGCATCTGTAACATCTTAACGAGCAGCAACATGAGTAGCGCTGTGTACTCAGTCCCGTTCATGGCAACGGGCACGAGGGTAGTGCGCCTTCCGACCAGTCATTTACCGAAGCACTGCGTCCGGGAGGCCTTTCCAAGAGAGCAGCATCTGCTATCTTTGAGGCTTATTCAAGCAACACCATCATGCCTTTGGGTCTATGGAGAACGTCTGTAGACTTCGGAAGAGTTCCTTGAACATCACCGCAGGACAGCTCCCATAGACAATACTCTTCTCAGGCTCAAGACTAGACAACTCATAACGCAAAGGTTGTTGTCAAGGATACAAAAGTATTTGCCGACGCGTCATCGCCCCTCATTATTCTTTCCTTTGAATAGCTCTCTGCTATGCTCGGGTTTAAAATGTCGGTTCTCCAGCACAACGTAAGTAAGACTCGGCAACGGTGACCGAGAACCCTCTGCCACGTATGAAGATATAGTCAGATCACAGGTCTGGTAGGCTGCCATGATAGCGTCTGGATGATAACGGACGAAAGTACTGTGAATGAACGGATGACGCCAGGGATCCGTCTCTAATGGGTCTGACATGCTGCCTTCTTTGGCTAATATATCATATCTGACATGGCCTGTGCCAGCAAGTTGGGTAAATTCATTAGAGTTACCTTGCACTCTTTGTGGCAGTGCTGCGCCGTGGTCCAAGTGGCTCATCTGTTAGTTCTCCAAACGGAGACATTCAGAAATGAAAAATTGCAACGTTTTGTTGCCTACCGTTGCTGGAAATCCGCTCCTATGAAAGAGCCTTCGAAATTTGGGCTCTCGAAGCGAGTTGAGCCGGCATCATTCTCCACTGACCCGCTCGCCGGCCCGTGCTCCCGGAGGCCACGTTTGAGGGTTCGCGGGCGGCGCCGATCCCGAAAACGGGGTCTCTGAGCTGTCGGCTTTATGTCTCCGGCCGGATCATTTCAATCATCCCTTTCTTCTGAAATGAAGGCCATAACTCGGAGTTTGAAGGCCGAAACGATCACTCAACTCTGACGACAAACATGAGCCGTTGGCTCGAGCAGGCCGAGGTTGAAGCCGTAATTGCGGAGCTCTCGCATCGGTCGGCACGGAAGGCAACATCGCGAACATGGCAATGTTCCAGATTCGCATCACCATTAAGCTCCTGTCAGCACCCAGGAGCCCGCTAAACTCCCTTAAAAACGCCCGGAAATGGTTCGGACCGGGCTGACACGCCCTAGACCACACTGTAAATCAACAAAACACGGGGTCGCTGGCGACCTTCAAACGCGCCAAACGAAGATGAGCATGAAACGGGTCTGAAACCCGCCCCGGTCGCCAAAACTCGCCAAAGGCGTCCATCCCAAGGCGCTGGGACCTACCCGTCTTGGCTATAAGCAACTATGTGTCCTTGGCGCATCCCCAATCCGTGATGGTCGATGAAGAAAAAAAAGGAACCCGTCTCATGTCTTTTTGTTTTTGTGGTGTTCTGATTGATCGAAGGCCATGCTCTGCCAAGGCCAACCCCAGGTGGTGATCTCCTTGGCTGCCGCCCTCATCATCGTCTGGAGTATCCGCCTCTTGTTCGTCCACGATGGCATCTCGACGCTTCTGTACCACTTCGAGGAGCCCAGCCAGCCGCAGGTTGTGGAGGCGTTCGTCCGACAGGCTATGAATGTCGAGTTTCCCGAGCCAATCGATTACCGACCGATCCAGTCGACATGCGCCGCTACACAGTTCCGGCCGGGCCTGGTGTTTACCTGCGAGGGACAACATGGAGGCATTGGCATGGTGCGCGACCAGATTCTGAAGTGCGTGCGGTATGCGATACACGGCGGCGGCGCGATTGTGGTGCCTTCAATGCAGCTGCGCAACGCGAAAGACATCTCTGACATCGAGACCGAGAAAGAGGTGCCGCTCGACTACCTCCTCGACCGCCAGACCTTCATCAACCACCTGACGGAAGGGTGCCCAGGGATGCGCATCTACGAGCGGATCGAGGACTTTCCCCACTACCAATCCCGGGCAGGGGAGCCACTTGACCTTGTGGGCGACCAATTCGAGCCGAACCACCCCCGCGAGGGCCTGGAACACCCGCGCGAATGGCGGCGCTTCTTTGACGAATGGCTGGACAAGAAGAACGTCACCATCCGGACGGAGGAGCCGACGCACGTACGGATCGGCCAGGCGTTCCTCGAGTACCCCGTCCGCGACGACGGCCCGGCCTTCGTGCACGAGTACGGCAAGATCCTCTCCTTCCGCAACGACACGCGCGAGCTCGCGGCGAAGATACTCTACGAGCTGAAGCGGCGCTTCGCGCTGCCGATCGACCCGGCCAGGGCGATCAATCCGAACGCGTACTTTGGCGCGCACCTGCGGCTGGAGAAGGACGCGATCGACGCGTGGCAGCCGGACGAGTGGCGCTTCTCGCGGCAGAAGGACCAGTTCGAGGAGCACTTCCAGTACATTGAGCGCATGGGTCTGAGTGTGGTGTACGTGGCGTCGGGGAACCAGACGGTGGTGGAGCTGTTTGAGGAGGAGCTGAAGAAGCGCGTCGCGGCGAGCCCCGGTGGGGAGACGAAGAGCGTCGCGGTGGTGACGAAACGCGACTTGCTTCAGGGGCCCGATCGGAAGCTGCTGGACGAGTTGACGTTTGACCAGCATGCCCTGGTTGACTTTTTGATGCTCTTCAAGGCGAGCGCGTTTATGGGTGTGGCGCATTCGAGTTTTCCGTGGACGGTGGCGTTGCGGAGGCATGAGATGAGCAAGTACACGGCGTACGGGAACGAGGGGTCGGATATTTTGAGGGATGAGTACAGCATCATCATGGGCATGCAGAAGGATTACCCGGAAGTTGAGCCGTTTGTCTATGGGTTGTGGCCATGACATGCATAACATCAAGAGGCAAGATGCATATAAAATTATGGGGAACAAATGAACGACACGGGGCGGCAAGGAAAGAGGAATTATTACCCTGGGAGGTACAGGTCAGGCGTCACGGATATTGTTTCACGAAACTATACACTGCTAAAGAAGTGCATCATAACATGCGCAACAACTAAAATCGATACATAATAGAGAATATTTCAACAAACAATACACAGTGGGTCTTGTGTGGCTGTTGCACATCTAGTAGACTGAAATCAGGACATACTTCCGACTACGACTCGAGAGCTCAAGTTTCAGATTCACCGTTGACGCAACAAATCTAGGCTATATCATTTGCGTTGGATTTTCTTTTCGTCGATAATGTCCGACAGATGCGTGTGTTTCTTCTGCGCTGTTCGTTTCACATAACTTGGCATCGAAGAAAGGGAGGAACATAAACAAAGTCTCAAGATGCCTAGTCGCCCAGGTGTTTGACATCCAGCTAAGCTTCCTCTCTTCAAGTACAATGGGGCTCTCAAGATCAGGCTTATTGTTTTTCATACTCGCGGACACTTTCCAATCGTAGTCACTGACATGCAGAGGCGAGTATGACCGGAGCGGTCAACCAGAAAAGTCCATGTCCGGGCCGCTCCGAGTAGCTCACCGGGGCACTCCGGCGTATCCACACTTGAGATGGCCCTCCATCTCCTATTCGCGAAAGCGATATCAACATCGACAGCTACGCCTTATGAGACGACAAATCATACAGATGTGAATACCGATTACTCTGCCAAGATGAACCGGTCCACATCATAGCATGATGATTTTGGAGCCTCTCCTTCCGTCCGAAAGCATAGTATTGAGCTGAGCAAGGCTTGACTCAGCGCCGGCCGACTGCTTCAACTGCCGAGCGGGGACCAGGCCCCGGCCGGCGAGCGGCAAAGTCCGTGACCCCGAAAACCTCCGCGCGGAGAAAACCCACCTTCCGCGATATATCTAAATACCATCGACAACAACGTCTCCGGCGAACATTTCCATAAGCACGTCAATTCAGCAATATTCAATCCCATTACCTTTCAACCAACAAAATTGACCGGAGCTCATCATACAACACCCGTTGACCAGCAAAGATGTTGAACGCTTCCATCTCCCACCGAAAGACACCGGGGAAAGACACCGCCCCCACCCAAACTGACACCCCCTTCTCCAACGACATCACCAAAACCACCATCCGCCAAGCCAACACCACCACCAAGAACCCGCGCCTCCAGCTCCCGAGTCCGCAGTGGTGGCTCCTCGCCATCCCCTCCTTCCTCATCTCCCTCCACGGCGCCCTCTTCTTCACGGGCCTCACCCCAGGCGACCCGCAAATCAAAGCCCGCATCCTCGCCTCCACGGGCGGCTGCGTCCACATATTCGGCTCCTTCATCGCCATGGGCCTTGGGCCGTTCCAGTTCCTCCCCTCACTGCGCCACGCGTACCCGGCCTTCCACAAGTGGCTCGGCTGGGTGTACGCCGCGGCCGTGGCGGCTGGCGGCGTGGCGGCGTTCTATGTCACGTTCCACAGTCTCGCACTGCCATGGGGGCGGGTGGGGTTTGCAGCCCTGGCATGCGCGTGGCTGGAGACGCTGCGGAGGAGCATTGTGGCGGTGAAGAGGGGTGATGTGAAGGGGCATATGGGCTGGATGACGAGGAACTTTGCGTGCACTTATGCGGCGGTCATGTTGAGGTGGCAGCTACCGTTAATGATTGTGGCCGGCATGGAGGTGAAGTTTGCGCTGTCGATTACGGGGTTCATCTCTTGGATTCCGAATTTGATTTTTGTTGAGTACTTCGTGTTGAGCTGAGGTAGAGGTGGAAGGGTTGTGTTGCCGAGAGTTGAGAGTGTGGCATCGCATCTTTTGCTCAGCCCGATGCTGAGTTTAGTCCGCCTCAGCTATGTTGGTGGCTTAGCGGGAGTCCTGAGACTAGATATGGTTGAAAATAAACATAAAGCCGTAAGACCATAGTTTGAATCCGAATTGAAGACACCAGTTTGCGTTTCCGTTGGCTTGAGTCCCACTCAATGATTGTCAAGGTAGAGGCTAGTGGAGAACAGGAACGCATCTAATATAGCCGAGGAAGCTGAGCGCACAGATGCGAAACTGTAGTTTCCAGGTTGTTTAACAGTGGCCGGTAACACTTGTTATGGTACAAGTCTCAAGATCCTTTGTGGCATGCTTAACTCAACTCGTTTTGTCAGATTAGTTGGCTAGTTGACCAAGTGAACGCGACTGTCACCGGCATAGCTGTAGACAAGTCTACCTACCTAATGATGTGAATGATGACTGCCTGCCCAACGGGCTGATCAGACCGCATCAAAGTCATCAAAGTCTAATGTTGCGATCTGCTCTAGGCCAAAGTTACACGTCGCTGTTCCATATGCTCATTTCAATTCGAGTGGCATGAGAGTACCTAGACAAGAATATACCTACCTAGACAACCGGAAAATGATACATGATCAGTGAGCTTCTGTCTTCATATCCGACAGCTCGAGTTTTATCACATACCACTATGCACTTCCGATATCAATTTTAGCATCAAACCTAAAGATATATGATATCTTAACGACAGATCTATCCCAACTTCTGCCGAAATCAGCCACGGTCGTTTGGTGAAGTCTAAGTGCGCTCTTTGGTATCTTCCTGCGTGCTTGCCACGCCAGACTCCCGTTCTTCATCTACCAGATCATTCAACTCGCGGTCTACGGCGTCATACTTCTGAAACTTCCACCAGAACAGCACGGAACAGGCTCCCATGACTCCCGCAATGACAGCGTAAACTACGACAAGATGAGGATCCCGCGAGACTGGGCTTAGCGCCATGGCCATTAGCGAGCCAAGGCACGCACTGAGCTGGACCATGGCCTGCACGATGCTCTTCATGTTCTTCGGAGCTTTGGAGTACGCGTACTCACTCGCTGTAACCAACCCAAAGATTTCGGCAATGGCTAGGGCCACGTAGACCGGAAGCTGCAACCAGACATTAACTCCGTTAGGAAGGCGTCCGCCGTCTGAAGCAGCGCATGCGCGAGGTGCGTCAAAGCAGGGACCCGCATTATAGATCATCTTCTGCAGTCCTGCGGCATAGCCCATCCCGACGCCGCAGATGATAAAGGCCACTGCTATGCGAGCCATGGGGCCGAACGAGATGCGGCGTTTCGCCAGGAAGTTGTACAGTGCCTGGATGATGGGCCCAAAAATTACGCAGGCGACCCCGGCCATGGCTTGGAGCATGTCGTTCGGCACGCCGTGCAGCTGCATCTGCCCGGCTTGTGAGATGAGATTGTTGAACATTTGGGTGATGGCCAGATAGAAGAAGGCAAAACAGAAGCTGGGGGCTGGTTAGTATGTCAACAGAGGGATGGCGTCTTTGGGAACGAACATGACGCGGCATGCGAGAAGACCACGCCTCAACTCATCCACGAATTTGTCCCCCCACGAGACCGAGGGACCGTGAGCTTCCATCTGGTAGGACTGTTTGGCGTGGTCGAGATTGAAACCGTTTCGTGCTGCGATTGACATGACTTTGATGGCTTTGGGGAGATGGTTTTCCCCTGGCCGGATCTTGACTTTGCATCTTGCTGTCAACAGACGTCTTGGCTATCTTCAAGATGACCTACTTACCCAGCCGGGATTCAAAGATGAGCAAAAGACTGACCGCAGCCATCACAGATATAGCGGCCATGAGATATGCCGTCCAAAAGCCAAACTCCCTCTCCAGGAACGTGGCGGGGATGGACGAGAGGGAAGCGATGTTTGTGAACCTGAAGAAGAGAAGTTATTCAGCAAATTCAGAGTGCTACTCATCATCGGTGTCCTACCAATAAAAGGCATTGTAGAGGAATTGAAGTGTTCTGGTGCCGTCAACCACTGCAGGTAATCCATCTTTCTGCCGGACAAGTTGGGGAGGCTTCTGTTTGTATTGGTCGCCTAAGGCAGTCGTCAGTTGACTCCTCTTGCATTGTTTCTCGACTACACATTGATGAAATCATCTCACCAATGAAAGGGGAGATGGTTGCTTTAGTAGCACCAACACCCAGTCCTATGAGTACCATGGCGATAATCAGGCCAGGCAGGCCTGCACCGTTGTCAAGGGAAGACGGTAAAGCTGACGCGAACATGACGAGCGAGCCGCAAAGAGACAAACTGGACTCCCGTCAGCTTCCTTGTAATTACGATTCGGTCTAGAAACATGAGGCGTGACTCACACAAGCCCAAGTAAGAGTGTTTTGTAGCGTCCAAGCCAGATGTCAGAGATGATTGCAAAGCAACTCGGCATTAGAAAGAGGAAAATGAAGAAGCCGTTGGATATCGCCGTGGCGGTTGACTGGCCGAGCCCGAGAGCTCCTGGCACTTGCTTAGAGTTTCTATCATTTTGCATGTAGTTTTCTAGACAGTCAGTGCTGGTTATTTTGCAGTCATGTTGAAAAGTCAAGGACAGTTCTTGAAAGGATGTGACTTACGCCATATGGAGACAAAGCAGTAATAGCTAAACCTCTCTGACGCACCAATCAGAGCGGCCACCCATGCTTCTGGTGGGAGTCTGTCGACAACGTGAGGGAGGTTCTCTATCTCGTCGTTCGCTGCATCACGGGGAACATGGTCGACAACTTGCGCTTCAGCTGACGGACTCGGCTGCGTCGTAATCCCCATGTTGGCAGTCTTGGTCCGCGACTGGCCATCGGATCATGAGCGAGCGATTTTTCTCTTGTCCTATGAACCTTTTTCCAGCTGATGAATCACTTCGCGACCAAGCCTGGCGTTGCTGAATTCGGCTCCAGATTAGTTCATGCTGCATCAGGGGCGGTCTGTCTCCGTGTTAATTGTACTGTGCATAGGCTGATGCCAAGGGAATGCCAACATTTGCCAAGCAGATGCCAAGCGACCAAAAGGAATAAACAACCTCAAACATGCTCACGGAAGGCCGAATGTAGAAGGAGGCGCCAACGGGCGACGAGACTCCGGAAAATACCACGTCAAACTCCAAAGACAAATTGCTCACTAGCCATCTAGGCGACGAGAGAAGAATCAGTGATGTACTTATTAAGATGGAACCAAAATGAATGACAACGAACGCCGGGACAGACAAGACAAGCAGCCATGGCGTTGAGTGACCAATCATCCACGTACCACATTGGGTTCAAGCAGGGGACCATCAAGCTGTTTGAGCTACGGAACGTCTCGACATGTCTGCAGTACCTCCTCCCGACGCTGAAGTCGTTGCCGCTCACCTTCTCCCTCCTGGACGTCGGCTGCGGCCCAGGTAGCATCACCCTCGACCTGGCGCGGCACTTCCCCCATGCCACAATCATTGGCGTCGACCAGAGCGCCGAGGTGACGGAGCGCAACCAAGCCAGCGTCAAGGCCCTCGGCCCAGGCACACGCGTGGAGTTCCGCCAGGGCGACATACTCCGCCCCGAGACGTTTCTCACGCCCGCCGAGATGGAGGCCAAGTTCGACGTCGTCCATGAACACACCACGCTCATCTGCATCCCCGAGAACGCCCCCGTGCTGAGGCAGATGCGGCTGCTCGCGAAGCCCAAGGGCGGCATTGTGGCGTGTCGCGACGGCGATACGCAGTCGCAGGTGCTGTGGCCGCCGTGTCCGGAGAACGCGGAGTTGCAGGAGCGCATTTACAGGATGAACGGGCTGGAGACGCAGACGGGGCGTCGGCTGATCCACAAGGCGCTAGAAGCCGGGTTCCGAAGGGATCAGATCACGGCGTCGGCAAGCGTGCTGTCGAATATCACGCCCGAGGAGAGGTTCGCGTATGCAGGGTCCATGCTGGATATTCTTGCTGACGAGAATTCTGAGTATCGTCGGGCGGCGGCCAAGTTTGGGTACACGGCGGAGCAGATTGATGTGCTCCGAGCGAATATGCAGCGGTTCATTGACGCCGAGGATGCTTGGAGACTGTTGATATGCACAGAAATCATCTGTCGGCTGGATGGGGGTGATAAGAACGGTCCAAGAAACACTTTAGCCTAGAGACTCAATGTCAATACATGCGCAAGAATTGTAATAAGCGATAGAACCAACACAAATATCAAATCAAAACCCCGTGTTTGGCTGCACAGTACCAGGGCCAACATGTGATGCCCGGGAAAACTTGCTCTTGTGGCGTTGGCCAAGCCATTCCAGGCCTGCAGACCCCCATGTCGGTATCATTCGATGGCAAGCTCCACGCTGGTATATAACACTTCTCGCATCTGCCTTGTTCGCATTCCACATTCCGCCTTGCAGCACCCTCCTCTTCAACACCAACAAGCTGGCGTGCAACGAGATGGCGCCCATATCACGTCTGTTTGCACCAGGTCTCGCCGTCGCCCTGTATGCCATCGGCGTCCACGCCGATGGGACCGGCCTCATCGGCTGGGGCAAGACTCTCTACGACCCAACGTGTTCTTTCGCTTGCCGCAATGTCATCAGAAAGCAAACTCTCGCCTGCACGCCCGTCGACTCGAGCGCGAACCACGGTACAGCCCACAATCCAGTGTCGACGCCGCCGAAATGCTTCGTCTCGGATCACGTCTTTCTGCTCACTATGGCGCTCTGCATCGACACCTACTGCCCGCTGAGCGAAAATCCGCCGATTGCCAAGCTGGAAGACTATTGGGCATCCCATCTCGGGACCGGTACACTGGGGAACTACAAATACACTCCTACCATGTCATACCAGGAGGCTCTGGCTGCTGCGCGCGAGGAAGAATCAAAGGCTGCTCAAAACACCAACTCTTCGTCTTCAGGCTCCGACAGTGGAGGACACACCAACCACCGCAGAGCTCCTCCAGTACGACTTGCGGTCCGCCATGGAGACATGGCAATGGACTCGGCCGACGGCCTGACAGTTTTCAATGTCTCCAGCCCCCTTCCCAAGGCAGCAGGCGGTTCCAAGCCTCTCAATACCACCAGCTTCGTCGGTCCCACTGAGTGGCAGCTTCAGTGGAACTACATGCACGACTTTGAGACAAACGAGGCAGGCCACTCGACGGTCACTATCGTCATCACTCTGGTCGCCGTCCTCCTCCCCGTCGCCCTCTCGGCGCTCCGCTTCATCCCAGGTTTCACAAAGAACTTTGCCTGGATATACTGGCAGACTTTGCTGATTCATCCCGCCGCCTTCGGTCGCCGTCATCGCGAGCCTGTCGCCGGGATCGGCAACATTCCCACTCGCGGTCAAGCCATGTACATCTTCGTACTCAGCTTTCTCAACATCATCCTCTGGCTCGGCCCATACACCATTCACCAGCCACAGGCCAGCTTCACATCTCTGAAGATGCAGAGCATCAGCATCATCGGCAATCGCGCCGGTGTAATGGCCATGGGCAACTTTGTAGCGCTGTTTCTATTCGCCGCCCGCAACAATGTCCTGCTTTATCTGACAGACTGGAGCTACAGCACTTACTTACTGCTTCACCGCTGGCTAGCCTACTGGGCCATCTTCCACACCATCGTCCACTCCTTCATGCTCCTCGCCAACTACATCCTTCAAGGCACCTACGAGGCCGAGATTGCCCGCGAGTACTGGATCTGGGGCATCGTCGGGACCGTCGCGGTGAGCGCCATCCTGCCCTTCTCGCTGCTGTGGGTGCGCCAGCGCTTCTACGAGTTCTTCCTCGCTTCTCACGTCATTTTGTCGATCCTCTTCATCTTCGGGTATTACTACCATATCTGGTACGTCTACGAGTACAACTGGGGCTACGAGATCTGGATCTTCGTCGCTGGCGGGGTCTGGGGCGCCGACCGGCTCTTCCGTCTTGTTCGCACTTTCTGGCAGGGCCTCAGATGGGCCACCATTACCACGGTTGATGATGTCGATGGTGAATACATCCGAATCGAGGTGGAGGGGAAACGCCTCGATGGCGGGGTGGTTTACCTCGGATTTCCGACCCTCAGCTGGCGTTTCTGGGAGACACATCCGTTTTCTGTCGCATATTCCGGACTGAATGACGCCATTACTGAGTCGAGGACTCCAGAATCTCCAGTTTCGACTCCGGTCAGGGATGACAAGACGGAGCCCGAATCACCAACTGTTGAAGCTGACCCCGAAAAGGGCATCAACGCCCAACCAAACACAGTCACCACACCCGCACGAGGGAGCACAGATACCACAGTCTTTTATTCTCGCTCTCGCAGCGGTATGACGCGTGCCCTCGCTGCCAAGGCATCCCCTTCCACTCGCATTCGAGTCCTTCTCGAGGGCCCCTACGAACATTCAGGCCACGTCTCGGCACAAATCGCCCACTGCACCGATATGATCTGCATCGCCGGCGGCGTCGGAATTACTGCGTGCCTTCCCTTTGTCCGCAACCGCCCTGCTGCGGGTAGCACGTCGCTCTTCTGGTCCAGTCGCCACCAAGGCCTTATCACGGCTCTAGCACCAGCCCTTCACAGCCTCCCAAGCAGTGTCAAGGTTCAAACGAACGTCGGGGAGAGACTGAAGTTAGATGCCATCCTCACGAGGGAGATGACTGCTGTCTCTGGTGGTGCGCTGGCTGTTGTTGTCTGTGGCCCGCCCAGTATGGCGGATGATGTCCGCAGTAAGATTGTTGAAATCACGAGGAACGACGCAAGGAGCAGGCCCTATGTTTTGGTGGACGAAGCGTTTGTTTGGTAGACACAGTTTATATTTACAGAAGATATTCCCATTTTTGATTTCCGAAGGACTTCATTTGTCCATAAGTCTGTACGTAAACCGCTCCCTAATCTCACGATCCAGTCTCAAGCACTCCTTTCTTCCCTTCCTGCTCGCAACGATCACGTACCCGACGCACCACAACTCACTCGACTCCGGTCCCTGTACCACTTCGCCCTTCTCTTTCACAGTCTGATAATGCACAACATGGCGCTCAAGATCGGGGTTTGCCTCGAGGAACTCCTTCACCGCATCATCAGACCCCATAAATCCTGCCTTAGTAGGAGCAAGTACCGAGATGCCCAGCGTATACTGAGGGATGCTACGCAGAAAAGGCTTTGAAAGCGCCCGCACTCGCGCATCTTCCTCCGAGCCGAGACTGAGCAGCAGCCGTATGGCGTAGTAATCGACGCCATGTGCGAGCAGGGCCGCCACGCAGTTGATGTACCCCGGCGGGCGCGCGTTAACCTCGTGCAAATAGCAAGACGGAGCTTCAGCAGATACATCTCCCCGTATGCGCAGATCTAGGACCCCGGCATCAGGGTCGACGGCATAGTACGCCCGCGACCCGCGGACCCTGGCCTCGCAGTGGAACACACCGGACTCGAACCCAAGACGCGCGATGCTTTTGGCCAGTGAGTCCCGCATCATGGCCCTCTCCTCGACAGGCAGCGCCGAGGGCACGTCCATGAGTGTCTCCATGAAGTTGGCAGCTTTGCTTTTGTCCACCCCTGGGATGTCGGCGGAGCAGGGGAAGTCGTCCGTCACATCACAGAAGAGCACTTCTCCGTTCAACACAATGAAGTTTGCGTCGATCTCTGGTCCGTCGATGTACGGCTCGATCACCACGCTCGTGCTCCGTGCCGCAGATGTAGCGTGTCGATCCGATGCGCGCTTCACAGCAGCCCGCAGCTCGCCCTCGTCGCGTACTTTGACTACGCAGTCGCTGTTCCAACCGGTGCAAGGCTTGACAATTAGGGGATAATTCAGTCCTTTCCCTTGCTCTGCCAGGACTGGGTCGAGCTCTTCCGCTGTTTGCAGCACAAATCCATCTTGCTCTCCACATGCAGCGGCCTCAATCTCCCGCGAGACACCCTTATTTCCCGCCCTGAAATATGCCGCAGAACTGGACGTGGGCAGTCCCAAAATCTCACAAGCCTGCGCGACGAGCGGCAGCCGCACGTCACTAACACACACGATGCCATTGACTGGATGCGGATACGCGCGCACGGCATCAACAACGCGCTGGGTGAGGCCGTCGTCTGCAGCGATGCTGATGGGAAGGAAGGCCTCGCGGTAGTGCGCGTGCGGGCCGGCGTCGTCTTCAAGCCAATGGCCAGGGTCGTCGAGGACGACGAGGGTGATGCCGAGGGCGCGGGCGGCTTGGTAGAATTGCCGGCTTGCTTCGATGTTGGCGCGGCCTTGGACCCAGAAAACGCGCTTTTGTGTGAGTTTCTGTGGGACTGTCCAGGGTATGGAGAGTCGCTTAGTGAGATCATCGTCTAGACGGGTGCGGATGGCTTGGAATGTGTCCTTGGGGTCGGTGGCGCGCGCAATGACGCCGCCGACTGAGCTTCGGAGCAGGGAGAGGAAGTCGTCTTTTGTGGTGACATTGATTGCTTGGTCTGGGCTTGTTGATGCTACGGAGTACAATGGGGCGAGGAAGCTCGTAATCTTGTGAGCATCCTCAAAGCCATGGAGTCTGTAGGAGAGGAAGTCCGGCCTGATGATCGTTCCAGCCTCCGTTGAGAAGAGTAGCCTCAGGAAGGTGGCACGGGAGAAATCTTGTTTGACGAGGATTTGTAGTAGATCAGTGGCGAGATTCGTCTCATCCTGGTTGACTACGAAGTTCTTTTGGCCAGGCTCTTGCTGAGCCGTGAGCACAAGATCGAAGTGCCAGTATCTCTGTCCGTCGTGCGTAGTGGCAGTTCCTGAGCTTAGCCGAACGGCTTGTAGCGTCACTTCTGACCTCGATGTTAGTTCGGGGTGACAACGAAACCCAGAATATGTTGCTTACCTTGCCCATCATCTCCTCTGAGCATTAAACTCCACCCGAGGCTGGTCATTCTGCTTGTATGGTGTACTTGAGACGCCACCGACTTGCAGCAACAGCAACAATTCGGCGACAGCGTGAAGGAAAGACCGAGATTGCGACCTAATAGACTTCTTTTCCCGCATTCCATCAACAGCAGCCGGTACACCCTCATAAGACCACCCAGAAAATGACTCACTCCGGTCTCAGACCATCCCATCGGGACCAGGGGGCAAGTAAGGTTCGGCACGTGTACGCCAAAGGAGCTGTAAGATCCGTGAATGAGCAAGTTCTTTTGGCTCATGAGCCCTGGATCGTGCAGCTTCGCTTCACGGGGCTGAAGATTCTCAGCTCATTGAGCAAGTTTAGTAATCGGCTCTGGGTGAGATTGGAACCGCCGAGACTTCTAGACGGGCTCTTGGCTCTTGGCACTGTGCTGCACTGTTACATCAGGGAAAGCCGAGGCTGCATGCCCAACGTCGTACTTCTATCCTGTTCGAGTTAGTGAAGATTGCACCATGTAAGCCGCTGGAGGATCTGGACTTGCGGTGATAGCCGCGGTTACGATACATGAAGTCGATTACGTGACAGAGATGTGTTGAGATATGTAGCGTCTGGCCTTGCTGGCACATGGCTAGCACTGAAGCCCTCGTCAACTCTCCAATGCCAGAAAGACTCGGAAAACAAAGCCCATTTGTTCTTTTGAAAAATGTCTGCCCAGGACAACGTCTTCAGCGGGCCGAATTCAGTCGTCGACTACTTCGACCCCGACAAGAATCCGCCTCTTCCTTTGGTCGAGATCCCAGACCGTTTGAATCCGTTCAGAGAAGTTGGGGTCAGGATATATGCAAAGATGCTCACCTGTCTGCCCGCGCAGAATGTCAAGTCTCTGCCAGGTGCGTTGCCGTTTCCTGATTTTTGTACAGCCAGAAGGTAACACACGGAACTTATAGCCCTGAAAATGCTACGAGAAAAGCCCCAAGCCCAAGATCGGAAGATTGTCGAGGCAAGCTCTGGGTCGACTGTACTGTCTCTCGGCATCATTGCAAGGGTTCTCTGGGGAAATGAAGATGTGGACGCCTATGTGACGAATAAAAAGCCGCCAGAGTCGCTGAATCTGCTTCGTTTCTTTGGTATCCGACCGTGAGTTCCCATTTCAAGAGACAGGAGGCGAGAAGCTTTTTCTGACGTGGAATCTTCTCAGATGTCTCTACGGTGGCCTCGCGCAGCAAGAACCTACTGATCCCACAGGCATCATGTGCAGGCTACGGAGGCGGGCGGCGCAGGACGAGGATATGGTGTACCCCGGGCAGTATGACAATTCCAACGTACGACCTCCTGGCTTTCTAGTAGAATCCAAGAGCTGACGAGTGCGAAGAATTGGAAAGCTCATGAGGAGTGGACAGGGCCTCAGATTTTCAAACAGCTGCCTCAAATCAATGTCTTTTGTTCCACTGTCGGTACCGGAGGTGAGGTCAGCCGATGCTATATTCTCTTTCAGTTGACGAATAGATTATCAGGCGTAATTACGGGCACGGGAGTATACCTAAAGTCCCGCAAGCCATCAGTCAAGGTCCTTGGGTTAGTCTACGCGTGTATGTGATGACTTAGCTCCCGGAAACTAACGATCAGCAAGCGTCTTCAACAAATTCGGGGATCCGACGCCAGGACCCAGACACTTCCACGGCTTCCATACCTCTGGCTTTCCATGGCAAGGCACAGTCGACAGTCGCATCGAAGTTTCATCAGTTGACTCGTACCGCATGTCCATGCGTCTCTCCCGAGAAGGACTCATCTGTGGCCCGTCGTCAGGGGAGGCACTTCACGGACTCCTCGAGTACATCGCCATGCTGAATCAAACGAACAACCTAGGACAGCTAAGAGACGGTAAAACAGGCGAGGTCTCATGCGTCTTCACTTGCAGCGATCTCCCGTACCAGTACCTGCCAATCTACAATCAAAAGCTCGGAGCGGGAGAGTTTCCTCCGATTGAGAATGAGGTTGGTCACAATCGCAGAGTACCTGTGTTGTCTAGCTAACATGAGCGTGACAGATACTCTTGCAATGCGACCAGAATCGACATGATGAGAGATGGATCTTGAATGCGCGGAAAGCGGCCAGCGTCATCTTTGGCACGGCGGAACTGCAGTCAGTCCAGAAAGATGCTCTCAAAGTCAGCATCGAAACAGTTGAGAAAGTCCCGGTTCAAGTCCCACCGAAGGGTCGCTCCTGGATTTCCATCATCGTCAACCTCCTCTTCCCAGAAAAGCAGCGTGCTGATGTTAACTGCTGCTCGCACCATACCCGCAACTTGATCTCACCATCAGTCTTGGTCCTGGACCTTCGTAGCCCGTCCGCTTTCAAGGCTCAACACATACCGGGCTCGTCCTCGGTGCCCTTGGTCGGTCTGACGCCAGATCTGGCTAACGGTGACCTTTTTGGAGATGCGAAATCTGTTCACATGATATGCATGCAGATTCAAAAAGCAGTTGCCATACCTCATGTTGCTGGGCGGCTGCGTACTGCGAGAGAAAGTCAGAAGGCTGTTGTGTGTGTATGTTACAATGGCGACGCAAGTAAACTTGCATCTTCAGCACTTCGTGCCCTTAACACTGAGGCCTTCAGCATTGATGGTGGTATGGAAGCACTCTGGCCTGAGCTGGAACGTCCGAAGCTAGCTTGAACATGTAACCCCAACCCTAACCCTAGTCGTGGGGAATGTGGTCTTTGGAGCGCTGTCACCTAGTGAAAGTTTTGTGTTGAATTCCACTGGGGTGTATTTATGCTTCTCGTTTACCTTGGATGTTTCAAGTTCGTGCTCTGGTCCTGATGTAGAGGTCGTTGAGCTTATCTCGTTTTCCGAGAGGTGAAAAGGTTTCGACTTAAAATCAGACTTTCGGCTTCACAATCCGTCGTGCTACCGCTTGATCAAGAGTGCTAGTCTTCATAGCGGCTGGTAGAGCTCAAACACAGCATTCAGTTGAGTTTCTCCCTTCCCAAATCGTTACGGCTTCAGGCTCCACGTCAGGAGGATTACCCAAGCTTTCATAGATACGGGTTCTATCATAAACATAGGAATATTTCAATTGAGGACGGCAGATTTAGCTAGACTAGATATCTAAGATCGTTAGAGCATTTGTACTTTCCATTTCGGCAGTTAATTTCAATTAGCATTTAAACAAATCTCCGTGGTGCGATTCAGGATTTGAGATTGTAGCCTTTGTATTTTAGGGGTGAAAATGTTGTAAACTTCCGTATTGTGCGTTACCACCTATGAGACGCAGCAGTCTGAGGGCATTAGCACTAGGTAGGCAATACCTTCTCCAAGTTGCCATCTCTCATGCGTTCACGAAAACATATGCAAGGCCCGAAATAGCATCGGTCGTTGCGTTGAAGCACAAGGGCGCCATACGCGCCGCAAGAGGTTCATACGCGCAGAGGCACGCAGGTATGTCTAAGCGATTGATAGCTCAGACATGCTATACTTTCGGCATAGAGACTCTGCATGTGTCTTTTGTTATGCTACAGGAGAGGGAGAAGAGGGGTTACGGGGGATGGGAACAATTTTACCCTAACCCTTACCCTAACCCTGCGGTAGAATCTACTACCAGAGTCGGCCCAGTCGGAAAGAAGAAATTGCCCTTTTTCGCGCGCTCGACTGTACAGTTTAAACACAAAAAGTCTCATAACACATTCACAGTGCGTCCGTCTGTTGAAGAGCTGTTTTAGATTCCCTGATTACTGATTATAACCTTACTACTAGTATGCCTGGTCTCCATCAACTATTTCTCAGACAGCATCATGCTTTACAACTCGCTGATTAATGGACTTCGTGTCATCCGGTTGTCACCTACCGGGTGGTTATTTCATTCTCGGCGTCATATAGTCAGTCAGCATCAGCGGACGCGGTCGGGGCCTCCTTCATTGAGTCGGTATGAGGTTGAGCAACCTACATCTCACTCGGCGCTTGAGAGCTACACATTGCGCAGAATTCCGTATGTATTTCATCAATCAGCATGAATTTCAACTCGCAGCTCTCTCCTCAAATTTTCTTCCTGCACCTAAGGCGACTTACACGGGGACCGCATGTCGTCAACCCAAGCTCGTGCCGATCCCCACCTCTGTGGCGCCACATCCGAGACCGGCGCCAGGGGTTCGATCAAGCTCTGAAATAAGCTTATTACCCATGCTCGTCCCGCGCCCCCACCGACGCCACCCGATCTCACAAGCTCCACTGTGCACCACCCCCTGCAACATCCCCTGTCTGCGCTAAACCATGGCTGCCCCCACCAACTCATACGCCCCGTTCAAGGGTGTTGCCCCTGATCGCCGCCCACGCCCTCACCCCCTGAGGATGCCCTGTCCAGGTACCTTACGTACTGTGAAGTCACTGAAGTCGGAGTTCCTTTTTGAGGATGGCGGCCCACCACAGGTTGATCACTCCTGTCTTGGTGCGCCTCAGTGCCTCGCCACACATCGAAGGAGTCAGTCTGGGGCCGACGCGTCGGTTGCACTGGCAACGGGAGGGGCAGCTGAAGGGTTGGAGTGGTCTGATTGGATGTCGAGCGGATGAGTTCCCAACTACACACGTGATTGAGTCGAAATGGTAGTAGCCGGCCTATGGACATGACGACTCCATCGAAACATGGTTGAATAAGAACTTCATCTTTATGTGGTGTGCGAATGAGAAATCAAAGTTCCTGTCGATGGAAACAGCAATTCACGGGCAACCAAGGGCGCAAGCCGCGCACATACAGAATTTAGAACTCTACGAGACAAGCACCCACCAAAGACAGAATCGTGGATCAAAAACGTCCATTTGTTATTTACAAGTATGAGGTAAAATGCAATGTGCAAGTCCGAAGACAATAAATATAACGAAGAAGAAGCACATGCGGCCCGCAGCCTGCGCCGAATTGGCAACCACCATCTCATCCCCAAGACACCTCGACAAAATTCTTCCTCTTCTCTCAGTCTCCCCGCAGCTTCACGATCAAGATCTCACACTGCATCTACAAGCACTGGGAATACCACTCGCTTGATTTGGTGCAGGTCGACCCGGCCGCGCACGCAGTGGGGCCGGTGTACCCCGCGCCGCCGCACTGGGCCCACTTCGCAGCCGAGGCACCGGAGGCAGACTCAGCGACGGCGGAGGTGGCCGCGGGGGCAGCAGCGACGGAAGTAGACGACGGAACGGGCTCAGGGACCTCTTCCGCGACATCCTCCTTGACGGCGGGTGCAGCAGACGCAGAAGCAGAAGCGGAAGCGGTGGCGGCGGGCGTCGTCGCGGAGGAGGCCTTCGTCCAGCCGCGGCTGCGCGAGAGCTCGTACCACCAGTTGCGGTACATCCAGCCGTCAAAGTCAGTGATCTCCATGGACGACCCCGCGAGCATGATGAAGTTGGACACGCCGGTCGGGGTCCAGTCGTAGACTTTTTTTCGCGTCAGTAATCAATCCATCTTACGGAGAATCAAAAAAACTCACAATCATCCAGACCAAAGGTGTGTCCCATCTCATGCAGCAAGATGTGAATACTCTCAGAGTCCAGGTTGTTGATCATGTACTCCCGCCCAATCTGCTGTCCCCAATCATACCCGAACCCGCCCTCAAGCCCGTCCGTCAGCCACAAGCTGTGCTCGAACCGCCGGTCCGCCCCAGCCTTGCACCCGCTGAAGTCCCCATCAATATGCGCCGCGTGATTGCACTCCGTCGCGCACGCCGGAACACCATCGCCATCCTTGTACGTGGTATACACGTCCAACCCGGCGGTGCTGCCCTCCAGCAGACTCGCGTCCTTGACCGCCCACGCAACCACATTCACATCCACCTTCGCAAACGGGAACCCGTCGTATCCGTACAGCCACTTGAACCACTTCTGGTACTGCGCCGCATACACGCTCGCGATCTTGCTGCGCTGCGCGGCCGTCACCGTCGCGGAGGAGTCCCAGCGCACGCAGATGTTGAGGCTGCCGTTGGTCGCGACCAGCTGGTCCCAGCCCCAGTACTTGTTGCCCGTGACGGCGCCGTCGTAGGTGGACTCGTAGTGCGCCCAGACCTCCTTCAGGGGCGCGGCGAGGGACGAGGGAGGGGAGAAGCCGGACTGGCGCTTGGTCGGGCGGTTGCGGGTCTGCGGGGAGAGGAGGCTGCGCGCGGCGGCGTGCGGGGCGGGGTGGTGGTTGGCGAGGGAGGACCAGACGGCCGGGTCGAGATCGGCTTTGGAGCGGGAGGGGGAGGGGTGGGCGAGGGTGGTGGCCGCGAGGGCGAGGAGGAGGGAGGAGGCGAGGGAGGGCATGGTCAATGAGTGTGGGGTAATGAGTGACTGGGTGAAAGGTTGCACGGGCAGAACGTGAGCCAGTCAGTTCTCCCGGTAGAGCGAAGAAAAAGAAGGCGGGTGGAGGGGTGCGAGAGAACGAGGGACTCGGGTGCGCTTGACGGCGGGATATATATGAAGGCTGTCGAGCGTAGGCGAGTGAAGCCATTTTCGAGAGTTGCAGCGGGTCATCGCCAAGACGGTTTCTCGTGGGACAGCGTGAGTCCGACCTATGCTCGAATTGAAGACCGACTAGAACCGTTCATAGGTGGGTTTCCGCGTGTAAGTGAGGTGGGAGCCGGTAGCGCCATGCTGTGATTGGCCCGGACCAGGGTCGGCGGATTGAGAAAATTGCAGGACCGCCGCCGCCCTCGGATGCGGCCGATTCTGGGAGTTTGCGGATCCACACACGGCCGGGCCCCGGGGCTCGGCGTCGAGTATTGATTTGCGCCAAGGCGCTACGGGAGGCGTACCGAGCCCTGGGGTCGTGGGATGGGTAGGTCTCGCCTTTTTTACCGCGGGCTTATGTCATGATTGGGGACTGGTGTTTGTCCCTTTTGCGAATACTCGTGTTGGGGGTGACTTTTGAAATTAAACAGCGAGATGACAGCCCCCTTTTCTTCAATAGGTCCCGTGGCTCGGGTTGTGGGCTGAGGATCTGGACTGAATTTTGTTTGAAATGCATTCCACGGTGGAACACATCGTGAAGTGGCCCTGATGATTTCGGCTGAAAAGAATCCGCACTAAGCCCCTTCTCGAATGAATTTCGGCGGACACCATCCTCAAGCACATCACAGCGCAACCATCATTCCGCGTTCATCACACGATCCTCAAGCCCCGCATCAACAGTTGATCGTCCCGCCAAGCCTCTGATCTATGGTACGCTCAATCCTTGGCCAAGATACTTGACAGCAGACAAGCTCAAAACTCTCCGCAAACAACCACCTAACCATGATTCTCCAACGTCGCATTGCTCTAAGTCATTCCTCGAAGATTTCTTATAAACTAAACTGCAAACGCGAATGGGCGGCTTTCCTCCGGGACCGAGGTGGTGGGAACAAACACCAGCGTCATCTCGCTTACCGCAGAAATCATCGCACATTGTTTCCCCGTCAGAACGTGCCTCATTTCACTCCGTGGACTGCTGACTCGAAAATTCAGCATGCGACGAAAGTTCACAAAGTTCGAATAGACTTTTGTGAATTAAACACAAAACACATGCATGAAAATAAGCTTGAATCGGAACTGAAACTAAAAACCGCTTCCCGACCCACCCTACCGCCGATCCCAAATCGCAGCAGCAAAACCAAACCCAAAAAAAGCAGAGCAAATATCACCACCAACCACCACCATCTAATCCTTCACAACCCAAAGACAAACAACCGGCTTCCCCCCAGGCTGCCCCGTCCTCGTCCCATCCCACCCGACATCCTTCAAACACTTCTTCATCATATCCTTATCGTCCCCGGCAAAGCACAAACCCTTGTACCACTTCCCGTTCCCCGCCTGCACGATCTCGTAGCACTTGTTCTTCTTGGGCACGGGGTTCGTCGCGCCAAAGCCCTTGAGCAGCTCCGCCAGGGGCGTGTTGACGGGCACGTGGAACGCCGCGAACTGGATGCGCGCGTTGGCAGGCAGCTGCCACGGCGGCGTGGTGCTCCGGAACACGTGGATCTTGGTGTGCGCGGCGGGAAAGAAGTAGTTGTACCCCGGCTCGCAGCCGGTGCCGCCTGTCGAGTTGGAGAGGTGCGCGGCTGGGTTGCGCGGGTCGAGCGCCGGGAGGCCGGAGGTGGTGGTGCGCGCGTAGGGGTGGGCTTGGCCGGAGGGCTGGAGGGGGTAGGTTGTGTAGCCGCCGGCGGGGGCCGCGGAGGGGGTGGACCAGGAGTAGGGTGTCGCGCCGGGGTAGGGCGAGGCCGGGGGTTGGTAGTAGTATTGGGAAGGTTGGTAGGGGTAGCCGTAGGAGGCGGAGGTCCAGCCCGGGTGGGGGATGTAGGGCTCGCCGTAGCGGGGGAGCTGGTAGCCGGTGTTGGGGCCCCAGGGGGGCCGGCGGGCGTCGGCGTCGGGGCCGTTGACGGGGTTCGACATTGTGTTAGAAGGGGTGGTGGTGCGGTTGCCAGGTGTTTACCCAGTTGTTGATGCGGGGGTCGTATTGTGTGATCCAGTGGCCGGGGACAGGTCCTGCGAGGGTTGGGTCCCAGAGGCGGTGGTTGTGAGTTGAAGCGGAAGTGTTGAAACGGAGGCTGTTGGAGAACCGGGCAGTCAACTCTTGTTCTGCGGATGAGCCTGTGAAGGGTGTAAGCTGGCAATTTATAAGACAGAAATGTGTTTGCTAGCAAGCAGTGAATAAGTCTGTGTGGACGGCAGTGACTCACCCGAGTCAGACGAGGAGACTGATTGCGAATCTGTCTGGTCGCCGCGTGTGTCGCGCTGAAAGGCAAAGATTTCGGTGCTCCAGACGGGGTTGTTGTCCGGGTCGTAAAAGGTCCCGACGATGAGCCAGCCCCAGTGCGGAGGATCGCGCGAGCAGATGTAGTACTGGCCGATGATAAGCTTGGTTGCGGGGTATGGGAGGTACTCTGGCTCCTCTTCGGAGGAGTGTTGGGAAGCCACGGTGACAGATGATGAGGTGACGAGGTAAATGAAAGTTGAAACTGGGCAGCTGGAAAAGAGGCTTTTGCGTGATGATGATATTGGCATGTTTGCGACAGAAGCGGCCGATGACGACAAATTTATAACAGTCTCGGGGTAAAGCTGGGTGAGTGAATCATTGACGTCCAGAAAGGTATGTGTGATTGAGAGTGACGAGGAAGCTGGATCTCTATGAGACTAAAGGTCATTCGCGGGCGTGACATGCCGTACGTTGCTTGATTCGGCAGCATTGTAACGAGATGAATACGCAGCTGACGTGCATGTCGATGAATCACTCCGAGTGGACGTATCCTTCAAGGTGCACAACTGAGCCGTCCGCAACAATTCAGTCGCAAACTCGACTTGCATGAGATTCGCTCTGAGTCCATGCTTGGGTGATTGTGATGTATTGCTATGCTTGGGTGGTGTGGCGCGAAAGTGGTGCTCAATCTGTGGCTGACGCCGACGTCAAATGCCTCTTGGTGTGGCCTGTCCGTCCGCCAATAAGAAGCTGTCCCCAGCCGAGCTCCCAAGTCTCCACCGCGCCATCTTTGATTGGCAATCTCGCTCTGAAGTCGCGATCTTTATCTAACGTGTTGATGCAGTTGCGTTTTCTCGAACGCCCTGCGAATTCGGCGAATGATTGCCCGTCGCTGTTCCATCTCCCAGTGGTTCCATGTCTGTGGTGTGGTGGTGACCCGTCGCAGAAACCTGCCTCATCCAAACCTGCCAGGCAACTCGACTGCTTCGACGGTGGGGCGCAGTCGACATGGGGTGCCTCCGGCATTCCCGCGTTGCTCTCAGCAGTCCTCCAAACCGCCACTGCGCTCTGCCCTCAGCCCATCCAGCTCATCGTGCTCGTGTAAACTTCCTCTCCATGACCACCGCTCAATCCTCCACCTCGACATCCTCCTCAACAACCCTCACCCCGCCCGCCTTCTTCAGCTCCTCCACCTCCCGCCGCACCATCTTCCGCCTCTCCACCTCCGTGACCAAGCCCTTGAGGTAAACCTCCGCCTGCACCGTCGCGCTGTAGCTCATCGCCGTCCAGCTCCACATGTTCCTTCTCTCCGCATCCGCGCCCGCGGCCAGCAGCGTCCTCAGTACCAACAGGTTCCCGTTCCCGCTCGCAAAGTGCAGCGCCGTATTGCCGTCCAGATCCGCCCTCATCACCGCGTCGCGCGCGCCGCCGGGGACGTAGGTCAGCAGGATCTGCAGCACCGTGTCGTGGCCGCCGCGGGAAGCCTCCATGATGGCGTCGCGCCAGCGGATGTCGCGGCGCAGGATGACGTGTGGGGTGCGCTCGCAGAGGAAGTGGACGACGTCGGTGTGGCCGGCGGCGGCGGCGAGCATGAGGGCGGTCTGGTGCGACTCGTTGAGGGCCGGGTCGGGATCTTCGTGGCCAGCATCGAGGAGGACGCGGCAGATGGGCAGGTGGCCGAGGGAGGCGGCGAGGTGGAGGTTCGAGTTGGAGAGGCCGAGCGGGGAGGAGTCGGGGTTGTGGAGGAGACCTGGGTGCGATTTGAGGATGCGCTTGACGAGGAGGGGGTCGTTGGCCGTGATGGCGCGGCGGACGCGGAGGGAGGGCTCGATCCTGGGGGGTGGCGGTTAGCTGGTGTTACGTCACTGACGGATGTGGGGGATTGCGTACATGGTTGTGATGGAGTGGTCTAGCAAGAGTGTGGGAGTGTGGTGTTGGAAGTTGTGACCGTAGGCATCGCTGTCGGGAAGAGAAAAACGAAGGGCGTCGCGATGGTGGTGGGCGGGAAGGAGAAAGGATGGCAGGTCAGAGTTGGGATGAAAGCGAGAAATTGGGTTGGTGACAGACAGGAGCTGAACTTAGCTGCGGCGGGCGTGGGAAGCCCCCTGAAAACGGCAGGGATGGCCAAGGGGCAGCGGCAACCAGGTCGTATTAGCGGGGGAAGGCGGGGGCTTTTGGGAGGTCAGCGTCACTGCCCCTCGGTCGCCGGGCTCACCTTGATCGATTCGGTGAGGACCGTGCACACCGAACTGGTGAATGATGAGATGCTGAATTGAATTTGATCTGATGCATTTGACAAGACTAAATTTGGAACTTCTGGATAGTTGTGCTTGTTTTTTTTCTCCTCGTTTTGGTCGTGAGCTTTTTACCTACTTCATTTCAAACTTATTCAATACTTCACGCAGCATCATGGTGTGGCTGTTGTGGCAGCGCATTGTGGCTGAAGCAAGCCTAATCAACCAGAAACCCAGTTGATTGAATCTCAATGCCGTTATCAATACGCTTCGTCTATCTAACTCTAGACTTTTTATTCATCCAAATCAAAATCGTCTTCACGCAGCAGCCGCATACGGCGTGCCAAAGGGCTGCAGCGTCGTCCCCTCAATGTCAATGTACCCATACTTGGAGCCATCGCTGTTCTCCGCCATGCCCTGCGCCCACTTCTGCAGCGACTTCTCAAACACCTCCTTGTACTTTTCCTGGCTGACATCCAGCGGCTCCTTGTCCTTGCCCACCAGCCGGATCCTGCATCCTCATTAGCAATCCCATCTTCACAAATCAGACGGAAGAAACTTACTGCGTGCCAGCCAACATGTTCGTCAGCCCGAAATCATCCTCCCCAAGCAGCGTCTTCACCGAGCTCCCCGCGTTGCCCTCGATGATCTTCTTCGGCAGATCGAACTCGTTGCACACCGGCCGCGCCAGACCCACCCCGTGCACCGTCTCCAGCGCCTTCACCATCGCGGCCACCGTCCTTAGCCCGCCGGTCACATACACCCGCGTCTTATTCAGCTTGCCCACGATCTGCTCCGCAAACTCCAAAAAGAAAGCCTCGCGCTTCTTCGTCGACTCGCGCTTGTGCTCGAACGCCAGCGACTGGTACGTCCCGCCCGACAGCTCCACAAAATCAAACTTGTGCTCCTCCAGCAGCGCGCACAGCTCGCTGCAGTCCTCCGTCGAGAACCCGCCCTCCTGGAACTCGACAGAGTTGACCTTGATCCCGATGCTGAAGCTGGGATCCGTCACGCGCTCACGAATAGCGGCGGCAATCTCCAGAATAATCTGCGCGCGGTTGGCGAGCGACCCGCCGTACTTGTCCGTGCGCTTGTTCGTCGTCGGCGAGAGGAACTGCGCCAGCAGATACCCGTGCGCGCCGTGCAGCTGCACACCGTCGAAACCAGCTTTGTAGCAGTACTCCGCCGCGTGCGCGAACCCGCCAATCACCTTCTCAAAGTCCTCCGGGCCCATCGCGCGCGGCTTGCCGAAGGTCATCCCCATCACCTCGCCCTCGAGCTGCACGTCGCTGGCCGAGATGGGGTGCGGGTTGATGTTGCTCGCGACCTGGCGGCCGGGGTGGCTCAGCTGCGCGTGGACCAGGCTGCCGTGCTTCTTCGCGGCCTCGGCGACGCTGCGGAAGCCCTCGAAGCGCTCGCCGGAGAAGGGCGCGGCGGGCGGGATGATGGGGTTGCCGGCGGCCTCGAGCTGGTCGTAGTCGATCATGACGTTGCCGGTGAGGATGAGGCCGGAGCCGCCCTCGCCCCAGCGGCGGTAGACGTTGACGAGCTCCGGGGTGGGGACGCCGCGGGCGGAGGGGTTGGCGGGGTCCCAGGTCGAGAGGCGCTCGGTCATGGCGCCCTTGAGGAAGCGGTTGGGGGCCGTTTTGCCCGAGAAGGGCAGCGGGAGGGGCGCCGCGAGGGGGGAGGGGTCGACGGCCTCGGCGGGGTATCGTGTCGGCGACATTGTGATATTACAGTCTAATTTCGATGCGTGTCTAAGTTTGTTTAGAAAGAGTCGGGAGCATGAGAGAGAGAATGAGCGGTCTGGGAGGTTTTATGTCCAGCTGCGATGGAAGCCCAGTTAATTCCACATCCCCTGAGGCAGAGCGGAGCAACTGACGTGCCATGCTTTGAAACCGCCCACGATGCTTTGTAATGGATTTTCGAACCCTCCCCCTCCCACGCCACCATGAGTGCATTACATTCTGTAGCGTTGGAGACCAGACGGGGGTGGCCCTTCTAGACGGCGGTCGGGTGCGAAGTGCGGCCCGGCAGCGTCTGCCTTAGCGCCGTGCCCGCTCGGCATTCGGAGGGTGCTTCTCGGGGTTGCTCATTGGCTCAGGCGAAGCAAACACCGAACTGAGAGGAACCCACATCTGCTGTGGACGTCCGTGGAAAGGACAGTAGCGATGCTGGATTCTTGCAGAATCGCATCGGGCCTCGGCAGCTGGTGTGGAACTGACAAATCGGAGCGGTGATTGGCGAACTGGAGGGGAGTCGTGTGCGTCATGGTGTGGGGGGCCCCTGTTGCTGCCTGCAGTGAGTGACTGCAGTGAGATGCACCAAGCTTTCCCGCCCGTGAGATTTCTAATCTGACGACCGCGGGCTCGGGGATCTATCCGGCTGATGGGCTCGGGATTTTAGTTGATGCGCCTTAGGAGGTTTCACCTTAGGGCTTGTTTTATTTCTTAATGGTCTTGACTGCTTTCTGTGATGGGCGAGTTGGCGATTCAGGTGTTCATTTCCTTCGAGAAATGGAGGCGCTGATGTCATTGCAACGAAACAATTTGTCACTGCAAAACAAAGACTCTTCTTCATTCAACAATGGGCGCTGAGGAAAGCGGGACAGAACGAAATGAGAAATGAAACGCATCTGCTCATATTTCAATCATCCTTAAATGCACTAAACAGTTAACATGCAGGGGATGGGAGCGACTCTAATCAGCTCAGCAGTTGCGCGGAAAAGCAAAATAGATACAACTAACACACAGGCAATTAGACGATTGAAGGAACAGGCAAAAAGATGCGCCGAGGGGGAATCGAACCCCCGGCTCCCCGACGCTGCTTGATGGCAACGGAGAATTTTACCACTAAACCATCGGCGCGTTGTGTCTTTGGGACCTCATTGCGGGTCCTCGATGGACGTGGCAAGCAGCGAAACGGGTCAAGTTGCTGTCCTCCATAGAACATCGTGGAAGTCCCAGAAGAGACCCATTGGCGGGATCAAAATAGCACGCACCTTTGCTCAAAGATACATCAGACGGATTTGATCCAAAAACTTCAAATTTTGACTTTTTAATCTCGGCATATCTAAGCCCACTTGACCGCCACATTCCACACCCGCCTCCCCCTCGCATCCAGCGCCTTCTCCGTCGCACCACTTACACCCCTCTCCTCGCCCACGGGCAACACCACGTCGACGCCCTTCTCAGCCCACAGCGGCTTCCACTTCGCCCCGTCGCCCGCGAAAACCTCGCCCCGCACCGCAACCTTAATCTCGTCGCCGACAATCTCGTACGTGACGGTGAACTTGTATTCAGCAGGCTGCTCGCGGCTGATACCATCATCCTCAAACCACGCATCCTCAAACACGACGCCCTTGACGTTCTCGTCGGACACGCTCTCCGCCGTGCCGTCGCCGCGCTGCACGGGCGGCGGGAAGATCTCCACGCCGCGCCAGTCGTCCTTCGCCGTGCCGGGGAACTCCGGGTCCTCGGCCGCCGCCGCCGTTGTCGGGAGGGGTTTGCCCACCGGCACGGCGCCGCCGATGCGCGCGAGGACGGGGATGGAGGCGTACCACGGCGCGAGCACGGTGTGCCACTCGCCCGCGGCGAAGTGCTCGTACGGCGCGTTCGTGTTGAGGAACCCGAAATCCTGGGCGGCGACGCCCTTCTTGGGGAGGTACACCCTCGCGGAGTCAGCGCCGGGCTCGTACACGCCGCCGATGAGGAGCGTGTCGCCGAACCAGTACTGCGTGTCGCCGGCCTTGACGGCGGGCGTCCACACCTCCGGGTCGGCCTCGTAGCCCCAGCCGGTCCAGCGCTGCGGCGGCACCGCGGTGGCGTGCGCGCGCAGGTTGAGGGAGTAGGTGTAGGGCACGAGCTCGTAGCGGCGCTTGACGGCGGCGCGGATGGTCGGGGTGGCGGCGGGGTACATCCACGGCTCGATGACGCCGCCGACGAGGTTGTCTTCGTCCGAGGTCTTGAAGCAGTTGATGGCGAAGCGGGGCGAGTGCACGCCGAGCTGGATCCAGCGGACGAGGTGTTCCGGCGTAGGCTGCGGGCCCTCGAAGCCGCCGATGTCGTGGCCGTAGCAGTGCAGGAGGGAGAAGGAGGCGTTGAGGGCGAGGGAGTTGCCGCCCTTCATCGACGCCCAGGCGGTGACGTTGTCGCCGGACCAGGAGCTGCCGCAGTACTTCATGGTACCGGCGGTGGCGCTGCGGGTGAGGACGAGGGGCCGCTCGTCGGGCTTGCCCTCGATGGTGGCGTCGTGGGAGGCCTTGCCCATGAGCTCGGTGTGGATGGCGCGGCCCCAGATGCCGACGTCCTTGCGGTCGAGGCCGGCGGGGATGGGGACGAGGTCGGTCTTCTCGAGGGCGCACTGCCACTGGTCGTCGGGGACGGTGTACTCGTTGTTGTCGTTCCACATGACGTCGATGCCGACCTTCTTGAGGCCGACGACGCCGTCGTACCACCACTGGTAGCCGGCGTTGCTGGTGAAGTCGATGTGGCTGCCCTCGCCGCTCTCGCCGCCGCCGGCGCTCCAGAGGCGGGTGACGGCGGTCCTGCCGGTCTTGGGGTCCTTGAAGAAGGCGCCGGCCTCGGAGAGCTTCTTGTACTCGGGGTGGGTGGCGAGGACGTAGGGCTTGATGTTGGCGAGCAGGCGGACGCCGTGGGCGTGGGCCTCCTTGGTGAAGGCGCGCGGGTCGGGGAAGCGGTGGCGGTTCCAGGTGAAGACGTTGCGGGTCTTGGGCTCGACCTCGGCGACGGTGTAGCCGGAGCTCATCTGGAAGGCGGTGCAGGGGATGTCGTGCTTCTCGCAGTTTGCGATGAAGCCCATGATGCAGTCGTGGGCGCGGGGGGTGTCCTCCATGCTGTACTTCATGCCGCCGCCGATGTAGCCCATCATGTAGCGGGGCACGCGCAGGGGGAAGCCGACGAGCTCGGCGTAGGAGCGGACGACGTCGGCGACGGTCTGGCCGACGATGATGTACTCCTCGAGGCCGCCGTGGGCCTGGCGGTGGACCTTGTAGGCGCCCCACATGCCGTCGAGCTCGGAGCCGATGGACCATGTGGAGCGGGAGTGGGCGGTGGAGAAGATGCCGACGGCGCCGGCGTCCTGGGTGACGTTGATGAGGAGGGGAATGTGCTTGTAGAGCGGGTCGGTGCGGTAGGCGTCGTAGCCGAAGGTGTCGGAGGCGGAGATGGTGAAGCCGCGGCCGGAGAGGTCCATGGGGGCGGCCTTCTCGCCGAGGCCGACGTGGAGGGTGCCCTTCTTGTAGACGGAGTAGTGGGCGACGCCGGCGCCATCGGCGGAGTAGGAGCGGAAGGGGAGGTCCTGGTGGAGGGGTTTCTTGGTGGTGGCATCCTTGAGGTCGATGGACAGGATGGGCGCGTTGGACCACTCGATGGAGGCCTTTGCGGCGGAGGTGGTGAAGGAGCGGGAGGTCTTGTCCGATGTTGAGGCGACGTCCTTGGGGCAGGAGTCTGGGCTTGGGCGCTGGGCGCTGGCGAAGGGGGGGATCGGGCGCGAGGCGGAGGAGTAGGTGGTGCGGAAGACGTTCGGGCGGACGACCTCGAATGTGAAGGTGAAGGGCTCGATCTCGGCGTCGGAGGACTGCAGCTTCAGCGAGGCCGGGGCGAGGGCGGCGCCCTGTGCGGCCTCTTGCGGCGCGTACTTTACTGGTGTTCTCTCGTTTTGGAGGAGCATTTTGGAATGTGTGATTTGGGTCAAGAGGCTGCAAGCTCAAAGACAGACGTCAATGTCTTGGTGCGTGATGCTTTTATTGTCGAGGAGGGGGAGGGGTAGTGGGGTGCTGCACGCGCATTGGCGAATCGAGGGGAGTTACGTGACGATTGAGGGGTCGTTGGGGGGACGGCAATGGCGACGCGTCTGGGCCGGTCTCGGGGACTGTCGGCCGACATTCTGTGACGCTGGGTCGGATGAAGACCGAGACGACACGAGGCAGTATGGCGAGGGAGGGTTAGAGTTGCCGGATCGTGAGCACGATGCCCCGTTGTGGTGTTTGGATTCGTAAGAATGACAGGCCGAAGAGTGTCGTGTCGGGATTGCGGGGTGTAATTGGAGAAGGCTCCCCCGACTTTTCGCGCGGAACCCCACAACCCCAAGGGGAACGGCCGGGATGCGTGCGGGGGAGAGTCATGCTGTGGCCGTATCAGGAACGAGAATCTGACTCGTCGGTGGGGGCGCGTCGCAATTATTGTGGATTTGGAGTGTCATGTCGGCGGCTGCTTTCCTCAACGGGGGCGGCACGTCGGTTGGATACTTGATTCGGGGCGGCATTCTCGACGGATGGCGGGAAGGCGGCGGGCTAACGAGAACAGGAGCGGGAACAAACCGGAGACACTTTGCTCGTGAAGGCTTTGATTCGGTTGGGGGACGCTTGGAATTGTTTATTACCTAGGCTAGTCTCGGGGTTCGCAACGCACGTCGGAAACCGTTTCCCAGGTCTGGCTCTTTGCGTCACTAACAATCACTTGATTATTTGCTCTAGCAGCCAGTGAAGCTATTCAATGTGTTCTATTATCTGATATTCCTTTCCCCGCACTGCTCCTCACGATGCTTCCACCAAAAAGCTGGGCAGAATGTTGGGGAAGGGGCATCTCGTAGCGTTGCTGCCTCACAAAATGCCAAAAGGGCCCCCACCCGCGACACTGGACGAATGAAAAGGCCAGCTGGCGTCCCCGACATCCCCAAAGTCTCCCTCATTTCCCCGCGCGGAGAAGGGGCCCCGTGTTGCGGTGGGGGAGCAGCGACCCAAAACATGGAACGAACCACTCACAGCCCTCGAACGTCGGCTTTCGTCCCGTGACCACCACGATCCCCGGTTCTCGTCCAGCGCCATCATTCGACAACCACCTCATCCCTCGTCTGTCTCTCGTCTCTCCTCCATCCCGCCAGCACGGCAGCCGGCACTCGGATCCTGCTCTCATTCGCACACTCACCGCCCACACCACAACCCGCCGCCAAACGGGACTCGCTTCCCCGAGGGGACCCCACGAAGACGCGGCACTCTGCACCAACACGGCAAGGCCTCGACACTCAAGCTCATCACATCCCGAGCCCTTCCGTCACAGAGCCTCACCTCAGCCCAATCAGAGACCGTCCACCCCTGCCAATTCTCTCGCGGACGTTGGCCGACGTGCGTCCTCTTCTTCCAGCATGGGAAAATTGCCCCCTTGGGCGTCTTTCGCGTCCCGATGCCCAGAGAAAAGACGCCGCCCTGAGCCCATCCCTGCTCCTCGGCGACCGAGTCGTTGACGGGCAGGGGGGGCCACCACCCGACGTCTTCCCGCCCCCAGAATGTCGACGTCCATATCACGGCCGTCCGTCCCACGTTTTTTCTCGCACCTCGCTCGGCCTGCTCCTGAACTCGAGCCTCTCCTGCAGACAGACGACGACGTCACCATGGCCACCACCGACGACTCCAACAAGCCGCCCGTCGACCAGGTCGAGCACGCGCAGCCCCCCAACGCCAACCACCGCCGCGATGCCGCCGCCGAGCTGCTGGGCAAGTCCGGCACCTCGCCGGAGCACCGCGTCGTCGTCACCGCCGACGACGACAAGCGCGTGCTGAGGAAGATCGACATGGTCATCCTGCCGCTGATGCTCTTCGTCTACTTCCTCCAGGGCATCGACAAGTCCACCCTCGCCTACGCCTCCGTCTTTGGCCTCATCGAGGACACCGGGCTGGTTGGCGACCAGTACTCCTGGCTTGGTTCGGTTGTGTATCTCGCCCAGCTCGTCATGCAGTTCCCCCTTGCCTGGGCTCTCGTCAAGCTGCCCATCGGCAAGTTCACCAGCTGCATGGTCGCCTTCTGGGGTGTGACTCTGTCCTGCATGGCTGCTGCGCACAACTTTGGCGGCCTGCTTGCCGCGAGATTCTTCCTCGGCACCTTCGAGGCCTCCGTTGCGCCGTCCTTTGTCGCCATTACCCAGATGTGGTGGCGTCGTCGCGAGCAGACCCTGCGCATCAGCTACTGGTACGCCATGAACGGCTTCACCAACATGGTATGTCTGATTGCCCCCTTCGTTACAACGGCAACCGTCTAACACAACCCCAGTTCGGCAGTCTCATCACCTACGGCCTCGGCCACATCTCCTCTAAGCTCAAAGAGTACCAGATCATCTTCCTCTTCTTCGGCGTCATCACCGTCGCCTTCTCCGTCCTCATGTTCTTCTACATGCCCGACTCCCCCGTCGAGGCAAAGTTTCTCAACGACCACGATAAGGTCATCGCTGTCGAGCGCCTGCGCATGAACCAGCAGGGCGTCATGTCCCGCGAGTGGCGATGGGACCATCTTTGGGAGAGTTTGCGCGACCCAAAGACGTGGATCTGGTTCGCCCTCGTTTTTTCCATCTCGTTAGTCTCCACTGCCTCCTTACTTCCCCCACTCATCAACTAACAAACCACAGCATCCCCTCCGGCGGCATCTCCACCTTCGGCCCCCTCATCGTCAAGTCCTTCGGCTTCGACTCCTTCCAGACCATCCTCTTCAACATCCCCTTCGGCGCCGTCCAGCTAGTCTCCACCGTCGGCGGCTCCTGGGTCGCCACAAAGATCCACAAAAAGGGCCCCGTCATTGCCGGCCTCTGCGTGCCCCCCATCGTCGGCTGCGTCATGCTCATGGTCCTCCCCAACTCCGCCAGCAAGCGCGCCGCCCGCCTCGTGGGTTACTACCTCATCTCCGTCTACCCGGGCATCACGCCCCTCATCTACTCGTGGTCCGCCGCCAACACCGCCGGCGACACCAAGCGTAAGTGCACCTCGGCCGCGCTCTTCGTCGGCCAGTCCGTCGGCAACGTCGTCGGGCCCCTGTTGTACAAGCCCTCCGAGGCGCCGCAGTACGCGCGCGGCCTGAGGTCGAATCTGGCGCTGTACTGTCTGATTATCGTCATGGTCGGTGCCACGAGCGCGTACCTTGCGTTCTTGAACAAGTCGCACAGTAAGCGCCGCGTGGCCATGGGCAAGAGCGCCGTCATCATCGACACGAGTCTGTTCTCGGCGGCCGAGGCGGAGCGGATGCAGGCCGCGGGGCAGTTGACGGGCACTGGAGACGGACAGGAAATGGCTGCGGCTGGGGACGAGGGCACCACAGCTGGGGATGTTGGTGCGAGGGCGTTTGAGAATCTGACTGATTTGCAAAATGAGGAGTTTGTCTTTGTTTTCTAGGTAGGCTGTGGAAGGATGAGATAGATTCTTGTGAGAATACAACATTTGCGTTGGATCGCAACATTGGAATGATGCTTTTTGAGAAGTTCATCTTTAACGAGTTGTGACTGTGACATTTCAGGTGCTCTTACATCATTTAGGTAAGACAACGAAAAGAAGGGATGCTTTGCCACGCAGGACAAGTGGGACTCAGAGGTATTGTCGCCCCCAACGATTCTTCAAGCTATTGATGTTTTCATCTTGAATTTTGAAATCGCGAGTTGCTTAGGCCTTCATAGCATTGGATATGAAAAAGGATACGTGCGCAATCGCTCCTTGAAGTCTTGTGAGAGATCAGGGCTGTTGTTAGGCTGTTTTGCAGTCTAGATTAACTTCCTGTACTGCAGCGCCTCCACAAGGGCAATCAAAGCAATTTTGACCCCCATACTTGTTAAGTTGGCTCTTTTTTTTGGTGTTTTTGATTACTTAGCTAACTTGCAAATAAAATAAATTAATCACTATATAAAATGACGTCATATAGACTACCTAATCGGGTAATTTTGAGGATATCTACAGCCTCATAAGCCCTCTCTCGTAGGCCGTCATAGCCCCCCTTAGAGGGCCCCTTTGAGAGGGCCCCTTAGAAGGCTCTTTAGAGGGCCCCTTAGAGGGCTCTTTAGAGGGCCCCTTAACCCCCCCTCCCTAAGGGGTGTTACGGTCAGCTATCCGACAGTAGGGTCTGCTAACAGAAGCTGGGGATTGACACGTAGTAACAGTACACTGAGGTCGTGGTCTGGGTCGTAGGTCGTAGGCTTGTAGTAGATCAGGTCTTCAGAGGCTAAGGTGATCA